AAAGCCAAATGACATTTCAATAGCAAACAATGGAAAAAAATTATATGGAAAATAAAGAAAGAAATTCGCAAAAGAAAAAATATATATGGAACAAAAAAAAATGGTGTCAAATATGCATATATGCAATTGGAGGATATGAAATATTCAAATTTTCTTTGAGGTTGCTCTCAAGGATTTAAATGTTTCTAAGCCTCTTTGCGACAAAGTGATTCTGCTTTAAATATCTATGTTACAAGATTTGAATTTTTCTGAAACATCTTCTGGAAGATGCAAAGAAAAAAAAAGAAAATGATTTAAAAAAAAAAATCCTCGCAGAAATTGTAAAATAAAAATCTCAAATAATTAATTAAAATTATTTCTTTTTTATTTATCTATATCTAAAATAAATCTTGAATGAAAGAAATTCTTTTTCAACAACAAATAAAAGAATGATATATATACAAAAGGAATTCTAAAGGGCAACTTGTTTTTCGTCTTCTCTCTAAAAATACTTTATACATAGAAGGCAAGTTTGCATATCATTATAAGTTACAATCTTAAAAATTTCTTTCAAGACACTTTTTTTTTTCTTTTTCAGCTCGCAAAGTTGCAACTACAAAAACAACAACAATTTTTTTTCTTTATAATGTCGATCAAAGACTACACTGAAAAAAAAATTTATTTGATTCAAATATACTCGATTACTTGAGTAATATCAAATAAATAATTATTTGAACCAAATAATTTTTATTTGAATTAAATAAATTGTATTTGAACCAATAATTTCTGTATTTAAAACAAATACCATTTAATTGACTCAAATAATAGTTATTTGATACAAATAAATATTTATTTGATAATATTCAAGTAATCGAGTATTTGAATGAAATAAATTTTTTTTTTCAGTGTAATATTATATAATAAAAATATAATAAACAAATAAATAATAAAACAATACTAAAAATATAATAATAATGATAAATAATAATAATAATAAAAATAATAGTAAATATAGTAAATAATAAATAAAAAAATCAGCCTTTTAAAAAAATAATTAAAAAAAAATTTCTGATATAAATTAGTCCTTATAACAATAGAAAGTAAAAGGGGAGATAAAAAGTTTTTGAGAATATGAAAGATAGGAGCAAGGTGTGTGAAAATGACGTCTACGGAAGGTACACTATCAGTGTATCGAGTCGTTATGAAAAGTAGGTCATGCATATTGGATACTAGAGTTTAGAATTTAATATGCGGCTACCGGTTACTGTCTATATAATTTTCTTCGGAAAAACCGATAAAAATATCGAATGCAAGTAATTTTAGTCCCATTACATCTTTTTTTAATCATTCCACTAAACCCCATTTTTGCAAATAAAAATCAGATTTTACAAAAAAAATTAAAAAAGAATTCTTATTTTTATTAATTAATTAATTTTTTTTTTATTCCAAAACAAAAGAATTTAATATATCGAAAAAATAAATAAATAAATAAATTTCGAATCAAATTCTGATGATTTAGACAAATTATTTTGAAAAATAATTATTATTTATTAGAAATATTTTTTCATATACGTTTTGATATATAAATCAAAAAATTTATAATCAATCTTAAATGGCGTGATTATTTGACCAAATAAATTCTCATTATTTTAAATTGTTATATAAAACTTGATATTCATGTATATATAAATTGTGTCTATCAATTAAGGCAGTTAATTATTCTCGATGATGAATAAGCCGAGTTTTAACAAGGCAATTTATTATATATATAATCGATTATTATTTGTGCTACTACCAATTCTGAAACTCTTCTATAGGAATATATATATACATATGTATATATATAGGTATGCGTGATATGCATACATTCCATTATTACAGGAAAGTATTATGGAAAAGAGTAAAAGACTGATTACTGATAACAAAAACTCAATTCCCCCTTTTATTATCACGATTATTTCTCATATATATATACACACACACACATTGAAATATCAATTTTCTCGAATCGAAAATCCTTTTATGTCAAAACTTTCATCAGCAATAACAATTAAATGTTTATAATTAATTTTAAACATTAAATTAATATTTAATTACTTTTCGACGGATTAATATTCCCTTCAGTACATGAATTTCCAATCATTTTAAATAAATTAATTTTTATCTGAATTTATCAAGAAAATTTTATTACAAACAAAAAGGAATTTTAGTTAAAAATTAAAAAATTAATTATAGAAGAATAAAATTAAAATTTTTTAAATAAAAGAAATTAAAAATTAAAAAATATATTTACTACATTCAAAAAATAAATAAAAGACATAATTTATAGGAGTGTTTCTAATTTGGTTAATTCCAGTCAGATATAATTAAATTCGAACAAACTTTTTAAAAATAACTTTTATTTAAATGAACTTTTCGAAATGACCTTTTATATTTAGAAATTAAATAAAACATTATTACATCTCAATGACGAAAAAAACGTATAAATCTATTTCTGAAATCTGTGTCTAAATATATGTGAAAATGTAAATATATATATATATATAGAGAGAGAGAGAGAGATAGAGAAAGAGACCTATTTCATCCGCGTAAAACATGTATAAAAGTTTGAAGTGAGTTTCAGTGCTTTAATTGCACCGCTTAAGCACCTATTTCAGGTTTTCTTTGAGAACTCATTGACGGACAAAAGAGCTAGACGAATATTGTACATATATACGTCTCAGTTTTCAACCATGTTGGAAAATTTAAAAATGTTCTTTATATCTAAAAGTCGAGCAAAAAAAAAAAAAAAGGAAAACGTTTGAAAATCTACTATCAGAAAAAAACATTTTTTGATTTGATCTTAAAATATAACCTTTTATGAAGCAATTCTATGATAACATCTGAATATTCCTTGGAAATTTAATTTACATATTTTACAAAGATTGAATTTACTTTTTATGAATAGTTTCTTAGATTAAAAAGATTATATTTTAGAAAATCAATAAAAATACTAAAGAAAATATTGGAATTGGAGAAAAAAGAAATTTAAAAAAATTTTAAAAATTGCTACCAAAAAATGTTCCAGTAATTGTACAAATGGAAATTCATGTGAAAGATTAATTTAAGTGTGTAAATTTAATTTCGGAAAAAATTTTCGTATCGTTTTTTTAATAATAAATTTTATATGGACCTAATTTTTTTTCTACTTAGATAATATTTAGAAGAAAGGTCAGGTATCAATTATACTCCCATAATTCAGTGACTTATACACAGGTGTTGGAGAGTGCAGAGAAGCCTAACATTAATTTTCCTGAAACTTTCTCACTAAACAGAAGGGGCGAAAGAGAGAGAGAGAGACAGAGAGAGAGCTTAAGAGAATATGGTTCAATTTTAAGTTTATAATCTCCAGTTGATTGCCATAAGGAAACGCCTTTAGGATCTATCTCAACTCGAAATTTAATTATAAAACATAATTTTTTTAAAATTATTTTCTCTTTTGTTTAATTCCAATATCAATAGTTTGAATGAAAATTGAAAACAATTTCCAAAGTCAATATTTATCAATTATAAATATTCGAATCAATATTGTATAACAATTATATACCAACATGTCTCCTTTAATAGAAAAACTATTTTTCTACAATAGCCTAGAAAAAAATATTTTCACTGGAAAAGAAACAAAAAAAATTTTTTTTTTACATACGCCCTTGCAATAAGTAAATAAATTAATTATCAATAAAAATAATTATCTACCTGTTTAAATCCGCGATACATAACACGGATTTCTTGTCTGGAAAATTTTGTTTGCCTCAGGAGCTCTTCGAGGGCAACAGGCCTTGTATTTTGGTGTCGTGGTCGTGGATTTTCAAACTCGAAAAGTGCGTCTTCTGGTCCCGGCGAATCCGGAGGTGTCGCCATGTTTTTATACTTTCTGCTTCAATAACTTGTTGAGAGGCAAAAAAAAAAAAAAAGAAAGGAAAGCTCCCGTTTTCGAAAAACAAGTCCTTTAAATCAGAGTATTTTACCGAAAAATCGTTAACATTTTTTCTTCTTTTTTCTCATGGAGAAATCACTTTCAATAAACTTTGTAATCTTATATTTTTCAAAATGTCATCGGTGGCAGTCATGTTTTCTATAATTACTTTCATGATTGTTTACGATATATTATTAACGTCATCACTTACTCACGGTCACGTTTATTTTATTTAATGTGCCAAAAGAGGCGTGATTTGAAAAAAATTTAATAAACACTTTCACTGTCAGCATCACAAAATCTTCAATTTCTTTTATAAATCACATTTTTCAATTAAAAACAGGAAATTATTTTTATCATATATGTGTAACAAAGTCAAGGGAAAAAAGTGTTTCTTTCCTGGGTAGATTCCAAGAATTGTGTTATGTGTATTATATTCTTTATAGAGGTTAAGAAACACAATTATATTTTTTATTTAGAAATTTTTGCGTTCCTGGAATAGTAGAACGAGATAGAGAGCAGGAGATGCCGGATCGAAGATGATGGGGCTGTATTTCATCTGCGATTGAAAAATAACTCTTTCCTTCGATCAGAATGGCGATTTAGTTATGATATTGTGTTGTAAGAAAAAAGCATCATTTTTTTCATTTTCTTGGATATTGTGCCACATGAAACAATTAAATTATGCAACAAAGAAGAACACGTTTTAAGTCACAAATCCCTCTCTTCTGTGAATAATAACAAACACTTAAACAGAAAATCAACATCCACAACACTTGCGGGAGCACCGCCGCAAACTAACTGTCGTCTGCTACCGATGACAGTTTGTGGAAGAAAACTCTCCGTAAAGTCCAATTTTATCTCTCCAGTGACATCTGTGACAAAATGTTCCAAGTTTTACACTCACCCCGCGATTAAGGGATGAAACATCCCTTTCGTAAACGGAAAAAATAACCCCCACACGCAGATATCGACTGAAAGTGTATTGATTTTTCAAATATACTTTTGAACTGTATTATCGGTAAGCAACATTGCCTACTTTATCAACAATGTAAAGGAGGTTAGGTTACATTTTCCGCTTCCGGCTCCAGACAACGTTTTTCTTATACATTTTGTTTATCTATTAAACACAAATAAAAATGTCATTATTACCAAAAATAAGAACAATTATCAATAATGTAATATGTTCATCAAATATTCCCCTTGGCATACGAGGTAATTTTCTTTAAGGTTATGTTTAACTCAATGTTTATGTGAAATTAAAATTTGTGTCATTAATAAACAATTAAAATTAAATAAATTTTTTTTCATCTTCAGGAACTATTTACGGATCGGTTCGTGGTTTCTCCAAAGACAATGAAATTGATATTACAAATCCACAAACAGAAGACTTTGTAAGTATATTTTAAAATGTATTTTTATTCTAATAAATATTAAATTTCTCGTATAAAACAACAATGATATGATAATTACAAAAAATCGATGAAACTTGATTATAAACAAAATTAATTAATTCGTATAGAATTATTATTGATAGGAAAAAAAAATCACATTATAATACCATTTCGTTGTTATAATCGTCATAATCTTCTGATATCTGAAAAAAATTAAATTTTTGATAAAAATACAATTTAATTAAATGTAAAATAATAAAAATAAATTTCTTTCAGCCTATTGAACTCGACAAAAATCCATATGAAAAACCAAAAATACAATGCATTTTATGTAAACATAACATAAATCCAGATTATAAAAATGTTCGACTATTGTCACAATTTCAAAGTAGTTACACTGGGAGAATTTATGGACGTCATATAACTGGTTTATGTGCAAGAAAACAAAAATTGGTAGAAAGTGAAATTACAAAAGCTCAAAATGCTGGTAAGTGTTTTCTTAAATTATTTGATTCAAATCCATTTATTTTAAATAAAAAACAAAGAAATTGTTTCCAATTATAGATATTTATAATAATAAATTATTATTTTTAAATAATATTTCTATTATTAATCATTATTATTATATTTTATGGAATTATTTCTTTCTTTTTTTTAGGTCTAATGCCATATATGACAAAAATAATAGATTTCGTTAACGATCCACAATTATTCAATCCTGATCATCCCTCTAGACCTCATTCTTATTAAACAAAAATTTTTGTTAGAAGTAATTAGGTTTACTGTAAAGAATAAAAAATTTGATATTACAAAATTAATATTATTTATTACAGCCAATTTAACTAAAAAAATATATATTACCTTTATAATTCGTTTTACTCAAATAATATGAATATACTTAGCTAATTATTTTTTTTTCATTCTCACAGAATATTTTAAATTATATTGTTTTATAATAATTTTATATGAATTATAACTTTCTTATAAACTAAATCGTAGGATAAATGAAATCATTTATTTCCTCGGAATAATGAACTATGTGATTTGGAATCGATAATAATTTTAAAACATCACTTGCACTAAAATAACGTCCATTTTTTTCAGTTAAACTTTCACGTAAAGTTTCTAAAGCATCCGCAAACGCCTCTCTCCATTTCCCTATCGATACCGCTATTTCCTCAAGATTATGCTGCAAAATACAGCAAAATAATAACTAACTAACTACCACCAATATTATTCTCACATTTAAAAAAAGATTAATTAATTTAATTATTATTGAGAGACTTTCTAATTAATTTTAATTTTGTCCGTAACAAAATATATTAAAATAAAATGGATAATAAGGATACACATACCTTTCTTTCAAGTGGGATTTTTGCTCTCAACTCGACCATTTCACGTTTCTTGTCATTTACCCTTTGAATCAATAGTAAAAAATCTTGTTTATATACATTTATTATATTTTGATTCAATCGTTGAAGTTTTACGACCGGTTGATACTCTGAATTGTCAATTGCTTGCTGAATTCTAAAAACATAAATTAAAAACAGAATTCAAAATTGAAATAAATAAAATATACTCAAAAAATAATTAATTAAATATTTGTAAACTTACGTGGGTGAGACTGGAGTTTTCTTTAATTCTAAATTTTCAGTTTGTTCATCTTCATTGATTATTGAATCAATTTTCTCTTTACTATTTTGATTTTCATTTTTTACATTTGTGATAAATTCTATTGATTCTTTAGACGCTTCTTTTTCTGATTTGATATGTAATTTATTTTCTGACGTCTGTATAGATGTATCATCATACAAAAGTTTTAAAGCATTGTTTCGCGAACGTTTCAAAAGTAAATTATTATCTATTCGTTTTAAAGGTGATGAATAATCACCACAATTTGTGAGAGTTTCAGTTTCTGAATTTTTTGATGGAGATGTTAATAATAAAGGTTTCATTGGAGAATTAAATCCTCGAGAATTCATCGGAGAATTGAAACCTAATGATCTTATTCTTGGATTTTGATTTAATTTCAAAGGCGTGCTTTGTTTATTTTGATCGCCTTTAATAAGAGGCGATCGAAATGGTTTATTGACACCTTTGCCATGTTTCAAGGGAGTATTGAAGAAACTCATCTGAAATTATGTAAGAAGTTGATAATTTTCTTCTATTAAAAACAAGTAGTGCCACTCATATAATGCTTATTTAAAAAAAATTATGAGCAATAATTTCTAATAGTTTCATTAAATGCGTTTGTTTTATTAAACGTTTCTACAAAAAGTGAGGTTATGTGCAAAAACAAATTTTTGTTAATCATTTAATTTTCAAATACCTGTAAAGATGTTTATGCTGAAACAATTGTGAAACACTATTTATTTTTCGATTTATACGACAAAATGTGAAGTAACACAAATAAACAACGTGAAATTAAATAGAAAAATAAAAACACTTGTGCGCGTGGTAAGAAAACAATATAAACAACACAAGAGTAAACAAGAGGATTTTAATACTACTTCTAAATTCCGCTGTCAGAGTGCGCTGTATGTAAAGTTCCAAAATTTGAAATTAAATATTTTATTCATTAAATAATAATAAATAAACTCCACTTAAAAGTTTAATAATAAGAACCACTGTTGCAGTTAAATAAAATCTACAGTACAAACTCGTGAAACTAATTAAAAAATAGAAATTCCTTATACTTTAGACAAAAAACTGAAGAATAGTTTTTAATCACAAAAGTTCTTATTGAAATTACACACCAACGGAAAAATAGAAGTTTTCTTTACTTTGAAGTGCTTAAAACTGTTCAATAAATTTGTTTTCTCAAAAAAGTAAGTTATTTATAAATAATAAAAGATAAAAGTGTAAAAACAAAGGTTCTACCGAGATTTGAACTCGGATCGCTGGATTCAAAGTCCAGAGTGCTAACCATTACACCATAGAACCGTTGTGAAGTTTTTTCAAAAAATGTCGGCCCAACTTAATTAAATTAAAAAAATGTAAAATTAAAAAAAAATTAATGCTTATAATAATAATTTTAAAAAATATATTTGTTTACGAAAAGTTGAAATCATATTTGGACTTAAACTGAAATCCATAACTTTATAAATGCTACATTTCTCACTTCGTGTACAAGTATTTTTTTAAAATAATTATATTGTAAGTAATTATTTTTTTGTTTATATTAATTTTTTGCTTTTAATTTATTTAAGTTGGGACGACATTTTTTGAAAAAACTTCATAACGGTTCTATGGTGTAATGGTTAGCACTCTGGACTTTGAATCCAGCGATCTGAGTTCAAATCTCGGTAGAACCTTTCTTTTTTTTTATTTTTTCACTTTTTTCATTATTTTAATTTAATAATTAATTATTTAATTAGTTGAATCAATTTATAGTGAGAACAACATTTTACTGTAACAATACTATTTTTTATTATTCTTTTACTTCATTATTTTTTAAATAAAAAAATATTTAATTATTTTAAATATTTTAATTTTTACCGCGTTGCATGTAGCGCATTCTGAAGGCCGAAATTAGAATTAAAAAATCTATAAGGTATATCTGTACTTCTTTTGTTTTTATTATATTAATTAAGTTGGGCGGAGATTTTTTCACAAAACTTCACAACGGTTCTATGGTGTAATGGTTAGCACTCTGGACTTTGAATCCAGCGATCTGAGTTCAAATCTCGGTAGAACCTTTGTTTTTTTCGTTTTTTTTCTATTAATATTTTAATTTAAAGTTAAAATAAAAATTATAAGCATTTTTAACTGAAGCAATTTACATTTTTTTAGTCCCGTTTTTTTTAAATTAGTTTGATCACTTTGTATTGCTTTTTTTATTTTACTGAGACATTGGTTTTTATTAGTAATCTTTCAACTAGAGTTTATTTATTATTTTTAAAAAAGTAATCATTTTTATATGTTAAATTTCACCGCGTTACATTAAGCGCATTCTAACGGTGGAATATGAAAGTAAAAAAATTACGCGCGTTTATTTGTTAAATATTTGTAATATTGTAAATATTTCGCATAATCAATATTTGTAGTTTTATTATTGTGTGATTGTTACATGTTTATAAAAATATAGAAAAATAGATTACTTTGAATCTACTTTATATTTTTAATTAAATTAAGCGGGAAAAACATGTTTTAAAAAATAGGAAACTAAGAAAAAAAATATCAAGGCCCCGCCGAGATTTGAACTCGGATCGCTGGATTCAAAGTCCAGAGTGCTAACCATTACACCACGCGGCCAGTTGTACGAAATAATTTTAAACGATATCTTAAAGTGGGGATAATTTTAAAAAAGCATTATTAATTAATATTAATATTTTAATGTTTAAACAAATAGACTCTGACTTACCTTAATATCTTAAATTTACAAAATTAATTGTCAGGCTTGAAAATTTTGTTATACTATCATCGCTTGCTTGGTTACGAAACTTCCTGCGATCGTGGAAATGCCGTCAACCACTGTGATCGTTAAATTATTTAATATTCAAATTTTTCACACTTAATTGTAACATACTTTTAGTAATTCTTTCATAAAAATGATAATAAATGCTTAATGAGATGTTTATATTACATGAATTGTTTAATAAAAGAATGTACTTTTGAAAAATTAGATGAAAAATGGTTGCTGATTTGACCATTGATATTTGCAGTCAATGAAATTGCAAATGGCCGCCATCATGGTGAAGTAGAATCTGATTGTTTTCGCGTACTAAGAAATTTAATCGAAAAAAATGTTGTGCCCGTGCGATAAGAGAAGCTTTGGATGAACAAAAAAAACGGTATAAGTGAGCTTTTTAATCTTGATAATTTAAAAAGAGTGAGTGATACGAACTAATGTGTTAAATTCATGATTATCTTCGACGTGGATGGACACGCGCCCAATTCTTATCCGGCAACCGCATTAAAATATGCAGAACTTGGAAATCATTTATAATCGATAATTCATCTATCCTGTGATCAGTATTATCACAATAAACACTTTGTTTAATGGTGATTCAAGTTGCAAGATGAAATTCCTATTAGAAATGATGGTGATTGTGTATCATAAAAGAGAAGGTAAACAATGAAATAAAGTTGGCGCGGTGTCTGCTTTCTCGGGCATGCCGCGTGTTCTTTATACACATGCCCCAATTTTTTTTTCTCTCTTTCTCTCAAAAACAGCATTACATTTTCTTCACGGGAGTCTACAATTGTCGATGTTTTTGTTCCCTTGTGTAATTAATCTTTATGCTTTTAATTTTATTGTTTCATATAAATACAATTATCGACATTTTATACTTTATTTGAAGGTCATATTTCCATGATTTGGAATTATTCATTGTTTTTGAATTTTTTTTACGAAATATTATGGATTAAGGGTGGTAAAATTTAATAATTAAATGTGATATTTTATTTGATTGGTGTTAAAGTGGTTTTTAATAATATTGATGTGTTCATTTAAATAACCATGTGTTTTGCTAAATCTAGGTTATGTAAATACTTGTCATTAAAGCACATATACACAATATTGCTGAACTTTCATTTTCTTGCGAATTACGAATTTCGTAAAATATTATATACTTCAATTATTGTCGAAATGTGTAATTTAATAATTTTTTAAATTTTTATTTAATATTTGGAGGACAATTAAAGACTCTGAATGTAAGACTTTATGAAAAATTAATTTAAAAATATTTTTTTGTTTTACAGATCTGTGAGTAATTTTTTTATAAAGTATCGAAAACAAATTAAAATAAAAAAATAGTTATGCCTGCTGTTAGTATTTGCGATTCCGTCGCGGTGGTCCTCCGCAACAGTTTGGAGAATAGCCAGTCTAAATCAGACGACCTGTCGATTACAATAGCGGACAGTATTTCACGAATTGCGGAAAGTAGTATTGAATACGAAAAGAAAGCACAGACCTGTAAGGCCAGAGAAGGACTTGATCCTATTAAATTGAAGATTGCGACTTTTTATACTATCAATACGGAAATAACGGATAGTGGAAATATGAAAGAGGGTGCCTCATGTTCAAAACGAACAAACGCCAGAAAGACTGAACCCACATTACCGGAAGCAAAATCCGTTTTATATCCAGCGAATAAAATTGTTTTAGGATGGAAAGACAATTTTCCAATTGGCGCTGGAATGATAAATGTCAGTAATTCATGCTATTTAAATAGCACACTGCAGGCTCTTTTTCATGTTCCGGCTCTTGTTAATTGGCTATTATCTGACAGTCACCATAGCTCAGGTTGTGATCAGAATGGTAAGATATTTTTTGTTTTTAAACCTTATTTTAATTTTTAATTTTCATTTATTGTTTTAATCATTTCTTTGAATAATTGTATTTTAGATGGAGGTGAGTGCCTTACTTGTTCCATGGCAAAGACTTTAAAATTTAGCCATCAAAAGACGGGGGATGCTTTCAGACCATTTCTCATTTATAATAAACTTAAACGTGAGTATTTTTTATTAATTTGTAATTTACAAATTAGATGAATATTGAAATTAATTTTCTTTTTTTCTTGATAGTAATTTGTAGAACTATGTCACCGGGAGACCAAGAAGATGCTCACGAATTTTTACGTTATTTATTGGAGGGAATGGAGAAAGCATACTTGATAAGACATAAGGCAACTAAATTAGACAATTATTCAAAGGAAACAACACCGGTGAATCAAATTTTTGGCGGTTATTTTCGCACAGAAGTAAAGTGCCTCCAGTGCGATCATATATCGACGACATTTTCACATTTTCAGGTAAATTATAATCATATAAAAATAAAATTTATTTTTTAATTAAATTGTTAATGAAAATAAATATTTTTGCAGGACTTATTGGTTGATATCAGGAAAGCAAATACTTTAGATGAAGCGCTTTCTAGTTATTTTAGTCAAGAGCATTTAGATAACAATGACTATAAATGCGAAGCATGTAAGCGACGAGTTCCTGCCACTAAACAATTTAGTTTAGAAAGACCACCAAAAGTGCTTTGCGTACAACTTAAACGATTCAGTCATATGGGTGGTAAGAATATGAAGAATATTGGATTCAAACAAACAGTTGATATGGGTCCATATTTGTGGCGTGAAAAAGGTGAACCACAGAAAAAATTGAATTATAAATTAACATCAATGGTAACACACATGGGACCTTCAGTTAATTGCGGTCATTATACAGCCGTTGCCCAAGTATCATCAGGGAAATATTATACATTCGATGATTCGTCTGTTCGTCAAATAAGCTTAAATACAGTATTGAATACAAATGCTTATATAATGATTTTTGAAATGGAACCTGAGAATCAAAATCATTTGAATAGTCATCAAAATATCAAAGTAAATGGATCATTAACGGCGAAAAATTTTTCACCAATTACAATAAATAATGCCGAGAAACTTGCGGCAAAACCCTCGACATCGGGTATTGTTACACAAAATGGTTTTGACAATAATGGCTCAAAACATAAAGAACTGAATCAATCAATTAATTGTCAATCTACGTCGTCGTCGTCGTCAACCTCGTCATCGCCACAAAAAACCAATGGTCTTCACAGTACTAACGGTCAAAAGAGTTCCAATTTCATTGGTCCTTTATTACCTCAAAAAATACAGGAAAAATCTCAACCACGTTTAGTGTTACATTCGAAAAATGGCAAAGTATTGAATGGTAGTAGTTTAGTACCATACGATGGATCGAGTGACGATGATGAAAATAATTCCATTAGTACATCGAAATCACAAAATAATTCCGAGAATACTAATAATTTGAAACCAAATCCATTTAATAGTGGTAATAGCCAAAAAGTGCTAACTCCGAAAAATGAATCGCCAATAAAATCAGGAACAAATTCATCCAAAGATTCATCATCGTCGTTTAAGTCGAATGGAAATGGTTTTACGCCATTTTCAAAGTCTGTTTATAGTGGTATACTTCAGACAACAAAGCAAAATAATGGAACTGTTAATGGTAATGGAATTAATAAAAATCATCAAAATACATCGCCAAAACATCATCAAAATGGAAAATTTGATAGTAATGGAAAAATGGAAAACAATGGCAAGGATAAATGGTTTAGTCCAACAAAAGCAAAAAACAACGATGATGGATCTTTAGCGGCTAGCAGTAATGGTTGGCAAGTTTCAAAGGATACTCAGGCACCATCTTCAACGGCCATTCCAAATGGATGGTCCGTTACTGATAACAATCGGTGAGTTTATTTTTTAAATTCTTTATCGCTTTATTTTTACAATTTACCATGATTTATACGATTCTTAATTTTATTTCTTAATTTTTCAGGGAAGATAATGGAAAATACAATTACAATTCAACTCCAAATGCCGCGGCATTTCGTGATTTTAATGGGACAAATCGTTCCGAAACGGTGTCACATTTATTGAAGACATCGCATCGTGGTTATGGAAGTAATTCTGGTCAGTACACAAAAAAGAAAGAGGTTTCTAAACCTTTCAAAATTATATTAACATCACGTCCTATGAAAACTTTAATTGATGATATTTTCATTACAAAAACAAAATTCTCATCTTCCATAGAGAAAAAAAAACTTATTCGCAAAAATTTCAGAGAGAATAAAATTAAATTTAATAATATGTTCTCGGAAAAAAATAAAAATTGCCAACAAAATTCAAGATTATTATTTAAAAAAAGATATACACGGGAGAAAATTTTGGAAAATTTTCACAATAATCTGATTGATTCGTATTTATTTTATTTCATTAATTATTTACTACATTATTCATTTTTCGCGTTAGTTTAACGTGTGAATTATTTATTTGAAAACTGTTTTCCTAAGATATAAATTCTAAAGTTTATTTTGTTTTATAGTTTAAAAAAATGTTTCTATTTTTCACTGAAGAAAAAGAATTTTTTTGTAAAATATTGTATCAAATTCGTTAAATATATGTATAGACATTAAAAATACAAATATACATAAAACAAAAACTACTTTACTCATTAAAAATTCACTCATTTGAAAGGTTATTAAAAATCAATTTGAAAAATAAACATTATTTTAAGAAAAAATTTTAATGAGACTATAAAATTCAATTTTTTTTTTTTTATATTTGGAACAGAAATGTTGAAAATTTGATTCGTTTTTACAGTAACGAATTGGAATGGCGGAAGATCGCGATTAGAACGAGAAGTTGATGACGAAAGACGACAAGAAAGGAAACGTCATTTGGATCCTGACGATGAAGAAATCGATAGAGGTCGCACGAAGAAAATGAAAATTCATCGTGAATATAATCGTTTTAATGTATTTCAAGAATATCAAAATATGAAAAGCGGACAACGTCCAATGGGTTATCATCGAAGAAATTATTACAATACATCATCTCATAATAGAGCACGATACAATAATAGGCCCAATTATCACAGATATAATCAAAGTCAAAATCGCAATCACTGGCAACGCAGATAGAAAAGGAAAAGTGCAGTGAAATGCGCTTTTTAAAAATGAGCGTTCTATATAATTGATTTTTTTTTCATTTAAAAATTGTCGATTTTCTCAATATTTCGACGAATGAGAATTTAGTGGATAAAAATAATTCGCAGCCAACGTTGCATTTCGAATTAATTGAATATTTTCTCAAGACTATTGACATGTTTTGACTGCTAGAACACTCTATCCTCGTTTTAAATAGATTAACAAAAAAAAAATCTAATAAAAAAAAGACAGATTTTTTCGTTTCTGCTTTTATCGAGGATATGTAAAAAGAGATAGATAGAGTGAGAGAGAAGGAGAGAAACAAAGAGAGGGGTAAAAAACGGTTTTAGACCATTTTTTATGTCTAAAATAAAAACCGAAAAAATTTTAGGGGGAATTGTCGTGTTTCTTTTATTTAATATACTTTTTTTTCTCTAAATAGAAAATGCATGTTTTTCATGTACTTTTAGTGAACATGAGTTTTTTTTTTTAGATTTTATTTGTGGGATATAATTACTAATAAAAATATCAATAAAAGTTCCTTATATTATATGCTCGATTTTTTCGCAAAAAGAAATGCGATCCGTCCTCCTTTATTCTATAGCAATATAAAAAAAAAAAATTATGATACTCGGTTCCCAGATGTAGTTAAAGAAAAAGTATAGTTACTTATACTGATCTAGCGGTTATAGTTCATCGATTATTAAAAAATAAAAAAAAACCGCAAGATGATGATAATTGTATTGTATATTTCCAAGGGTCTTGTTGTATATTCGCAGAATATTTTTTTGAAAGATCATCGAATATCATGACTCTAATATTGATTAATCAATTAATGGATTTTAAAAAATGTATGAAAGAATGTGAGAACATTTTGATGCCCGCTTAAATAAGAAGCCATTTAAGGAATTAATTTAAATTGTTTAATTATAAGATCAATTCTTATGGCGAAAAGAGAATGAAATTTTTGAGATAGACCGAAAGAAAGAAAGAGAGAGTGAGAGAGAGAGAAAAAAAGAGAATGTGAATGTGAGAATTAATTAATTGTTGAAGCAAATACTATGAGACGGTGATAAGTTTCTTATTCATAGTCTGCTCCAATTTATAATACCTCGTTATATTATTCTATAAATTAATACTAGCCAAAAAGTTAGACCTACGAAACATTAAAGAAAAAAAAAATAATTAAAAGAAATAGCTAGACATTAAACATCAACATTATAAATAATGTAATCGACGTCTGACTTGATTTACATACTTACCAGAGCTGTCTTCAGTAAAACGACGTCTGTATAATGTATGTATATCCGCATATTTGCTATAAAATTAAAAAAAAAATATATTCAATAAAAAGGAATGAATTTAAAAAAAATGTTTGCTTTCTTTTTGTCATCTTTTAAAAAATTTGTATAAGTAGTTTTTTTTTTCTTTAGGTACAATACTCAAATTTTTTTAAAAGATTTTAAAATTAGAACTAAAATTTGATGAAACTCAATTTCTTCAGGATCGATATTGTTTTGATTATTTTATTAATATTGATGAAATTATTATTTTTATTCTAATTTATATATTCTCTTCATTATATTTACCTTTGGTATTTACATTTTTTTTCCACAATGTCAAATGAAGGTAAACACACACAGTTTTCGACTAGTTGTTCTTTTGTTTTGATTTGTGTCGCATGAATATACCAGAAAGTTACAAAAATGGAGGATTCAGATTATTTAGTAGACTCATGGAAAAAAAGTCCATTTTTTGTTGTTCAAGATGAATATGAATTTACGTGCACAAGACTTCTAGAAAGAATAGAAAAAATTGTAAGTTATTGTTTTTCTGATATAAATATTGATATAACTAGATTCATATTTGTATTATATTAAATGCTGATATGATTTTTGTAGCTTGCAAATGTCCAATTGGAAAAGTTAAATATTGAAAGTATTCACAATGAATTAGATAATGAATTAGATGAATTCAATGAAATTTCAAATGAATTAAATAATAAAATTAAGTCACTTACCAGTTTATCACACACTCATTACTGTGTGAATTATAATCTAAAGGATTTCGTGGAAGATGTTTCTTCACGATGGCAGGCAGCAATAAATGAGGTACAAATACTCTTCAGTTACTTTAAATCTCAAAGAATATTTGTCCATAAGAATATAAAATTATTGTTATTATTATTATTTCTATTTTCTTTTCATATAATTATTTATTTATATTCGTAGGGAAACTTGCATTATTGTAGAGTTCGAATATCAACTCGATCAATTTTGAGAAAAATTCAAATTGATGCCGATGAAATTAAACTAATGTTACAATTTTCAATATGCAATTGTAATCAACAATGTATTGAAAAAGGATTTTACATTTGGAATGAAATTTATCGATTAATAGAGATCATAGCTAATTGCGATCATGAGGTAAATTTTGTTATTTTTAATTAATTTTCCAAATTATTTATTTTATTTTTAATATCTTTTTCTTTTATCATTCCCAAAAAAAAGGTTCAATTACTGATGCCAATCCGCGATATTGCACCACGTATAAACAATCTCATTTCATCGATTAATAATTTCGTTAACAATAATGAATTTATTCGATTTAATTCAAAATGTGAGGAATTAACCGTTTTTCCTTATGTATCAAAATTATTAACAGGAGAACTTATTGGCTTAAAGCCAATTAATCCTGAATTTGTTTTAAAAACAAATGCACTAAGGAGACCAATTTTTATCACTAGAATAATTAGACAAAAAGTAAAGAATCGTCTAAATATTTGTGAATGTTAAAAAGAAACTTTAAATATTATATATGTTAATTTAAAATTATTTATATCGTCAATGTTTTTCTATGTTCAGTGAAGATATATAGTATTGTCTACAAATTTATGTAAAAATAAATAAATATTTTTAATAATAATATATTTTTTGTTTTCAAAAAGAAAAAATCCTTTTAAAAAAAGATTGGAATTTGCAAGAAAGAAATTGTAACAAAAAAGATGTTAAAATTTTTAAAAAATATACATATTTATATGTAATAATTTACAATGTTTTATAAATACATGATTTAAGAGTATTGAAAAGCAAACAGAAGGAAATTAATATTTCGAAAAACAGAGAACAGTTTATATATATATATAGATTTTTCTTTCTTTTTTTCTGTTAATTTAAGAGTAAAGAATAACTATATATAGGACAATATATATCTATTGTATATAATTATTGATTGTAGATCAATTTTATAGTTCCATTGATAAATATCTCTATATTGATAAAATTCTGAAAGGCAGAGGAAAATATTTTTTTTTTTAAATATTCTTTCGTAATATTTACTCCTGTCTTGGTAAAATATTTTACTATATATATATATATAATATATATTCTGATGAACATTGGAAATAAATATTTTCTAAACTATACAGCTTTCAATGTATGAAAAATACAGAAGCTTTTCGAAATTCTTAATTATAATATGCGTTATCTTCGCTTTTATCAATGAATAATAACAGTTCTTTTTTTTATTGCGGGACTAGATTAAAAAATGCCTTCCAAATCTGGCCATGGAATTGGTGGCGCTAATCTCAAGGATGTATCCTTGTTGCGCATAAATGTTGGTGGTTGTAATTGACGTTTTTCCTAAAAAAAAATTAACGCAAAAATAAATAACTACTAAAAAAAAAAAATTAGATAGGAATGCAAAAAATATTTTTAAAAGATACATTTTGTAATTCAGAAATATTGAAAATATTTATTATTATTATTATTACCGGTGGTCGATGAGGTGGTATTGTAAAATTTACTGGTTTATTGGTCCAGCCTTTTGTATTTAAACATTTATAGCAGACTTTCGATTCTGATAAGCATTCAACGTGATATCCATGACCGCATCCAAAAATCACTATATATTCTGTACAATTAGCAAATTTTTGTCTACATATTGGACAAGTCAGCGAATTACTTGAGCAACCTTTTCCACTGTCCCTAAAATTATTAAAATTTTAATAAACAAGGTTCTAGTGTAATTTACAATTTTTTCTTTAAATTTGTATTCGTTTTTACCTCAAAGTTCGTTTAAGAGCTTCATGTATTTCCAAACTGACAAGCCTCGATGTGGTTTCCACTAATGTTTGCTCGTATCTCGAATGCGTCAAAACACTAGTAAGCAATTGTCTAATATCACCGATTGTTCCACTAGTGGCTAGTGGATGTTTTAAAATTTGCTCCAAAACCATTGACAGAGCTGTGGTACCGCTTAAAGATTCCAATACAATTTTTAACAGTTTTCCTCTTAATTTTTCAGCTGTAAATAGTATGAATAAAAAAGTTTTTTTTTTAAATTATTTAAAAGAACAACAGAATAAATCAAAAATACCTTTATGAATATTATTATCGGAATGTGGATGAAGTACAGTCTCAACAAGTGGCATCCAATCGAGAGTACCAGCCGCTCTTCGGCACAAGGCAGCCAATTGTGTTGTTATTTGAACAGCGTTAACATCCGAAACGTTTGTTTGACAACACTGAAAAAAAGATTTTATAAAATCTTCTTATTAAAAAGATATTTTCAAATTTGCATAATTATATTACCAGTGATAAATTTTCTTCCAGTCTTTTCAAGAGTAAATTGAAAGCCTCCTCATAGTTTCCAAGTTTCTCCAACATTATAGCTTCTCCATCTTTATGATTTGTATTTTGTACTATTTTTAGGGCCTCATCCAAACGACAACCGTGAGATCCATGTAGATGACTAGCGACCTTGACAAAAAAAAGTAATAATAATTTTTTTTGTTATAAATAAATTTAAAATCATAAATTGACAATAACTCACATATTCTGGTTCAACTTGACACATTAAAGTTAAATATTTTTCTAAAATTTCAGTGGACAATTCCAATTTACTTTCCTCTTCTTTAAATTGCATTAATTGAAATAGTGCTGACAAAAGTGAATACTGTAAAACTGAATTGTCCTCAAGTTTTTCGAGAATTTTATTTAATTTAGTTGCAACACGACTCGCTATTATATTGGCCAATTGGCTTGCATCAATTTCAACAAGTGATATGATGTGTGTTATTAAAACACTATAAAGTGATGTTATTGGCAGTAATTGTAAACGAGACCAAATTTCACCATGTCGGGACGGATCTGCTATTAAACATCGTATTACCGATGACCATTCTTCTCGATCAGTGTAAAGTAATTCAGAAACACGTAAACTAAAATCAAAAACACATTATTATCAAAAACATACAAAACACAATTTATTAATCTGAAAAATCGAATTAAAAAAATATATATCTTACAAATTTGCTCTCTGTGACAAATTCAATAAAGTAGTATCCGACATATTTGTCAATTTTCTGGAATCTATAAGTTGAAGAATAGCATTTTCCTTCTCCTCTATAAAATCCCTTAAACAAGTTTGTTCCGAGCCAGCGGCGAGAATTTCAACAATTCTATTTAAAACATTTCCCTCCAAACTCACCATATTCTCAGCAACTTCATTAATAATAAAAATAAAAACAATAACTCTTTGTCCATATACTAAATAATCAGGATTATTCGAACTAAGTGGTGTACTTGGCATTACAATTGTCAATAAAATATCAACAATTCTCTGTCTTTGTCGTAGTCCCATTTCAGTGGTAAATTCAGGCTCTTGAAAAGCCATTGCAATAACGTCGAGAAATCCTTTAACGTCAAATTTCAAAAATGTACGTAAATAAGGATATTGTCGTTCAGTATCAGTTGCAAGACTCGAATGTTGCGAAAGTAATGCACGCAAAACATCGGCTTTCACACGTTTTGGTAAACCCTCGGGTAATTCACCTTTTGGAAAATCACGTCCCGCTAGACAACAACTGCAATAAACTAAAAGTGCATTTCCAAGTGTGATACATTCATAGGATTGTACTTCTTTTTCATCGGCTAGTTTATTTTGTAAAACGGGCACGAGTTGATGAATTGGAGCTGTAAAATCACCAAGAGCCGTTTTTTGTAAATGTATCAATGCTTCCCACAATCCTTTATTACGACAAACTGTTGTCACCTGTAAATTTTTTTTTAAATTAAAATTTTTAAAAATAGGGGAGAAATTTTATACTTACTTGATGTATATCGAGACAATCGACTTTGAGTAAAATAACAACGGCCTGTAGAGAAGTTAAACGATTCTCCTGTTCATATAATGTGACAAAATTTTGTGCAATAATAGGTGGTAGAGACGGTGGCATACTGCCTTCAAGCAGAGGCGATTCCAAACAACAAAGATAAGTTGCTTGTAAATTTTCCGATTCAGAAACAAGATCCCACAATCGTCCAAAGAGTAATTCTGTATTCTCAAGTTGAACACAATAATCAACACAATAGGAAACTATTTCCGTTCCAGTGGCATCACTAGCCGATAAATTATTTAATTCGTCCATATATTGAATAAGAACCTGACAAACTTTATCTCTAGCTATTTGCTTTCGACGTTGCTTCGAGCCACGTAAACCAACCACGGCTTTTCCTTTATCTTGATAAAATGTAAGTCCCAATGCCAATGCCTCTTGAAAACGCCGCTGCAAAAAATAAAAAAAATAAAATAATTTAATAAATTCACGCTCTGAAGAAAGGAAACTTACCTGTAACGTTAAATGACGCAATCTTTCCATCCAAGTTCTTATACAAACAGCGTGAAGACTTTTTGTTCCTAAAAGAAGAAGTTGACTTCCAAATGTGACGACTGTATTGTAACATGCTCGTTCACCAGCCATTGACATTGCCTAAAAATTATTAACAACAAAAATTCAAATTACATTTTTTCTGTTAAAAAATTAGCAATAGAAGTGTTTCTAAATTCTACCTTGGAGACATTTCCTCCGGTTGTCAAGCCTTTAAAATGACTCGAAGCGTACGAAATACCAACGCAACTGACATCTAAAGTTTCTAAATCATCCTGCGTTCTCACGTCCAATAAATGCAGTCTTTCTTGAATGTCTAATATTATCAGAGATCTTGCATTGAGCCATCGAAGATTACTCATTGTATATGGAAGTACTACTTTACGAAGTGGAGTTAATTTTATTCTGTACGAATTCATTTCGCATTCTGTACAAACCTATTTTAAAAAAAAATTAATTACATTAAAACAGAAATTAAAAAAGGAGAATAAAAATAGAGAAAATAAAATAAATGATAAAGTACCTGATAAAAATGAACAACCGAGTCTCGACCAAGAGCCAGGACTGGGTCGATAACTCGAGTTGCATTTGCCGCTTGAATGACGACTAATTGCCAAGAAACTTGTGGTGGCGCAAAAGCAGGACCTGTTAATGCTTGACAAAGGACAATTCTCATTCTTGGCCTTATGCAAACGACTATGACCTGAAAATTTATATTTCTATAATACAAAATATTAACAAACATTAATGAGATAAATATTATGAAAATATTCAAATAAAAATAACAAAAATTAAAAATAAGATTAATAAATATAAAGAACCTTTGATAAAGTTGCCATTGCAACGAGTGTATAATTTTTCAATGGATGCGTTGGCAAATCATTAAGAAGTAAAGGTTCGAATGTACAAACTTCTCCTCGTGCTCCGCTAAATAAAAGTTTACTGTCACATCCACGAACACCCATGACTCTTGTGAAATTTAATTCAAAAACCGAACCACCACTGTCACTGCAAAGTGCCAATTTTGGAGAATCTGTAAACTTGAAAAAGAAACACATTGTTAAAAAAAAAGAGAACTACATTTAAAATAAAAAATTACAGACTTACTTTAACATGCAAAACAGCTGTTCCCGGTGGATGAACATCAGTCAATGTTCGCAAAACTTTGCCATTACTACTATCAATCATGAGAATATATCCCCTAGCAAAACCAGCTAACAATCGACTTCCATCATGATTAAATCCCAATGCAGAAACTGATCCCTGATGTCTTGCTTCTTGATCACACCATCTTAACGTTTGAGTTGAATCAAAACCCAAAACAAGACCATGACTAGTTCCAATAACTAACATATTTCCCCCAGCTGCCACTGCACTCGCCAATCCTGCATTTATTTTTTCCTAAAAAAAAAATTAATAGTCATTATAAATATTTCAAAAGTAATTTGAATTAAAAACGAAAATCTACATACAGAAGCAGATGTAATTTGAGCACAAATCCCTTTTAGAATCACATGTCTCAATATTGCTCCCGAAGCCGGTGTTTGTGTTGTTCTTTGTTTACTCAGCGAATTTAATGATAAAAGACTACCGACACTGGCTGTTTCACTTCCACCTAATTTATCAATAGATGCTGCACCAATATCGTCATCTGTTCCCGAAAGTGAAGCACAATCCGGCTCTGTTAAAATACTTTCTAAGGAGGGTAATTCCTCCACAATTGGTATTGCATATTCCGCATCGTCGAGCTGAAAAAAAAAACATTTAATTTCCCTTAATTCTCAAATTAGTTTATTACTAAGTAAATTATTGAATTCAAATCATAAAAATTAAAACTAATCATCAAACAAGAGAAAATGAATAAAAATTAATAATTCAAAACTAATTTGCACAAAGATAGATTTTACAAATAGGAAAATAATTAATAATATCAATTACCTCTTCAATTTCCAAATTAATTGCTTCTGCTGTAAGATTTTCAAGAGATCCAATGTCCACCGATCCATTCTCAGCCATTTTTATTTAATCTGTCATAAGTCTTTCATATCAGTCGATAACTCGTAAACATTATTTATATTCCGATGTAAAACGAGTATAAATTACAATTAATATTATTTTTTATATATTTATTTATTGCACGAAAAAAAACCTTAGCGGTATAGACCTAACACTTGATTTATAGGTTAGAATTGATATTTAATTAATAATTTTCCATAAAAAGAAAATTAAATTTGTGATATGTATCGATTTTCACTGTTTTTAAAGTTTACTAATAAATCAATGAATTTTATCGTTTCTTTTCACATTAATTATTGAATTTATTTATGAAAATTTAATCAACTGACAGTTGACAGTTCCGCAGGAGTGACAGCTCTTACGTTTTACGTTATGTTTATTACATTCAGTTACATCGCAACACGTCGCACGTCAACATTTATGATATTATAATTAAATTACTCATTTAAAATGGTGAAAATAAAATTTAATTAATAAAAGATTATAAAGTTATGTAGAATAATATAAAAAAAGGAACTAAATAATTATTAATATAAAAAGAACGAAAAGGTTTCATAAGGCCATTCATAACCTTAAAATTACATTCAATAATTGCGCTGATGCAATTGGTGTAATCTTTAAAAAATTACAGTTAATAATTTCTGTATTTCTCTAAATTATTTTTTAATTCCTTCTGTTGAATTTTAAACAAAAGTTTCAATGGAAAAATAATATAGGGTTTTAGAACCCAATAGTAAAAACTTTAAATCTGACAAGGAAGACAAGAAGATAATCACAACGTCCGCCTGTCAAAAGGTGTGCTTGATTTAATTGTGTATGGTGGATATAATAACTGGGTTAAAATTGTGTAAAAACTTGGGTGAAATTGATGGATGTTTTTTGTATAAAGTAAAATTTATGGAAATTGCAATAATCAATTATTTCATGATTGATAAATGATGATTTGTAAAAAATAGTTGTTGCATGGATATGCAATTTGTGAGAGGGTTAATGCCAACTCATCTAACTAAAATTATTAAAAGCTGTATATGATACACCCAAGACGTATATTTAATTTTTTTTTTTTTTTGATAAAATACATCATCAAGTGTTAATTGTTCATTAACAACGTGTAATGAGTTAATTAAGTGTTTGAGAGAAAAGAAATTTGCCGACATGACAAGCTCAATCGTTGGAGGTGGTCAAGAATCTGTGACAAAATTTTTCGAAATTCTTCAATCAGATCTAAAGATACTTGCTGGTGAAACTAAAAAGAAATATCCACAAATTAAAGAGGTACTTATGTTAATTTTATCCATATAAGTATTGTTTTTCTGCGTCAATTAGCAAAATTCAAGGTCGTCAATTAAACCAGTTTTTTTAAAAGAAAAATTACAAAATTTTATTATTGCTTCACCATGAAGGAATTGTAAAATTGAAATATTATTCTAAGCACTAAACAAGTTCTTTTATTAGAAATGTTTTTATTATATTATTATCTTTTTCAATTAAGTGCATAATTAGTGTACAGAAAATTACTTTTAAAGCACTTTAAAAAAACTTTCCTGGAAAAACTCTTAATAGTTTCAATTTATAAATATCATTTTTTTTTTAAATCTAAAATAGAGTGTAAAAATTAATAAAAATAAAAATTCTTTTTGTTATTGAAATTAAAAATAAATTTTTCAGTCATGCGAGGAGGGAATCGCGAAACTAAGATCCGCATCTGGAAATCCAGGAAGCCAAATATATTACGTGGTGAATCAAATTTTATTTCCTTTGGTTCAAGGCTGTGAGAGTAAAGATGTGAAAATTATCAAGGTTCGCACTTTTATTTATCTTTAAAAATTTATTCTCAGAACAATTTTTGTTCCTTTTTTTTAATGCAATTCCAATTTTTTTGTTGTACAGTTTTGCTTAGGAGTAATGCAAAGATTAATTACTCAACAAGCAGTTGATCAAAAGGGTGCACGTTACATCACAGATACACTATGGATGTTGATGGAAGCTGGAACAGAAGAAGTAAAAGTCCTACAAACAGTTACATTGTTACTCACGAGTAATACACTCGTTCATGGAGAGACGCTTTCAAGGGTAAAAAATAAAATGTCCATTGTCTTCTTTTTCTATTTGTAAAATTGTTTCCGTTTTCTCTTTTTAGATGTAAAAATAGATGCGTTGAAATCTCTCTTTATCTCTTTGACGTTACGAGCACATTGTTTCATATTTATTAATATGGAAATTTTTTTAAAAATTATTTTGTTTATTTAAAAATAGTTTTTAAATAGATTTCTTTTACTATTTTTTAAAAATTGTATTCATTGTTCTTTAGATGTAAAATTTAATTTTTTTAAAAATAATTTTACTATTTATGTGTCATTTACATTTCAGAATCTTGTCTTATGTTTTCGATTGCATTTCACTAAAGATTCGACAACAATAAATACAGCAGGAGCAACTGTGAGACAATTAGTGTCATTAGTATTTGAACGTGTGGTGGCGGAAGATGAAGAAAATTCTGAACAGCGTTCAATTGAAGAAATTAATTTAGAAGAATTGAAATCACCAACGAATCAACCGCCAAAAGGCCTTGGACCATGTGCTGCCGATGCTTTTTTAATGTTTCAGGTATTTTTTATTAAATTTTATAAATTTCTTCACTTACTAAAATTTTAAAGAATTATTTTTAATTTGCATTTTTATTTTAGGATTTAGTCCAATTGGTGAATGCAGATCAACCTTATTGGTTGACAGGAATCACAGAAATGACACGTACTTTTGGTTTGGAATTATTGGAATCTGTTTTAATAAATTTCTCCTCTGTATTTTTCAAGGTTTCTATTTTTTTAAATTAACTATTATGATAGTAATTATCAACTAAAAATTTACTGATAGAAAATTATTTATATTTTTTCACAGCATCCTGAATTTAGTTTTCTTCTGAAAGAGAGAGTCTGTGCATTGGTTATTAAATTATTTTCACCAAATATTAAATACAGAAATTCGGTACCGGCTTCAATTCAACAAGCAACACCTCTTGATAAACCTTATTTTCCAATTAGCATGAGATTGTTGCGTGTTGTTTCTATTTTAATACAGAAATATCATTCCTTGTTGGTAAGTTTAATTTAACATCGTTTTTTTTTATTACAAAATTATTTGTATATTTTTTAAAAATTGTTTCATTTAAAATGAATTGAATTTTACAGGTGACAGAATGTGAAATATTTCTTTCGTTAATTGTAAAATTTTTGGATCCAGACAAACCAGTTTGGCAACGTGCTTTAGCATTAGAAGTTTTACACAAAATGACCGTACAATCTGATTTATTGACAAGCTTTTGTAATTGTTATGATCTTAAACCACATGCAACTAATATATTTCAAGATATTGTTAATAGTCTAGGAGCTTATGTACATAGTCTTTTTGTGAATCCACACATGATTGGCTCAGCTAGCATGGGTAAGTTTATTAATTAATTATGTAACATTTATTTATTTCAATATTTTTTAAAACTGTTTTTTTTGACAAAAAAGTAATAATTTTTTTTTTAAATATGATTAATTCATTAATTTTATTAAATTTTTGACAGGCTCATCAACACCTGCTGTGCAATCAACTGCACCAGCACTTTTAGCAGGTATGCCAATTGGTCCTGGTGTCTCTCCTCAACCTGGATTTTATTCCAGAGGAATATGGTTACCAGTAGTTGTCACATTTCCAAGTGGACAAGCAAAATCTACATAGTTCGTATTAAAATACAATGTTTAAAAATAATAATAATTCTATTTTATTTGCATTTATAAAATTATTTATTTATAGTTTATAAATATTTCTACAATGATTTAATTTTTCTTCTAGTCTTGATATGTTGGATAAAATTGAACCACCACAGATACCAGATGGTTATGGGATCAGCATTGCATACGCTTGTTTGTTAGATATAATTCGCTCAATAGCTTTAGCGATTATTGGTTCAAGAGAGGAAAATACAGAACATCGATATAATCCTACAGAAGCTGAGAAGAAGCTTCACGTTCAATTAATTAATTCAAGCTGGTGTGGTCTGTTGGCGGCTCTCAGTCCTTTAATAGATGCTAGGTGAATATTTAATTCTTAAACTAAAAATCAATTTTTTTCTCTGTAGTAATATTTAAAACTAAATGTAAATATAATAAATAATTTATATATTTTTCTTTTTTGCAGCACTGATGAATCGGCAACAGAAAATGTTCTAAAAGAAATACAAACATTTGCTTCATTATGTGGTTTACTCGATTTACATACACCTCGTGACGCTTTTATAACAGCAATTTGTAAAGCTTCATTACCTCCACATTATGCTCTCACTGTTTTATATAGTGCACCGCAAGGAATTCCGAGTGCACGACCACAAGATTCTGTACAATATAATCCTGCATCAATGGGAGATTCTGATTATCGACAGCAAGTTGTTGCTGTTGGAACTCCTTTACCTACAGCATCATTGCCAATTGGTATATATATTTTAATTTTTTAAACATTTTACATTAAATTATTAATTTAATTTTATATAAATTAAATTTTCATTTTTGTTGTATATTAATTTTTGTAGGCGCTCAACAAGGACCAGTTATGTTGACAGTGAAAAATCTTCAATGTATGCGAGCTTTACTTTTATTGGCACATTGTCATGGCAGTATTTTGGGCACCGCTTGGCATTTAGTGCTGACAACACTTCAACATCTTGCTTGGATTTTAGGATTAAAACCATCGACCGGCGGTTCATTAAAGGCAGGAAAAACTGCTGCTGATTCAAATGCAATGTTGACAACAGCTGTTATGGCTGATTTGCCGGTTCTCAGCGCAATGCTCAGTAGATTGTTTGAGAGTAGTCAACATCTTGATGATGTTGCTCTTCATCATTTAATTGATGCTTTATGTAAACTCAGCCATGAAGCCATGGAATTGGCTTATTCGAACAGAGTAATTAATTGCTAATTTATTTATTTATTATAAAATATTTATATTTTATAAAATAAAATTAACTTTTAATTTTAGGAGCCGTCATTGTTCGCTGTGGCAAAACTTTTGGAAACTGGACTTGTAAATTTACCACGAGTTGAAGTTTTGTGGCGACCATTGACTAATCATTTACTCGAAGTTTGTCAACATCCTCATATTCGTATGAGAGAATGGGGAGTCGAAGCTATTACTTATCTTGTGAAAGCTGCTCTTCAACATAAATATCCTCAACCACTTCGCGATAATCAGGTAAAAAATGAATTATTTATATTTTATAATATTTTTCTACTTTAATATATATATAAAATATTAAGCTTGTGTAGTTAAGGAAATAATTTTTAATTGGTCAAAGTTTGCATTTCAAAATGAGTTTTAAACAAATAATTTGATGGGGTTTTCAGAAATTGCAAGTTTTACTTTTGGGACCTTTATCCGAATTGTCGTCGGTTCGTCACGCCGACGTAAGACAACGGCAATTAGAATGTGTTTTACAAGTTCTTCACGGTGCAGGAGAAACTTTGTATCATGGTTGGCCTTTGGTACTTGGAATAATTGGCGCCGTTTCCGATCATCATGGGTAAATTTTAAATATATCATACTCTTTTGTAATTTATTTTTTCTATAATTATAAATAAAAATTTTTTTTGTTTATTTTTTAGGGAAAATTTAGTTCGTATAGCTTTCCAGTGTCTTCAATTGGTAGTCACGGATTTCTTACCAGTAATGCCATGGCGTTGCCTTCCATTGTGTGTCGACACTGCAGCTAGATTTGGATCTCAAACACAAGAATTAAATATTTCCCTAACTGCCGTTGGATTAATGGTGTGACATCGTTTATGAAAAAAAAATTAATTTATTGATTAACAAATTATAAACGAAACGTTAAAATTTTTTCTTCTATTTATTTTTCAGTGGAATATTAGTGATTATTTCTATCAAAATCAAGAGAAGCTCTGCGTTTCATTGCGAGGAGATTTGGCAAATGTGTTTCCTGATTTTCCTGGAACAACGAATATGCCAGCCTTTGATAAGCTGTGGATGTGTCTTTACGCGAGATTAGGTTTTTCTATTTTTTAATAATAATAAAATTATAAATTTATTTCAAAATAATTGAAATGATTAATTTTTTTTTTTGTTCTGTAGGTGATCTTTGCGTGGATTCGAGACCGGCTGTTCGAAAATCTGCTAGTCAAACATTATTTTCAACAATCTCAGCACACGGTGGACTTTTGCATCAACCAACATGGCAAGCTGTACTCTGGCAGGTATTGTTTCCACTTTTGGATAAAGTCAGATGTCTATCGAGTTCAGCGAGTAACGAGAAAGTTGATAGTGGTGGTAATATTCTTATTCATCATAGCAGAAATACAGCGCAAAAACAATGGGCAGAAACTCAGGTAAGAATGAAAATATATAAGAAAAATTCACTTTTTTAATTATAGTTATAAAGAAAAAAAATTTCTGAAAATTATTAATTTTTCTTTTATTTCATTTTAAAGAGGACATTATTGTAATATATATTAAATTTATTAATTCAGGTTTTAACTTTGAGTGGTGTTGCTCGTGTTTTTAACACAAAACGACAATTATTACAAATGCTCGGTGATTTTCCACGTGCATGGTCTCTTCTTCTTGAATTTATTGAAAATTCCGCTCTCAGTAAAAACAACGAGGTAAGTAAAAAAAATTTTAATTTCCCTATTGATAATATCATAGAAAAAATAAATTTATCATTATAAATTAGGTTTCTCTGGCGGCTTTAAAATCGTTTCAAGAAATTTTGTATCTACCAAAAAATGCGGACAATAATGATCCAGTTCATTCGGAAGATTCAGAGGCATTGTGGTTGGTTGCCTGGCGTGTTTGGTTGAGTATTGGAACTGAAAGTACGAGTCCACCTCAGGAAAATGAAGTTGAACTTTATGTTCCCTCGCAAGCTTTTCTCACTGCTTTAGTTCAAATATTTCCAGCAGTGTTTCAACATATTAAAAATAAGTAAGCAATAATTACAATATTAAAATTGAGAAAAATAGAATGAAAAAATTAATTTTTAAACTAAAATAAAAATTTAAGAGTATTTTTTAAAAGTAAAAATGGCTTTTTTCTTTAAGATATACCAGCAATGATTTGCAGAAATTGTGTTCAGTACTAAAAAATGCAATTGCTGTTCCTGTTCATGGAGAATCGACACCCTATATTTTACCTACAATACCAGATGCTATTCTCACTCAGCTTCAAGATGGAATTTTACACTCGATGGAACTTTTACAGAAGGTCTGTTTTTAATATTTTTTGAACAAATCAAATTATTTTTCTATAAATTATTTTTTAAATATGTACATTTTTAAACATTTTTTTTAGGAAGCACTTACTGGTCCTGAGAATTTAAAGACAATGATTGGTCCAATTTTCCTGCAACTTTTATATTTCTTAAAATTAGCCTGCGAAGCGCCAACTTATGGAAAAGTGACAACAAAAAATATTTCTCAAGTGAGAGGAGTATCTGTGAGTTTTCTCATAGAAATATAAATTTTATTTATTAAATATTTTCAATTTTAAAAATCAAAAAATTACTGAAATTTCTATTTTTTTTTCTCGACAGTCGGACTGGGTGACAATGAACTATGTGCCTTTTGGAGAAAAAGCCTTATCAATGGTAGTTAATTTATATCAAAAAACTGCACACGAATCACCAGTGATTGAAGGACAAATTTTACGACACATCATTGAAGCCATACATTTGCCATTGTCAATGAAATATAAATGTCCATCGCAAACAACATGGAAATTGGCAATTACAAATCTTTTGACTATTTTGCATATTGGAATTCCTCTTGCCAGAAAGCATTCGGAACCATTTCAAAATATGTGGCCAAAATTGGCAGATACTTTGGACGATTTTTTGTTTCCCAAAAGGTTTGAATATTTTTAATTTTTACTTTAATTGTACTTTTGATAGTTTGTTTTTTTATTTTATAAAACATTTTTTTTTGTTTATTTAGCGCTTTAAATTCAGAGAGAGGTGTCGAAGAAATTCAAGCCGACGAGGCTGTTGATTGTCAAGTTATGGAACTTCTTCGAGATGAAGTGCTGCCTCATTCACAAAATATTCCTCATCAATTTATACTTCGAGTTGTTATGCTTTTAAATAAAGGATCAATTCATTCGGCAACGGCAACGAATATAGGTGAAAAACAAATTAAATTAATAAAAAAAACAAATTATTAAATTTTTTGACATAACAAATTTAAATTAATATATAAAATAATAATGATAATAATAGAAGGTTAATAAAATATACTTTTAGAGAAAAATGGGGAGCCAAAATTACGAGAAGAATTTGCAAAGACGTGTTTTGAAACTCTGCTACAATTTTCATTGCTCGATGGCTTGAGCAATGAACTTGAATCGAGTAGAGAAAAATTGCCAGAGGACGAGGGCGGAATTGCTGGAAGATTAGCTGTCACAGCTCTTCTTCACAGGTTTCAGGAAGTTTTGAAACGTTACATCGATGATGAGAAGAGAAGTGGGAAATGTCCTTTACCCAGGTATTATCATAAACGATAGAAAAAAAAGTTATTAAATTCAAATTTATAAAAATAAATAAAATGAATAAATTTGAATCTTTTAAAAATAAAATAACTAATACAAAAAATTAAATTAACATTTTATTAATTAATGATGAAAAATATTTATTACGTACTATGTTCTAGATACAGATTGTCAGAGATTTCTTTCGTTTTAAAAGCCGTTGCAACTCTCGTTGTTTCTCTTAAAAAAGCACCTGCAAATAAAGGTAACAAAAAAAAGATGAATTTTTTGAAGAAAATTTTATTGTTTTAAATTTTTGTCATAAATGATTAATTTCAATTTGAAAACATAAAAAAAAAATTATTTTCAGTTGAACGATCAGTCTGGGAACAATTGATTGGCCTTTATCCGTGTTTGGTGGAATGCACCGTTGCCACTGCATCTGGACCAGTTTCACGATCACTACGGGAAGCATTAATGCAATATCATGATTTATTGCGACCTCCTCCTTTATCGAATGCACCAACGTCCAATGGTGTTTGACCAACACATTCGATTCTATTAACTAGAAGTTTCCGTCAATGTCCGTAACGCTAAATATTGTGAGTACATATCAATTTCTCCTAAAATTAGTTTAAATTGAATCATAAAAAAAATTATTACTTTATTTAATTTATAAAAAAAATATTTAACTTAAAAAAAAATAATAAATTTTTTAAAAGCTAATTTTAATCTAATTAATTAAAAGAAGCTTTTAATTTATTCTGAAAATACAGTAAAAAATAAATATATATATATAGATAATGTTAATAATTTATTAAGTATTGAAACTTTGCAAATAAACAATCAGTTTTATAATTTCAGATACATTTAGAGCAGTTTGAAAAACTCTTTTTAATGAATCGAGAGTTTTCTGTTGTATAAATCAATTTAGAATTGATAATCGTCTGCTTTTATAGAATCTGTATATATAAATATTTATACCAAAACGTTATTGCTGTCTCTCCTTTTTTATGGGAAATGCAATTGTGTTAAATGTGCTCTTTTTTTTAAATGTGCTCTATCAAAACAGAGATCGAACTGAATCAACTTTTTTAAAACCTGATTAGATTTATATATATAAATATTATAAAAATGTTACTATAATAAAATTATAACTAAGAAACCAAAAAAAAAATAACAATAGTAATAAGACGATAGAATCTTATAAAAAAAACTTGATAAACTCTCTAACTATAAAAAAAATTCTATAATTCGATTTAAAAATTTGTAAATCAGGTGTAAAGTTGATTTAATTTAAAAGCAGTAACAAGTATTAATTTTATCTTTTTTGCAATAACGAGCTCGCTTATGATAAATTTTCTAAAAAAAAAAAACAAACAATAACTAGTGTCTTCAGCAATGAATTGATTATCAAGTTGACTAACTATGAGAAAAAGACTTGAGACCATTTTACAATATTATATATTATATAAAGTACAGGGAAGAAAACTCTTTCTTATTAATAAATATACTGTAGAGAAAATTTACATTCCACCAAATAAGCTTCTTTTCAATTTAATTGTGAATTAAAGTGTCTATTGAGCTGCATAATGCATGTTGGGAAAAAAATATTTAAAATAATTTCAACTATTATTATTGCTATTAATAATATTACTGTTAAAATTTATTTCTAATAAAAATAAAAAATGTTTACAATATTCGAAACAAAAAGGAACAATCAAACAATTTATAATAAAATATTATTATAATTAAATAATCACAAAAAACAAAAAATAATATTAAAACAAACAAATTTTTTATCGTTAAATATTAGTATAACAAAATTAAAATCTTACTTTTTTAATCGCCATTTTAAAATTATGAAATTTTAATTTAAGTAATAATTTACAAATTATTATACATATGAAATTATTTATTTTCGAGCTGAAAATATTATCTACAATTAATAACTTAATATTTAATATAAAATTAAAAATTATTTAAGTTACAAATTTATTTAGTTATAAAATAAATACAAAAAGAAATATTTCAGAAACGAATAAACGATTTTTAGTTTTTTTTTTAAATTCGTTTTTGTAGTGTTATTAAATAAATCAAAAAAGTAAAAAAGCTATATTGTTGAAAAATAAAATTGAATATTATAACAAAAGAGGAAATGGAAAATATCACAAAAGAAAAAAATATATATGAAAAAAATTATCGCAAAAATAAAATAGATATTATAAAGAAAATAATATTACAATAAATGAAAAAAAAAAATGTAAAATATATATTTACAAAAAGAAAAAAATATATTTTTAGTTTAAAATTTCAATGATTGAAAATATTTTTCAATATTTTTTTTCTCCTTTCGCCCAATAGACATTTTAACAATATATATATTAGAAATTTTAAATCATGTTTTTGAAAAAAAAATTATAATTAGCAAAATAATCATAAAAACATATAAATATATACATAGAAATATATATTCTACATTAATTATAATCAAACTTTGAACATATTAACCGTGTAGTACAATAAATAATTGATTGTCGTGATTTTTATATACAAAAAAAAAAAAAAAATAGAAAAAATGTTCAAGGTGTGTTTTGAACGACAAATTTTCATTTAATTATTCAACTTTAAAAGCACATTTTTGCTATTACTGATTACAATATTTGAAAAAATAATCTATAATATTTTGCTCGTTAGTTAAAAAAAATCGTGCAAATTAGTTTCTTAAGGAATTGTTTCCATATTATGTTTAAATAGCTGTAAATAAACATTAGAATGCGTGCAATAAATTATAGTTTATCGAGCTTTTTACTCTTATGTAAATATCAAAAACGAAAACTACAGTTTCCATCAAAAATCGTTGTAGAAGATGTGATTGTAGACAATTTTATAAATTTTAAAATAATGTTCATCATTTTATTCGTAAGAAGAGGATGCTACTGTAAGAATGTAAATAAAATAATAATTGAATAAGAAAATTTGAAATCAGTTTTTATTTAAAAAAAAAGTTTAACTACTTTTCAGAAAAAAAATATTATGCAAACTTTATAGAATTATTTAATATTTTCAGGAAGGGAAAAGGAAACAACAATTATTTTTAAGATGATAGATATATTTTAAAAACAAAAATAGAGTACACAGCTATACAACATCTTAAATGCGTGATAATTTTATATTTTGAAATTTCTTCCCGCTAAATGGAATCTTTTATTCTCTTTATTTTTTTTTTTACGAAACTTTTTAACATTTCATGGAAAATTGCATTTACATTCATATATTTTTGAAAAGCAGGTCCTGTTAAAAAGAACTTGTGTGCACATTATATTTTCCTGCTTTCAAACATTTCACAGACATTTTTTCTTTTACTTTTCTTGTAGATAATTAATTAATTTTTATTGTTTCTAAATTTTTTTTTCAAATTTTCTGTGAAACATTTTTTCTAGGAAGATATTAAAAAAAATAAAGCCATAAATTTTTCCATTTTAAATTTGTATTGTACATGAGATAAGTTTTAGTGCGTTTGTTGAAATAATAATTTTTTTTAACGCCTTTTGTATGAAAGATCTACATCTATAAAAAGCATATTTATAATCTAGAGTTCACAGCATCTTATTATACAATATGTATTATATTTAAATTAATTCATAAAATTCCATTTTATATATATATAATATATTTAGTAATATTGACTTCAATATGGTTATTTGCTCCTTTTTTTCACTGATAATTCAAAACGACACTTTCAATCATATATTTGAACAAATAAGAAAAATTAATTTGAATGAAACAATAAAAAATAAAAGATTGAAATAAAGTCACTTTTTATCAAAATATTTTAGTTTTTTCTTCTTTTGGAAAATCTGGGTCAATGATTGAGAGGGAATTGAATACACAATGAAAGTTCTCGCATCGATCATTATATTCAATTTCTGTTTCTTTCTTCTGAATTGCTAGTCGGATTTTCTTTTCAAGGAGCATAATACCGAATTTTTTTTTTTTTTTTTGTTAATAATAGTCTCTTTTCTGATTCCACCCACATTCAACTTGCGCTTTTCATAAACGACAATTTCCCCCTTTCCCCTCTCTATATACATATTAGATTTTAATACACACGTAACGAAAAATTAATTATTGCCATATCAGTCATTGCTTCATTAATTAATTTTTTATTTTATTGTCTTGTTGCATACATTATTTCTTTTAGAGACAAGAACAATTTTTAATTGGCGCAACATTATGCGTATGCGCGGTATGCTCATTAATTATAATAAATTAATTAACGCCTCAGATCATCTTGCAGAGAAAATATGAAAAAAAAATTCTGTGTAAAAAAAGTTGTAAAATATAAATTTCTTTTATAATTTTAATGCATGTTGAGAAAAATATTTTCCACTTTTTGAATATGATAATTTTGAGGTGAAAAAAAAGAGATGTATTTACAAAAAAAAAAATTGTAAGTCTTTTAGTGTTTTTGATTCAAAATGAAAAATTCCTTTTTCTTCTTTCAAACTGTTCGATTTTATAGCTTTATTATTATTTTTTTTTTTAAATTCCGTATTCTATTCCCTGTTTGTCCTTAATGATTCAAAATCTACCGAAGCACTTAATGGATACAAGATTTATAAGACAATATCTTTTTTTTTATTTTTATATAAAGGATTCAGAATGCTTTCCCCGAAATAACAATAATATACCTTAATTATTATTTTTCATCGCACTAAATCTGTTTTATTAATATTAATTATTGTCAATATTTCAGCTTACTGTATATACTATATAGGTATTATATATTTTTTCTTTTTTAATTCTTATCCAATTCTTTAAGTTTAATAATTCGTAAAATAAAAGACAGACATCCCTATGAAAAAACAACTTACTTTTTTAAAATAATTTCCCTAAAATAAATAATTTTTGGAAAAAATTAATAAATAAAATTAAATATATGAAATATTTTTAAATAATTAGAAAGAAGAAAAATCAATGAAATGAGAAATTTTTTTTAAAATTGGTAAATAAAAGGAAAAATATTAAAATTTTTTTTTTTAAATAAATAAAAATATTATTAAAACGTATAGATGGTATTTAAAACGTAATAAGGTTTTAATTTCGCACGCAATTGATTCCCGGATATGAAAACAGACGTAGATCAGTATTAGATCAACGGCTAAAAATAATATCTCTGCTGAAAATTGTCCAAGGAACCTATAAGTCTCACAGAATCTGATTGCAAATTTGAATATAATAACATTCACTTAACACCTGAATTAATTTAAAATTTTTATAATTTTTTTTTTTTATTTTTTCATTATTTTCCGATTCCAAGGAAAATTTTTAAGCAGAGAATTTTATGTAAAACCATCATGTCAGCTATGTGGTCTCAAACGTGACAGTCTTTATATAGTTTTAAAATTTAAATTTAAATAATGAAATATGACAATGAAAATTTTATTTGAATTTCTTGTTGAAAAAAAGATATTTAAAAAAAATATAATTGAAAAAATAGTGTTTATTGAATTTTATAAACATTTTTTTTATTAATAAAAAAGAAATTTTATTATATAGGGATTGTCATAAATATTTTTGAGTTTTTTTTTTTTTTTGTATTTTGTGTGTTCTGTTAAAAAAATATACTTCATTCAAGATAAAAATCACAATTGTTATTTTGTACTATGAAAGAGCTCTTTCCTGATAATATTATCCTGTCGTTGAGAAATGACAATTTTTTTTTGTTTGTTCTGTGAACGAAAAACTTTTTATTAATAAATAATAATTATAATAGGTAGTATGTAAATATTATCTAGATAATTATATATACATCACGAAATGAGAAATAGTATATTTCTGAATTTAAAAAAAGGGCAAATATTGTATTTATAGATTTTTGACAATATTGAACATAAATTTAATAAATTTTTTAATATTTATTTTATATTTAAGTATAAACTATCGCAAAATATTTCAGAATGTTTTTCGATACTTTATTTATTTTAGAAAAAAGTAAATTCAAGCAATCAATGCGGCCTCATAAATTAAATTGGGATGAGTCTAAAAAGTTGCTGTTCTCCTGAATTTTAATTACATAAAAAAAAATTTAATACATTTATTTTAGGTGGTTTAAATACTTTTGTAAGATAATTAAAATTGTTATTTTAATATTTGAGAATTTTTTTTGTTATGAACGGTCTCTTTCTGCATGTTGATTAAAGACAAATTCACATTAAAATCATTTTTTTTTTTTTTTTTTGCAAAATTGATCATATTATTAACATTATCTTTTGTTAGCTTAAGATGTAATTTGACACACAATTTACATTAATAGACCCTATATAATTAACCGGAATCCCGTTGCAAATTGAGTGGCACTACAACGGTTTTGAATATAATTATGATCGAACACGTTTACGTTGGATATTATTCATGTCTCTGTATTATGTGTGCAAATATTAATATATAGTCTGCATATGGTAAGTGACTTATACAAAAATTATTTCTTTTTTTCCATTTAGATAGTATATTTATTTATTGATTTTTATTTCTTTTAAGTGTGTATATAAGTATTGTATATATTACATCTTCGCACGAAGATATGTATTTAGAGACAAAAAAATATTCTATTTATCATTTTTTTTTTACATATTGAAAAAAATATACCCTGCAATCTTCCTTCTGAATTTTTTTTTCTTAAATTATCAATTCTCATTCGCAAATATCGAAAAAATTAGTAATAATAAATGTAAAATAATGATAATGAACTTTTATATCATGAAAACGTAATTAATGTTTAATGAAAAAAATAAAATTTTAATAAAAATAATGTTTAAAAAATATTGTATTAGCCTATAAAATAATAATTGAATTTCCTGAATTTTCTTGCTTTTCCAGTGAATTATTTTTCATTTTTAATATTTTTATATAGTAATTTAATAAAAAAACGATAAAAAATGATATCAAAGAGATTGTATATCAAAAAGAAAAAAAATCCCAGTGATTAAATAACTAAATTAAAAACTCGGTTAAAGAAGCAAAAAAATAACTTCGCAGGAGATTTATTTGAGTAAAAAATTATATATATTTATTTTTCAATTGCTGTTATTCAGTTTAATCTGAAAACAATCAATTGTAGTCCTAGCTGACTAGATTGATGATGATATTATATTTTTTTATGTGTATAATACGACGAAAACGTGTGAGCCCCACATAGTGAAGAAATTTCATTAAGAATCCTGGCACTTCAAGAACGGAGGACATATGATTAATACATATATGCATTTGATAGATTGCATTTTCTTTTCTTTTTTAAAGTCTTTAAGCGTTTAATTCGTTCAGGCGAAAACGTGAGATGTGTCTATGCGATTATAATTTATTATAATAATGATCGAATAATTCGTTACGTCAGATAGTATATATCTTATCTCTATAATATAGTAATAATAATAATTATAATAATAATAATATATATAACACACATAATGACGTTTATTCGCTATGCGTGATACGTGATAGTTCTCATATATTATTTGCATCAATAATTATATATTTTAATTTAATCAGGCTTAATCATCGATAACATTATACAAGTTAATCGATATTATTGTCCGACACATTTAAGGGGTTAGGGGTAGTCAGAATTTTCAAAAAATCAAATTTTTTTTTTTTGCATTTTCGTTAAGTAAAATATCTTAAAAATAATCTCTGAAAATTTCAAGTTAATCCGATAATTCGTTTTTAAGTTATTCGACAAATAACAAAGAGAGCTCGGGCCTTTGAAAGCGTTCGGGAGCGCTTGCAGCTAGTGTCAGCTGCAAGAAATCGGCTTTTAGGGTTCTATTGTCATCGATGAACTCAGACTTGGGTATATGTAGTAGTACCTAAATTAATATGGCCCAGGAATAGATGACTCGGTGTAAGTAATTTAATAATTCGTTTTTTTGTACGTAAATCTAGTGTGAAACTAAACGCGTTTTTCTCAAAACTATGTTTTTTGAACTGGTGACAACTATAACTCGAAAACCGCTCAGTCGATTTTAATGAAATTTATACAGCTTTTAGAATACATAATAAACTCGGGCCTGATCGAAGGATTTTTTTTTTTTTGAAAAATTTCGATTTTTTAAGACCAATTAACTGTTGATTTTTTCCCAAAAATCTAGACAAAAATTTCCTGAGGCCGCCATTTTGTTAATTTTTGAAAAAAAAAAAAAATCCTTCGATCAGGCCCAGGATTATTTATTTATAAAACTAATTTTTTTTATCCGATTGATTTCTGATTAATCTCCAAGGACTTATGATTGTCACCGCAAGGACCTTTTTTTGGAACTGGGTTAACACAAACAGCTGTAACTTCGGAAATAAAAATTTTTTTTTTTTGAAATTTTCGTGACTTCAAGTCAAAACATTGTTTAATAATACCATATTACTACTTTTGTAAAATAAAATTATTTAATAGCAAAAAAAAAATACTGAAAATTCTCATTTTTTCGTGCCTCTGACTACCCCTAACCCCTTAAACTTGAGATACGTACACGTATGATAATAATAATAATTTATCAGTGATCATCTCGCATCTATTTAATCAATTATTGTCAATATTAATTAAGATAATTCAAATTTTTTTAAGTTTAACAAAATAATTAAATAAAATAGTAAAATTAAGAAACAAGTTTTTAACAAATAATTAGATTTTAATTAAAAGTAATTAAATTATTTCAATAATTTAATTTCATATAGCCTTTTGGTTTCTTATTGTTAAGGAATTTTTCTTTTTGGACTTTGTGATCTTTATACGATGCAAGTTAATCGCTTTCGGTTGTAAATCGTATATTAATAACAAGAAGATCCTCTATATCGAACGTGGCGCTTAAAATTAATTAATTGAAAATTCCTAGAAGAAGGTACATTCAGCATTTTTTTTTTTTTTTCATTTTTTATACTGGTGACGAAAGTCACTTGTACGCCTAGAAAATTTTTAATTATCATATAATTAAATACATTTTCTTTTTGAAAATCTATCAATTTTATTTGTTTTTTGTTTTTTCTAGGGAACATTTCGCCACCCGTAACATTTCAATTTTTCTATTTTTCTGATAAGAAAAATAATAAGGACTTTTAATTTTGACTAGGTACGTTATCGTTATTATATAAAAAAAAATTAATTCGAGCTTTAATAATAAAATAAGCAAACGCTTGAGAGAATATGAAAATAAAAAGAAATTACACGGTATAATAAAAGTTAATGATATCAGAAAAAAATACGTACAATATAATAGAAAAAATAAAATACTGAATAAATAAATAAATAAAATATAGAAAAAAATATATAATATATAAGAGAATAAAATCTAAAAAAAATATGACTAGATAAAATAAATTAAAATAGATAAACAAAAGACTAGAACCAAAAGCCCTTTATATTTTTCATCTCGATTAAATCATTCTGCAATCGACATCTAAAATGCAAAAAAAGAAGAAAAAAAATTCCACGATTTCTGATTGCAGAATGCAATTATTATTATAATATCAGAAATTTAACTTACATTATTTTAAATATGTATAATAATATTTATAAGTATACGTTAATCACGCGCATAAGCTTTACTAATATTATTATATTGTCGACAGTATACACATTATATAATAAAAATTATTGTCTCGCGTAAAATTCAGTTTTTTTTTATGACACCTATAATATATATCGCGATAATATTCTGATTGACTCATATCAATAATAAACATGCCTCTAAAGGTTGTAATAGATTAAAAAAAATGTCTCTTTATTATTATGAGACACTTATTGTCAATTTATTTAAGTTGAGAATAAATAAAATGCAAAGGGGTAGGTTTTTTTAAACCAACTTAAAAATAAGTTTTCTAAAATAATTATTATAAAGAAGTTGATATGAATTAATTTGATATGATATAGGAATAATTCTTTCTTTTTTTTTTAAACGATCTTTATAATAGAATTACCATTTTGAATAGATTTTTCATTTTTTTTAAATTGGAAATTTTTTTACTTTTTTATTTATTATTCCAAGCCAAGAAATATTGATAAAGAATAAAATAATTTAACATAGAAAATAGTTCGTTAAATTTTATAAAAGAAATAATATAAAAATTATAGAAAAATATTCCTTTTTTTTGTAAATTTAATATCTAATTTATTTTTTATAAACGTTTAATTTAAAATTCATTTTAAGTAATAGTTTAAAAAATATTTAGATATTTAAGGGAATATTTTTTGTTTTTTTTTTGGGAAAAATTTTAAAACGATTTTTTAATTATTTTTTTTCATTCATTCATTCTCTCTTGTTATTCCGAATCATATTCATAAAATTTAATTAATAACTGAATTCTCCAATTTCATGGGGAATAATTATTGATTCGATCAACAAAATACATAGGTAAAGTCAATATGAATGTTCATGGCTCGAATCATTGAGGCTTGGAGTGTATAGTTCATCAATTCAATTGCATAAATTTTAATTAAAATTATACCATCAAAATGGTTATAATTTAATTTTAATTCAAATGAAAGTAAAACTTTCATTTTTCAAATATTTGTATAAAGAAAAATTGTTCAAATATCCCACGGGGGGAAAAAAATGATTGATTAAAATTAAATATATACGATTTCGATTAATCGTTTCAAAATTTCCCATACTTCAAAATTGTTTGAAGGGCAAATAATAAAAGAGAAAATAAAATATTATTCTTTTTTTTCAATCTTGTCCAGCAAATATTCGCTTTTATCTGAACTTTTCTCCTATTAAAATAGTTTTGCAGACTTGAAGGCGGTATATAATTTTTTTTTCTACATACTCACAGTTTTTCCGGTCTCTATTTTTTTTTTCCTTTTTTTCCTAAACAAGTGTGTCTTATATTGTTCTTAGTAAATTAATAATACTCGCCAAATGTTGGAATAGTGCGGTTTTTCAGTGGTCGAGGCCAACATCGTCTTTTTCAGTTTCTGGCTGAGTGAAGAGAGAGAGAGAGAAAAACGCTTGATTAGTTTCTACTATATAGCAATATTATAAAGCCGCGCAGCGTTTTCATCATATTTTCTTTGGTTGAGATTGACTTCGATTTTAACGCAACATATATTCTCGATCATATTGATCGTCTTTCTGTAATGAAAGTTCAAAAGCTTTATGCCTAAGACAATTCAATTTTATATAGTATGTCATTTTGATAAGGAGACTTGCATCTCTCAAGGACGATATCCATAATAATGTGTTATAATTAAATAGTTGATTCAATATCTTCAATCCAATTTCTAACAATGAAAATTTTAATTATTTTTTATTTTAAATAAATTTGAAAAAATTTACTTTTATAAAATTTAGTTTGTAATGTTAAATTATTTTTTTTGCTATTTAAAGATTGATTTTTCTAAAAATAGGAAAAATATCCTAAATGGCTTTTTTTCGTAATGTCATATAAAAATATTAATTTATTTTGTCAGAAAAAAATGATGAAGTACCTAAAGAAGTAAAAAATAAATAAACTTACTAGAAGTGTCTCTCCAAGATTAACGTCGGAAACATATTGAGGTGGATTTATGTCGTAATTGACGTTTTTCGTGCCCTCGTAAGGATATAGAGAAGTCAAGTAATTTTCGTTCTGTTGTCGCTCGCCAATGGTTCTTTCCTTAAAAACTGCTGCTCGCGCTGCTATTTCTTCAGCTCGACGTTGCTCCTGAAAAAAGTGAGAAAAAAACCCCTATTATATTGTCAGAGCTGACATGCTCAAGAGCGATAAAATCACTGATGCTCTTGGTGTATAGTATAAATTAGCGACCCTCTTTTTTTTCATTTTGGTCCTCGTCTGACAGCTGTTACCCTAACTTTTTTTTTTCTTTTTTTTTATGACAATCATTTCATTTACCATTAGATTTCATTGAATTGTCCTTTTTTCTGTCTTAAAATATCTCTATTTAAAGTATTTAATTAATTTTAAAAAAAATCGCAAAATAAAAATCTAAAAAGATTTGGAATAGATTTGAATGGTTGAGAGAAAAAAAATGGAAACTAACTTGTAGTTCTCGTGCACGTTCTGTAAGTATTAGTTCCTTAAGGTGTTGAAAGCTTCCTGCCTGAGGCACATTTCCCGACTGTGGTACAACCATTCCACCACCGATTCTGTAGGTGTATACACGTTGTGAAGTAGGTGGTTGACGATTTACCGTTCCATATGTCTTTGTCAATTCTTCAAAAGCTTTTGCTTTCGACATACCATTTCTTAGTCGTCCATTGGAAGGGGCTTTATGAATCACTTTTCCATAAATTGGAACACCACCAGATCTAGTTCGTGCCGGCTCATTATGATTTTCTAATAATAATATATTTTTTTCATAATAAAATACAAATACATATTTCTAAATTAATAATATTTTAATTATATCAAAAGTTGTTATCCTTGAATTTTGAAAAAAAATTAAAAACAGTGTATATTTTTTGCATCGTTATTCTTTGATAATAAAAAAAAAAAAAAATAACAATTCCGAGGGAAAAAAAAGTTATTTGAATGAAATTACCTCGATAGCCGTGCCATGAATGTGAACGACTTGGATAACTTTCCCACATATTATAAGAAAATGGATCACGATACATTGGCAAATCATTGGTGGCTTCTGCGGCTCTACTTTGTCGCTTACTATATCTCCACATGGCTCTTAATTCTTCGCATGTTGGTTCTGCTATGTGGGCACGTTTCTCGCTGTAGCCAATATCGCTAAATGTTGTCCTTTGTGAAGACAAAGGGTTAATATAATGTGCTTGGTCTCCAACTACCAGCACTCTGCTCGAATATACCAATACAATAGTGATCCATACAGCTACTATTTGCATTTTTCTGCAAAAAATTTCCATTAATTTTCATTTTTAATTGAAATTATTTTAATTTTTAAATATTTATGAATTGAAATAAATTTCAATAACAGAAAAAAAGAAAAAGAAATTAAGAAATAAAAAATACATCATCTTTTTATGAAAGAAAAAGTCGAAACAAGAGAAATAAAAAATTGAAAGATGCTTGTCTTTATTCTTGTAGAAATTTCTTTTTTTTCCTCTGATAAATAAAACGAAAGAAGAATAAAAATGTTAAACTTCAAAATAATATTTTTTTAAACAATGCAAAACAAATCCTTTCAATTTTAAACAGTAGAACTTAAACTACTTTTGTTAATTGTTGAGCTTCATTGATGATTTAATCCGATAAAGCTTCATTGTTTCCACACTTTCTAAATGCATGACCTGCTTTAATATTTCTGGATAATGTGCGCTTGTTTATGAATATTATGATAACATTAGTCGAATTCAATGAAACATAAAATAAATTCAAACATACCAATATTTTTCAGTCTTCTTCGGTCCAAAATGATGATTGATTTATATCGCTGTCGATATGTTGTAAGATATGTAACGTGCTTGTAAAATCTCTGCAAACAGAAAAAAAAAACAAAAATTACATTGTCGAAAAAAATGAACATTTTCGAGGGAGAATTAATATTAAAGATAAATGAAATGAAAATTTGTGTTACAGCAATATAAACTTGGTGTGAAATTTACGATTTAATTATATTGTTGTTTTAGAAACAAGGTATGTCGTACATTATCTAAACATAATTAACAAACTAACTCATTTAAACCAACCAACTGAAAACAATTCGACAGTAAATTAATTAATGATTAAGAGACGATCGAGGATACTCACTCACAAAATTAGAATAGTTTTACACTATTCAAATTGAAGTAGGAACCAAATAAATTTATTCAATATTTGATTTCCACTCCAATTCATTGAGACTGTCCAATTTTTTTTTTTTTTTTTTTTCGAAAAAAAGATTCAACTGCATTGTAATAGAATTAATTATTTTTTCTGAAAGTAGAAATAATAAATCAAATTAACTGATATTTAAAAATAATATTAAAATTAAATTTAGAAAAAGTTAATTTTGTCAAAATAGACGGGGAAGAGATGAAGGAAATTGTAATTAAACCAGAAAAAGCTAAAAATTTAATGACCTTTGCCGGAAAATGGGAAAGATTTAACGAGAAGCCAAAGAATGATAAAGTAATAATGTCACTGCGGTATCGTTACTGCAATTAACCGGATCTTTTATAGAGAGGGTGAAGACTTGAAGCGAGCAAATATTTGAACACTCTTCTCTTCCGGGTAGAAAATTTGCTGGAGACCGTTAAATGTATATTGTTATAGAGAAGACTAAAATAATGAAGATTTCCGACATATTACAAATTTTTGTTTCCTTCCCTCAACTGCTAAACTAAAGGATTAATTAATTAAAATAATTTAAATATAAAGAAAATTTAAGAAATTCCCCTATAATTTTTTCTATTAATAATTTCAATCTTCCATTTATATAGCAAAACTAAAGCAATTAGTATTAAAACAATTTCTTTAATCTACACTAATTTGACATAGAAAAATGTGAAAATGTTATTTTTCTTCTAAAGAAAAAACTAATTATTGAAAATTAAAAATTATAATTAACTGAAAGTCAAAAAGTTGAATTTTAATAATGAAAAAAAAAAGTTTCAAGCGAATTCTGATGTTGACAGTTTCTTTTTTGGTATTTCATTCCAAATTATCGGTTCTTATAAGTAAAGTTTCTGATGTGCTTGAGAAAAAAAATTTCTCGATCTGCGGTTCAGAAACTATATCTTTTCCTTTTTATCCATTTTTCTTTACTCGCAGGAAAATAATTAAATTCTTTGAGGAAAATGGAAAAAAATTAAATTCAGAAGATATTTTTTTAATACAAAATTTCAGAAAATTTTGACTTAAAAAATAAAAAAGTAAATTAAAATAAGAACATATAAAAAAGAAGAAAAAAAAAATAAATATTTTACCTTTGAGGTTTGTATGTGTAATATAAAAACAAAACTATACATTGTTAACTTTTATACTTAGTAGGATGAGGATAAATATTTACTAAATTAAAATTCATGAGGACGTATTGCATAATTTCTTGCATACAAATTGTGAGTAGGAAGCATTAGTTTCGAAGTTATGCATAATTTACTGTCTGGAAGTAATTTAACTAAACAGAATTCAAGTTAAGGGATGAAAGCGCATCCAATCGTAAAACATCGTTAACAAAGCTGTTATTTCGAAGCTTCCGTGAACCTTATAATCCAAATACTATTAACCTTAAGTTGATAAGTTACTATAACTTTTAATATTTCTATTAATAATTTTACTGAAATAAATAAACGCCACCATTAACAAAATTAGAAGAAAACAATTTTATAATTACATAAAAATTTTATTAATTTTCTAATAGATTAGAAATTATATCCCAATGGTTATAAATGTATAGAAAAATATATTTATTGAAATTTAATTTTAAAAAGTAGAATGACATTTCACATGCCCATAATTTGTGAATGGAAACTTGATTATAAATAGAAGATATTGTTTTCATAGTTGATAAAGCTCTATGATAAAGCAATTTCAAAAGAAATTAGCATTTCTACACGGCAAATGAATTCAAGGCAAATAGTATCAGGAAAATGGTAGATTTGCATTTATGGAAAAAGCTTCAATAAATTGTCTCTTAATTCGTTCAAAAAGAAAATTCTCATTGTTTAATAAAATCCTTTTCTAACTTTTAATTCCTCTTCAATATTTAATTAAAAAAAAAAAAAGAAATAATAATACTCAGACAATTTTTAAAGCAATTAACATTGAAAGAAAGAAAAAGAAAATCAAATGAAGATTACTTTCATTTAACAGAAAAGTAAATACATTTAAAATGCAAAAGTCAAGTGATTATAATTAAGACAATAGTCGATTAAATGAAAAAATACGATTCCACTGTATATAAGACGATAGTAAATGATGAGAAAAAGAATTTTCCAACTTGCTAATAGAGTAAAAAGATATAGATAAAGGAACTTGAAATGAACAGAAAATTACGTTCAAGTAGTCAATTAAGTGGAAAACTCAAGTGACAGGGGATGGACAGGAAATGAAAAAGCTCAAATGAGAGGGACGTTAAAAGTCTACTAAGAGAATGTGTATTTATCAGACTTCCTTTGGAAAACTTTAATTTTCAGAAAATAATTAAGTGCAACCTCAATTAATAAATATATCTTTGAAAGATCTAAAATTCATTAAACTTTAACAAAAACGATGACTTTAAAAATAATTTTCATTATAGTTTTATAATAACATCATTTAAGTTTCTCGTGTAGAAGATAAAACATAAATTAATTATTGTCTGTAATTTTCAATAATAGTTCAAAAAAAAGTTAATAAAAAGAACTTAATCAATTAAATAATGAAATAAAAAAATTCTATTTTTTTCATTTTGCTATTTTAAAATTGAAATGTCATATATTTTATGTAAATTAAACATAAATCCTCTGAAAGTTAATGTAAAGTCTCTGTCAAAGAGCTTAATTCAAATTACATATATATATATATATTAAAGATGGAATGTAGATTTATGTCTATAGAGAGTAAACTATTTATTTCAAGTAAATATCAAAAGTTAGCCATTAGAATAAATAATAGAGGGATTGCAATTCTCTATATATGGAACATTCACTGAAAACAGCAAATTAAAAGTTACATATGACACTTTGACAATAAAGTCAATATTAATTCCATCAACTTTTTTTTCTCATCAAGTATTAGCTAAATAATGTTTTTATTATACATTTATGATTAATTAGCCTATTATTTCAATAATTAATATATATCGTTTCTTTAGAAACAAAAAGAGTGGAAAAATTAAATTGCTATAAATTTTTTTACAATATAACTGGTGAAACTTGTACATGTCAAAGTTCACTTGAAAAAAGAAAGAAAAATGGAAAAATAGTAAACTTCGATGATTTTGTTTTCATGCTGTTAAAAAAAAAAGAAAAATCAATTCCTCCTATTTCTTCTTCTACTCCGTTAAATAGCAAACTAATCAAATCGGTTGAAATCCTTTTTTCAACTTGGTTGTCAGTAAGGGCACATAAAATAAGAACTATTTCTCAATGAATTCTTCGGAATTGTTAGTTTTGGAAGCACACACACACACACACACACACATACATTCATACAAACAAAATATGTACACACAAGAAAGAGATTTTTCTCGAGTGAATTTCAACGATCCTTTGGCAAAAGGGGAAAAAAGATCTTCTTGAAATAAAGGAGAAAAAAAAGAGTGTAAAGAATGCACTCGTAAAATTAAAGTCTCCTGTGATGAAAAAACTAAAGGATATAACGAATGTAAATTAAAAAAAAGTAAAAATTATTTTTTTTACAAAAAATAATTCAAAATCAAATTGAGAAAAATTATAACGTAAAAAATCGTGTTTTACCCTTTTTTTTACAACTTGTGACATTTCGAACATATATACAATTTCAAACATGATCCCCTACGGAGATTGAAAAGTCGAACTTGAAATTTACTATCTGAAGAATCTCTCGATACTGATAATAAAATAGAAAAATGAAACGACTACACTATAAAAATACTTGTTTATATTGGGACATTAAAAGTTGTATAAAAATCTATTTTATTTTCCTTTTCGAAAGAGAGTGTGGTTAAAGTTTCTCTCTCTCTCTTTTTTTTTCTTTCTTCTATATAAATTCTATCTAGAGAGAAAATAATAATCAATCGATTTCAATCAATCTTAATATTAATAAGAAAAGAATGGAAAAAAATCTATCTTCCTCGTTTAATAACTTTGGACATGATATAAGAGACGATCACAGAGAAAAAAAGGTCCTTCTAACCGACAATAAAAAATTCAACATTCCCTATTTTCAGATTTTTTTCACGTCAATTCAAATTTATTCCTATTATTTAAATTTGTCGAAATAAATTAACTTTGAAATGGAAACATTTGTTTAAATTAAAATTTATACTTTGAAAATAAAATGAAATATAACGAAAAACATAAAAAAAGTCACAAAAATAAATAATATTCTCTTGATGTTAGAATTTTTAAAAAATTTCTCCTACCTGAAAGAATGCATACCTACTTGAATATATTTTTTTTTTTGACCTGAGTATGGGTCTGAAATGTCTTCTACATCCGGCAGTTCCAATTTAAATCCATGATTATACTGAAAAGTAAAAAAAAAATTATAAAATCAAACGCTTGAGAAAATAAACATATTAATTATATTTCTATCAATTATTTCCACTCGGTAAATAATTAATTATTATCGATTACTTTTTAATTTCATTCACAATTTTCCGTTTAATAATAGTTTTTTAGAATTAAAAAAAAAAAAGTGGAACACAAAATGAAGTTTCTACTTTGCATCAACTTATTCATTTCAAATTACTTAAGCGCTGCACCATTTTCACTTAAGAGGATCTAACTTTGTTAGTTGTTGGCCAAGTATGTCTTGTCTGTGTATAAGAGATTCAAAGAAGGGAAAAAGAATAAGGAATAGTATAAAAAGCTTTTTTTTACTTTTTTTTCTGCCCGAGCATATTCTTTGTAAAGGTCATCTTACTAAAACTCTTGAGGTTTTTCCCCCCGGAAACAAAATTAATTTATTATTTTAATAAAACGTAAAAAATAATTAATGAATATTTCAAAAATAAAAAAAAACATAGATGACAAAGAAAAGGAAAAAAACTTTCTGTAGAATAAAATAAATAATTTTTCTCAATCGAGAAACTTATTTGAAATTCCAGGATATTTTTATTTGCTTTTATTTATTATTTTCCGGACGCTTGTCGATAATAATTATTGTGTGAATAACAATGTGGGAGTTTAACGCGGGTCGAGTAAGGAATTTCAATTGTCACCACTATATATATATATATATACATATTCCTATGTTCAGAATTTGTGAATGGGCCAAACCGATAATTACATATCGCGATATGTATGTTAACATGTGAAATGAAACTGATAATAATTCGGTCATCAATGAAATTGATATTGCTTATTTCTCTCTATCTATATGTATATATACAAAAACGAAAATCAAAATTGTGAGTGTATTATTGGTATAATTATTGCCGAAAATTATTACTCGATGTAGGTAGGAGTGTAAGAAGATTAAACGTAATGACCCGTTAGAGAGAATATTATCGTAACAGGCTCTATATAAAATCGACCTCGTGACATTATTATATTATGATCTCAAATTTCATCCCTATAATACGAGTACAAAAAGGTTTTGTTTGAAGAACATAATATTGCGAATCTTCATTAGCCATATAATTTTCTAAAAAAAAAAAAGAATAAAATAACAGAAAAAATACTTCTTCTATATCAGAAATTAAAGCTGCCTTTTTAATCTTAATTAAAATTTCAAAACTAAATAATATTAATAAAAACTCTAATAAACCAAATGTAAAGAAAAAATTTAAAAATAATTAAAATATAAATTAATTTATAAAACGTCTATAGAATTTCTTTTACTGCACGAATTGTTTTATAAAACAAATTTTGTCGTTATATTAATTTTTTATTTAATATTTTCATAGGCTCCTTTTGAATTGATTAAAAAAAAAAAAAAATTAAAAACTACATTTTTTTCTACTCGAATAACAGAAATAAATCATGAACTAGAACATCGGATGACGGTGAAGAATTTGACGAATGACATTTTACAGGATTTCACGTTACGAAGCTGTGAACAATTTTTAGACCATGTAATTGATTTGCAAACGATACATTCATTTGACAAAGAATATAAAAAAAAATTCTTCTGTAACTGTAAAACTCGTAAATGGAACTGCGATAATTTTTATTTTTTTTCATACCAATATAATATTTATTGATGTTTAATTAGAAATTTCAACATAATTACACGAAAATTACAAAACAAAAGAAGTAATATTTTTAATTAGGAAATTAATTTTCTAGTAAAGTAAAGCAAAGTTAAATCAAATTTTAATAAAGAAAAATAGTAAATGAAATAATAATAATCATTACAATATGGTAATAATTAGTATAATTGTTTGAATTTTCGAAAAATATTGGAAAACGCTCAATTTCTCCAGAAATAAGCGTAACATTTATCGTTTTTTCATAAAAAACCATTTCTACTCTATTGAAAGTATTGAAAATAGTTGAAATGGAAATATTCGCCCGGAGCATTTGTTTTTTTTTCTCAAAAAAAAAAAATGTCGACCACAAAAGCGCTTTACAGAAATTTCAATGGAATTTGCGTTTTATTTTTTTTTATCAAAAAGTTATTATTTTATATTTCTTATTATTGTAATATAATTCTTTACACGATTGTTTTTTTTTTTTTTTTTTTTTATTAAAGAAAACATCTCTAAATACTTTTTACAAATTTTATTCTTTTCTGAAAATTGTTATCAATTTCCCCCTAAAAAAAAAAAAAAAATGAATTCAAAATATATTGTAAATTTTGCTAATTAAACACAATTTTGTGTCGCTTAAAAAAGAATTTTTTTTCTATTATCAAAAATATGCAAAATGAGTAATTTCTAAAAATAAAAATTTCTTTAAATATCGACAGATTGTGATAATTTTAGATCTATTATAAAAAAAGTATATAAAATATTTCGAAATAACTTTCTATTAAATCAATGCAAATTTATTTTAATACTTTTTAACTTTTTTTTAAAAAAAGTTGAACAATTATGCAATACATAAAAAAATTTACGTTAAAAAATGACGATACTTATTACAAGATTATATTTTAGGGATTTAGAACTTCATTTGCATTAACGCAATATATAATTTCCGCTTCATATATATATATATATATATATATATATATATATATATATATATATATATATATATATATATATATATATATATATATATATATAAACGAGTAATTAATTTCATTTTTAGGTGCAGAGTAATAATTGAGACCGTCGTGGATTTTAATTTAAACCGTTTTTCATATTTTACTGCTCGACTATTAACTACTTTGTCTACCGATGAAGTGTAATTAAAATACGTTTATAATTTAAAAACTTAAATTAAATTTTTAATATACTTACATTTTCAAAAAAAAAAACTTTTTGTAAATTCTTTAACAAGTTTTTGGTTTAATAAAAAAAATTGAAAATTTTACTTTAAAACTGTTTCTCACTTTAAAATTTCTTTTTTACTATCTTAAATAGTATTTCTTCAATTTAAACAATTATCAAACAAATAATGGTAATTTGAATTTTATTAAATTTTTAAATTAAATATTTTATTTAAAAATTATAGAAAAATGTGTAAAATATTTTTTAATGACAGATTTTAAATTTATTATATCAATGAATGTGATTTAGCGTTTTTATAAGAAAGTAAAAACTTTCGCAAAAGAAAAAAATCTTCAAAGAAAAGGTCTGAATTTTATGAAGGGTGCTATAACATGAAAGGTTTACCCTCAGACTATCACCGTCGGGTAGTTGCAACAAGTTAGAGTTAGGCCGACAAAACCCATACGTATTTTGCTCGACCTGCTTTTAAAGGGATTTTCCAGCTTAAAAAGGAGCTTTCAGAAATTTACACTATTTGAATTTATATCCAGTTTATTAAAAATAAAACTTTATAATTGTAAAATTTATTTTTTTATTTAAAAAAATTTAATTAAAACAAACACGATAAAAGAAAATATATTACTAATTAATTTAATAATTCTCCATACGATCATTGTTGAAATTCAATATTCTATCATTCAAAGGGAGTACAATAAATTCCGAAAATTAAATTTGCTTTTCCTAATCAAAAATGATATTTCTCATTATTGTATAACATACAATATGTATTGTATTACATTATAAAATTCAAAATTTCTCCCTCAAAATTATTTTTAAAAAAATTTTTAAACATTCTGTATTTATTTTGTATTGATAAACTAAGAAATCATTGAATAAATTTGTTTAGCAAGAAACCTGAATAAACACTATTTTATTTATCTATTTAAAAAATAAAAAATAAATAAAATTTATTTTCTAAATATTTGTACAATCATTGAAATTCAATTTCACTTGTTAAATCACTGATAATTTTCTGATTAAAAAAAAAGAAGTTTTTTTTAAATTTGAAAATCAAGATTTTTTCACTTTAGCCTCGAATTATTTTACCAAACAAATATCTCCAAGTTAACTTTGCACTATAAGAAATCACTCTGTCGTAGTGAGAAAATATACACTGTCATGATTAACGATGCAACAGACCATGTTGATGGGAAGAGAAAGAGAGAAAAAAAATAGAGATATTTTCCAAGTGAGAAAGACAAAAAAGGATAACGAGAAAAGGGGGAGAGAAAACGGAATAGATTGTGAAAGACCGGAGGGGAAATGATAAAGGTATCGTGTGTTCGTGAATGAAACCAGCAGCCGATTCATCGACTCGTGGCGCGCGATAATGAATCGCAAGGTAGAAAGAGAGAGAGAGAATTTCTTTTTTTAAAAAGCGAGACAGCGGAAAATTGCAAATCAAGCAAAAGTTTAAAAAAAAAAAAAAAAGATTAACCACAAAATCGTCGGTTGATGAAATGATTCAAAAAATTAAAAAAAAATTAATTAATTAATACTATTATTTGGCAAGATTCTCACTAACCTGTCAGTCCGCAGAGTCCGGAAACTGTGGAGCAACTGAGGTGGCGACGGCGACGAGCGCCACGCCGCCTCCACCTCCTCTTCCTCCTTCTTCGCCACCTCCAACGCCTCCTACTTCTCATGGGGTCCTTCCTTCGCAACACACAGGATCCTCTTTCATATGTTCCCCCTTCGTTCATAAGGATCACAGAATCCATCTCTCTCTTTTTTTCTTTTCTTTTTCTCCAAACCGCTGACTTGAATTTACATTTTTTTTTCTGATTTTCTATATATTCCAACTTTTCATATATATACCAATCTTTCTCTCTCCAGTGAAATTTCCCCTGGAAACCTTCCCCCAAACAGAGTCCTAACCGGGAGGTTGCACCCCCGCACTGTGCCAGTATCGTAGAAAATGACGCACGTCCCCGATGCACGAATTCCAAGAATGAATCTAAAAAAAAAAACAATGATTTTAAGAATAAAAGTCAAAGATGCAATTGACCGATAAATTCAGATTATCCTGCGTTTAAAACAAGGACGGAGATAAGATAAATGGTGCAGATACTTGTGATTATTGTGGTCCTGAGTCGAGAACTTGATTCATTGTTAAGAGAGAGTAGTCTTCTTCAGCGAGGGTCACCAAAATCTCCTATTCCAACTTAACGAGTCACTAAATCCATTAGTGATGTTCATTGTTCCTTCGCAATCCCCATAGAGAATCCTAAAATTAAACCAATAGAGTTAGATTAATTAAATTAATTGAGAAAAATCAAATTTTTCTACTATCGCCAATTATTTAAATAGGCAATATCTTCTTTTTAAAAAGATGTTGAATTTATGATGAAAATTTTTACAATGTTATTTTCTTTTCTTGTTTGTTAATTTCCCTTCTTTTATCGTCTCATTTTTTTCTTTTCTTTAAAAAATATGACAAAGGGGAAAATAAATGAATGAAAAAAAACTGCTAATTTAAGAGATACTTTACCCTCTTTATATCGGAGAACAACTTTCTTATCGAGAGAATAATATATATATATATATATATATATATAACTATTTTCAAGAATGAAAGATGTTTATAAGTCGCGAGAGGGTCATTCTACTGGCACAAGATAGTTTTCCGGACGGGTATTTTCATCCCACTGTCGCAAATGTAATCATCAATGAAACCTACGCTCCACTTTGCATATACGAGTCGTTGTGTGAATTTAATTCAAGCATTTATTAAATTAAGATAGAAAATTTAAAAAAAAAGCGTAGGAAGTATTTTGTTATATGACAGTGTAATTACATTTAATAATCATGTTAACAAAAAATTGTTTTAAATATTAATTACATCCAATAATATTTTGCATAAATATAGAATATTTTTTATCCTCTTTCTTTTATTATTTGTTATCGAATTTTTCCATGTTTTTAATTCGATTATTTTTTATTCGTATTCTTTCATCACTTTGTTGTCATATTTTTTTAATCTTATTTCGAAAATTCATTTTAAAGCGATGCTTTTTCTGCAGTTTACTTATAAAAAAAAATTTGTTTTCGTTAAAATGAATGAACACATTTTAAACGTGAAGCCTTGAAATTTTTTTTTACTACGTCAACCTGTGTTGCTTTTAATCGATTTTTGTTAGCAAAAAAGAAAAATTGTATAATTCATTAATATTCAAAAGCGTTTATTATTAAATAACCTTGCAATTCTTATATATATATATATATATATATATATGTTGAATAAAGATTTTTATCCTTTTTTTTGCGCGAAGGGAAAGAAAATATTATGTATTACTTGGGACTTCTCATTTTTCTCACGCTTCAATTTTCCCTTTTTATCCTCTGTGCTGAGAAAACTGGAAAATTAAGCTCGTGGATATATTATATTTTCGTTGAAGATACAATATGTCACTTAATTGTGCTCATGTGTCAAAAGCAGACAAAATTCAAAATAATTATATAACACTTTTAATTTCTATATTCAGAGAGAAATTATTTATATAAATGTTGATAAATTGACAATGTGAATTCAAAAAAAAAAGTTAGGATTATTTTCGAAAAATGTCAAAAAAATGTTAATTATGCATAAAAAATAATTTTTTTGAGAATAAATGAGATGAAAATAATTTATCTATCGCGTTAAATTCTAAACAATATTTTGCAGATTCATCAGATTTTTGAAAAAAAAGAACGAAAAAGACTATTTTATATAGATTTGGAGATTTTGAATGTATTGGCATTTTTTTTTTCTCCCAAAGGCGGGATTTGCCCTGGGCTCTGACATATCTTTCCTTTTACTCTGATATATTATTATACTACATTTACTCTGGGTCAATAGGTTCTCTTTTATGAGTCTCTCGGAAATTCTCTTTTTGAAAATATATTTAGTAGCATTCTTATTCCAAAATAGTCAGTGTCAATAAATTCTTCATTCGATATATCACATAATATTTCCTCCCCAAAAAAATAAAGTACTTCTTTTTTAAAATAATATTCTTCTCTTTTCTATTAAAATAAATAAAAAAAAAAAAAGTTTAATTTTCAAATTATTGTGTAAATACGAAAACTGAAAATAGGTGTCTCGCATTAAACATATCGCAGTCAGTAAAGTACGCTGGATTTAGTGAGATCTAAAAATACATTTCTTCTGAATGAAGGAGAATTTTCTGTCTCTCTGTCTCTTGCGATATCTCCCTTATTCCGCAACTGTTTCATTCTCGCATGCCCTTGCATCATTTGCCGCAAGACGCCCTGCACAATTTATAAAAAGGACACATCGACGTTGCTGGTATATATATATGAGTTATAAATATTTCCTCCAAGAAACCAAACCAGACAGAATGAGACAATAAGAAAACAAAAGAAAGAAAGATTATAATATACTCAACATTGGTACGCAATATTTTGTTCATACTTATTGCTTTTTAATATGAGGTGTATTATTTTTAAATTTTATTATTGAAAATTTTTTTCCAATTCACGATTTTTATTTTTATTTCATCAATTTGAAATTGCATTATTTTGAGCATTTGATATTTACACCAGCGATATAATATGATTGCCAAAAAGTTAATATTCTGCAAAAATTGGAAAGATTTCAAACAATTTCAATTTGTTTTGTTATATAATATTATTATTTTGGTTTACCTTTTGTTTATAGAATTTTTTTCTTTCAAGTACAGGTATAATTTTATATTTCTTTAATTTATTATAAAATAATCTATCTGATTTAATTAAATTTCTAATTTCATTTCTTGAAAATCTTTTCAATTATTATATATCGTTTTTAATGAATGTCTCAGGTGAACTTTCTTAATATCCTCAAATTCAATAATGACAGAGATTAAAATCAATTCGAATTGAATTATCAAGAATATCGATTGTAAATTTTGAAAGAAGAAAATGAAATATTTTATTCTCAAAGATAAAATTTTGGTTTTTAATACACGCGATTGACATTTTCATGTTGTAAACCTTGTAAAAAAATTTTGTCACCAAAATTTTATGTCCGTGAAATAATTTCTTATCTTTTATCTATATATAAAAGCAATGACATAACATTATTATAGCTTCTATATATAGAGTACTGAGGGTTTATGAGATAATTTGAGTGAATTCATCCGTCTATTCTCTTATTGTATTTCTCTCTTCATGAGAATATATCTTGTTTCCTCAAATCGTATATACTCAGTCCTTAATCTTTTCTCGATCTCTATTATATTGAGAGAGAGAGAGAGAGAGAGAAAATATTCTCTATCAAATATAGTTTGCATTGACTGATTTAAGGTGACACATCAGTTCAATTTAAGTCGAGCGTAAAACGTTTCCTCGGTTTGTTGATTTATATAACAAAAATTCTGCATGAATGTGCAATATAATGTCAAACCCAGTATATTGACAAATAAAATATCGTAAATACCAGACTCACAAATGAAAAGTTTTCCTCAATATATGAAAATACTTTCGAAAAAAAATTCACAGACTAAAAATTTAAAATAAAATTATTATTTATTAAATTGAATTAAATTAATTAAAAGGTCAAAATATTTTCTTTAAAATATAGCATTCGAAAGAAAAAGTAGAAGCGCTTCATAACAGTGCCTGGTCATGACAGACCATTTCTACTTATGGTTTCCATTCAACCGTGATTCTGCAGTGAAAATTGTTCTTTTTAGTCAGACACACGTTTATTGTTCTTGCAAGTAGAACAAGAAAATTTAGGAAAGACTTTTGTAGCCCGTTTGAAAAAAATATAATATTTCAAATCAAAAATATTTTCAATTGACTACAAAGTTGTTTTTTTACAACACTTTTGCTATTTAAACAATAATACTTTCAACCTTTTAATTAATTTCACTTAATTTATTTCTAAAACAAAAATAATATCTCTACTAAACATTTTATGTGTTATGAATAAATATTTAGAATATAAAAATTTAATAATTTGAAAAAGTTTCCTTCGCAAAAAAAAAAAAATCCAACTATACTAACAATTTAAAAAAGAAAACAATTTTTTAATCTAAATATCTTGAGTTTTATGGAATTTTTTTTAGAAAAAATGTAAAAAAATTCCATTTTATCTTGTGAAAATAAATATCTTTTCTATCACATTGAGAAACATGCACGAACTCGATTTTCACGCATTTTAAAAAACTTTGTCAACATTTTCAAATCTCAATATCAAAAGTAAATACTTAAAATTTTTAGATATGTATATGGAAAATCATATATCCGGTGAATTTTATTTCTATCTTTTTATCAGGCAAAAAATGTTCTGAATGTACTTAATAGATGGATTTAAAAAAAAAGAAACGAAAATGTAAAAAAAAACATGGAAAAAACTATATACAACCCTCTTGAGGGAAACTTACATTCCTCACATTCCACAATCCTTTTGAATTGACCTTTCCTTCTTTAAATCGAATACACGTAAACATCCATCTCGAAGATGTTTCGCTATTTCATCATTCGCAGACAATTGAAATTGATTCCTACAAAAAATAAAGAAAATTATTATCTGACTTAATTTTGTAATTACTATGCTTTTATCAATTTTTACTAGAGGCAAAAAATTAAAAATAACAACTAACTTTAAAAACCATTTTGTGATTCAAAAAAAGAAAAAATTTGTTCCCCCTCATTTTAATCAGAATAATGGAAATTATTCCCCCATGTATCATTATTTATTTTAGTTTCCGTCATTTTTGAAAATGACTCAAAATCAACTCTAGATGATGAGAGATAAGTTTAAAAATTGATAGTCTTCTATTTTAAGTCAAGAATTCATGAATTGTAAAAGAGAAGATTCCTTCCCCCCACGAAAAAAAAATGAGGAAAATACGTTTTAGATTTCCCTAAAGGGAAACTCAAGACGTATATCAATGCTGATATTTCACGAGTATATTAAAGAACTTAAATGTTTTTTCAGTGAATCTGACATGTTCATATATGTAATCTCTCTCACTCTTTCTCTGTGAAGAGTAAAAAAAATAACTCATCTGTATACATATGAATATTTTGGAGAGAAGAAAAAAAAAATAAAAAAAGCAACAAAAAAAAAGAGGAGCGTGGGTGGCAAAGCAATGAAAGGCAACTAATGCGAACCAATCAGAGAAGAGCAAACTGTTGGTTGTTCGTTCTCTGATGTGAGTCAAGGGGCTGAAGCTCTGAGTTTGTCAGTTACGTCACAGCTTATGACGTAGCAACGAGTGCAGTAATATTACCCTCTAAACCTAATTTTCACTACGCAAGCGTGTATGGATACTGAACTATATATCTTAGATTTGTTATCCAATATCTCATTCTCGTTTCTATTGACATGTCACGTCAATTTTTTTTTTCTTTTTCAAAAAGAATTCACCTATTTCTTTTTCTCCAAAATTTATCCATAAAAATTCATTTTTTTTATTTCTTGATAATTTATTAAAATTTATTAAAAGCTCCTCTTTTTTTTGTAAGGAAATTTTGTTTTTTTTCTCTCTCTCAAAACTGAAAAAAATGCGAAATTATAAAATAAGTATGTCCAAGGTGCTGTAAATCAGAAAAGATAATGGTTCTTTTTCCTTTTAAGTGTGTATATAAGAGACAGTAGTGTACATCAACGTTTATATCGATCATTTTCTTGTAAACGTTGAAACAACCCAATAACGTTTATAGGTTTTCCTCTCTCCATCCCATACTAAATATCTCAAGCTTCCCTTTTTACAGCTTCTATAAAATCTTCAATTGATGGTGCTGTCGGTTTTATGATATTTTGTGTCTCTTTATTTTGTTGCCATTCCTCGTGCTACTTGTTCAAATAAAAAAAAAAAAGCACAGTAGACACAATTCAAAAAGTTACTACTCATCGAATTTTTTTTTTATTTATGATTCCACTATTTTCTCTCTATTCATAAAATATTTATTCTCATAAATGAAAACCTTCGTTACTTTAATTTTTTTAACGAATGAAAAAAGAAATCGAAAAGTTTAATTATTAACAAAATTAATGAAAAAAAAAAAAAAAAATCGGACAAGTGCGAGTGCAAAACTCGCAACCAAAACCTAGGGTTCCCTACACCAGTTAAATTTATTTGGAATACAAACTACATGCAAAAATTACCAATAATTTCACAACTATTGATAACGACTAAAACTAAGTACTACAAGCAAAAAATTACCAATAATTTCACACCTATTGGTAACGACTAAAAACTACATGCAAAAATTACCAATAATTTCACAACTATTGATAACGACTAAAACTAAGTACTACAAGCAAAAAATTACCAATAATTTCACAACTATTGGTAACGACTAAAAACTACATGCAAAAAATTACCAATAATTTCACAACTATTGGTAACGACTAAAAACTACATGCAAAAATTACCAATAATTTCACAACTATTGATAACGACTAAAACTAAGTACTACAAGCAAAAAATTACCAATAATTTCACAACTATTGGTAACGACTAAAAACTACATGCAAAAAATTACCAATAATTTCACAACTATTGGTAACGACTAAAAACTACATGCAAAAATTACCAATAATTTCACAACTATTGATAACGACTAAAACTAAGTACTACAAGCAAAAAATTACCAATAATTTCACAACTATTGGTAACGACTAAAAACTACATGCAAAAATTACCAATAATTTCACAACCATTGGTAACAACTGAAACTAAACACTACTAAAAAAAAAATTGCATACCAAAAATTTTAAAACCATGCAATCTTAGGTTTTTGTGCGAGTTGAACTTACATATGTCCGATTTTTTAATTAAATGTTACATTAATAAATTTTAATCACTTTTACTAAATTTTCTTAAAACCTGTGATATCAATTGGAAAAAAGTCTTATATAAAATAATAAAAAGAATGTAGGTTAATTATGACACTCATTAATGTACTTTTTTTTGTGAAAATTTCATTCTTTTCATAAAAAATTTTTTTTTTAAATTAATACTCACTTCGCGTAGCTGACACAAAATTTCTTTTGAAATTTTTAGATGAATAAAATAACTCCTCTGAATGCATTTGCTCGAGGGTACTTAAAATGGAACAAGCTTTTTAATTTATAAAAATTCTGATATTATCAAAAAGCACGTGTTTTTCTATATTTTATGAGATTTTCTCTTATATGTATATCATATTCTCGTTAACTCGTAAATTTCATTGTTGTGTAAAAAAATTCCACAATTTGTCTGTTTTGAACATTTAACTTCATTTTGAAACACTATTTTACCTTTTATAACTTTTTCACTAACTCGACAATTGGTGTTTATTTTTATACTTCATAAAAATTTATTGTCCTCGATTATTTATGTTTATTTATTTTTTTCCATATCACGGCACGAAAATTTCTGAAATAAAAAAAATATCGATGTCAATGTAAACTTTTTCTTTTTTATTAAATTAAAATCAATTTCTATTTTCTAGGCGAAGATAAAATTGAATGGAAATCGAGGATAGTGAGAATTCGAATGATACAAATGTGAACAAAGATGCAATCCAGGATTCATTTTTCATTGCTAAAATTGACATTTAAGTTAGAAAAAAAGTCTAATATATATGTGCTTTTCGAATGTTAGGCGATAATAGTCTTTCAAAAATTGATAAACGAGAATATAGAAAATTAATAAATACAATCTTCCATTTGTTATTATTTGTTTTACGGTGTAAAATTTTTTTTTTTTTGCAAAATAATAACAAAATTTGATAAATTATTTTTCCTGAAAAAAAATGTCTTTACATTTTTCAGTTTTCATTACTAGTTGAATTTTTATTTATTTTCAAATAAAAGCATCTCAAATTAGTTTAAGAAAAAAAAATTAATATCCCAGAGTTTGTTTTTACATTTTTAAATTTCATAAATTCCATAAATTGTCCACATATTATATTGTCTCAAAGTTGAACAGAAATTCTTGTGGTTTTCCTTGCAATTCAGACATTTATAACTAAACAAATATGTAGATAGTTCTAATTTAATGAAAATTAATAATAAATATTGTAAATATTGTGAATAAATACAAATTTGAAAAATGAGAGATGAATCAAGAAAAATTTTAAAATTTATAAAACAATTTCCTAACGAGAAAAATTTTAATCGAAATTTAAAAAAAAAAAATACTAAATAAATTATTTAATATTTCTTAAGATATTATTAATTAAAGATGCTAAGTGGAGAATCTCAAGAATTCTCCGAGTTTCATAACTCATAATTAAACAAATTTTCTGTAATTATTTTAACGAGTGTACATAGAAACAAATTAGTAGGCCAATTAAATGTATAAATTAATCACAAACTTGAAAATAATAATATAAATTAAATACAAATTAAACTAAATTTAAATTACATTTTATAGATTATGAATAGATAAGTTTAATCCTATAATTTGTAATTTTGTTTCCCCTAAAGAGATGCTAATATCCATTAAATAAATATTTTAATAATACCGAAGACAGCAAAGTTTTTCTATTATCTCTACATCAAAAATTATATCAAGTTAAACTTTACCCCTTGTGTATACAATAATTTAAAGGTATCTTAACTGATACTTTTCGTATAGTGTCTATACATGATGACAGAAGAGAGAGGGATAAAAGGATTATTTTTCTATAGCTCTCCTGTTGCTGATGGAACATAATATTAAGCTTATAATAAACCGAAATTTATGTTCTTAAAGTTTTCTCATAAAATGCAATAAGCAAAGACTGAGCAAATTTCACTTGACAAACGGCAGCATTATTCGTATATATAAAGGTAGAGTCGTAAATTTCTATATTTATATAACAATATATCAAACGATAATCACAAAGCTTTACCTCGTGAAATAAATTTATAATAATTTCAATTTCAAGTAGATGAATTTTAATTAAAAAAAAAAAAAATTTCTTAATCCATTTAGATTTATATTCGTCGTTGTTTTTATAAACGGAAAATTTCACCTCAGAGGGAATTTTGCCTGTCTTTAAGCAAGTAATTATACAATTATTTATATTATATAATAATTATATTGTATAATTATTATAATATATAATTACTCTAATGTATTATATAATTACAATGTTATACAAAATCATTATTATAATATATTATATAATTGTCATATAATTTTTTTTTTTTTTTTAAAAAGTATTTATATTTTTTAAAATGGGGTGAATAACGTGAAGCAGATTGAATATATAAAGCGTTGTCGAAAGAGATGTGCTTCAAATCTTGTATTAATGATTGATGATGTCACTTCTTTCGAACATTAAAGGTCAAAGAGATTGAATGGCTTCAGTGCCCTTTACCGATAACGAATGCACTGACACTCCTTTTTTAAACCTGTTGACCAAGAGCTTTTTGTTCATGATTGATGAAAAATATTTTCATTTTAACACACAGAATTCAAACTCAATTAGAAAAAGTTCAAAAGTCATTGTTTTCTTTTTTTTTTTTTTTTTTTTAATGAAATTAAATATTTAACACTTTAAAGCCGAATTATTTTTATGCGTTATATTTTTTTAATATTAAAAAAAATTTTATTTTGAATTGTATTCTGTATATTTTTTAACCAGGTTAGATTTTTTCAACGAGATTACGAGTTTAATTAAAAATGTAAATTTTATATGCCATAGAAAAAAAAATGTCAATATCGATAAAAAATTTTTACTAGAAAATTGAAAATATCTCTTTTTTTTATTTAAAAATTTTATAGACTTGAAAAATGTCTCTTTTTCTCTCGGTGCAAAATTAAGGAAATATGTTACAGGGAGTTTTTAAAATTCAGACATAACTGCACAGCGTCGTCATCTGGAATTGTCATTTTTACTTCAATAAATTTTAAATGCGCGCCAGGTAGTATTCTCTTGAAATTTTAAAAAAAGCATCCGTGATCTCTTGGCCGAGTTTCTTTTATCTCTCGCATTCACGGGGCATTTTTGCAGCAAAAGAGAGAAAGAGAGAAATACTTAAAACGTGTTCCATGCAAATGTCAAGTAATTTAGAATTCCCAATGAATCAGAAAAGGATTCTCGTTTCTGCGGCACACAATCAATTGATTCGGTCGTTTGTTAAACAACGAGGAATATCCCTCTCTCTTCCTCTTTTTCTCTTTGATATAACTCGAAATGCAGTATACTCGTTATTGAAATGTACGATCCATTTCCGTTGCAGACTCCTTTAATATTCTTATAAAATTTACAATAAAAATAGATTTATCCTCATTGATTTAATTTTTAATTCAATTAATTGTTGATAAATCAAAGATTTATCTGAACAATAAAAATCTATTAATCTATTTTATCTATACAATTTTATTGAATATAAATTTTGCGATTTTTTTCGTTTTGTTTTAAAAAATTAATTTTTTAATCAAATAAAAAATCAGTAAGATGAAAATAAGATAATTAAAAATCGATTTAAAAAAAATATTTGAATATGAAAGTGCGTGTAAAAGTGATGATTATTATCCGAAATCGATAAATGACCCATATATCAAGAAATTACAACAGATTTTCTTTCTTTTAATGTCAATAAAATATTGGCAATCAACACAATATGTTTGTCATTATCGTTTGAAAATAATTTAAGTTTTACAATAAAAATGTGATATTACAAGTTTAAAGAGAAATTATTAATTACTTATGGTAAATTATTTTTTTTTATATTTATAATAATAATTGTAATCCAATTTCGAATTCTTTAAAATAAAAACCAATTATTGAAAAAATACCTTTTCCAAAAAAAGTTGTAACAAATTACTTTGTTTCGTGAAAGTATATTTTTAACTAAAATAACTGTTACTGTTACACTTTAAAAAAAATATCAAACATTTATCATATTTTTGAAATGAAAAAAAAAATAAATGAAAATTATAGTAGGTGCAAACTATAAATTCGATAATCAGTTTGATTGTGAATGATTGTGAGTGAAAACTGAAGATTTATGAATGAACTGTAATACAGCTGAACGGGTCGATACAGCCCCCCTCGAGCATAGTAATCAATAACAAGGGGGGGGGGGTTGGGGTAGGCGTGGAGGGAACGGAGAGTCCATTCAGTAGAAACCTTAGGCTTGCTATTGATTGCGTGGGTGGATAAAGGGGAAAATATCCCCCACTCTTGGCCATTCAGTCTTGTCGAGGTTTTAGGAGTGGAACTATTTTGGAGGAGAAATTCAGAGAGTGCCTTCGTAGTACAATATATAGAAGACAGTCGAAAATGGTGGGTGGCGTGGGTGGTGTAGAAGCTCCAACACACAAAGTATAAAAAGGATATGTAACAGGGACGAGTTCAAATATCCACCCCTTTCTGTCTCTCCATCGAAATTAGAAAATTGAAAGGACCAATTCTTTCCATAGCTTCAACTGACATTTCTAAATAACGTTCGAAATTGAACATTTTTTTCTCTTTTTAATAAATTAATTGAAAAACTCGAATTTATTTAAAAAAAAAAAAATTCTCTCTAATTAATTTCTTCGAAACTAATTACTTTAGTTGCCAAAGTAAATTTTTTTCAAAACGTTCTAATATTCTATTTGAAAAAACAATTTAATTAATAATAAATTTAAACTCACGTGTTCCTTTTTTTCAGTTTTTGCAAACGAAATTATTGCAAGTTATCTTCCATTTCTAGATACATCCGACTCATCAAAAACAATAATTAAAAATCTTCTTGTATTTTATCTAAAAAAAAAATAAATTTTAATTAATTCAAATTGTTTTCTTGTATAAAATACAGTTTTGTAACATGATTGAATTTCGAAATATTAATTATGTATCACAATTTATAATTGTGAAATTAAACTACACCAAAATAATTTGATCACTGAAGAACAGTAAGATGACAAAATGACAGAACTAAAAGACAAAATTATATTATATATATCCCGTCATTTGAAGTTTTGACTGATAACTGATAAATTAAAGATATCAATTTTATTCTCACCTTAGTCGTAACTGAAGAAAACAATATATTAGAGGTTATGATACACCATAAGTACATTATTAAAATATTTTAAAAATATATATGCAATAAAAATTAAATCTCCAATGATTTCTAGATGAAAATAAATAAAAATAAGAAATATTAAATAAATTGTACATAAATTTAATAAATAAATACCTTCAAGTCGATGAAGACAAAATTTAACGATGCATCATTAACAGTGATGCTGCTATAAAATAACGAGAGTTAGAAATAATGGAAAACACTTATTATTCTTCGTAATGATTTTAGGAGCTTTAAACTTTCTGATTTCTGCTTTAACAATCACTAATTGTTTTTGATAAATGATAATTAAATGAATAAAATAACTAATTGTTGCAAACTCCAGTCTGTACAAGTAGAAAATAACTGTCATTATTCAAAATTTAACTGATTTTTCGTGAAATAGTCAAGTGGTGCCACCTGTCATCGTGAAATGGAAGTACCTTGACTAAAATTTTAGCGCGAAATACAAAATTGTAAATACAAGTCGTTATTTAATTAATAAAACTTTAAATTAAGAAAAATAATTGAAAATTGTAAACAATGAGAATACCTTTTATGAATAATTACTCTTGATTTTGTATTTATTCATGAAATTAAGAAAGTATCTCAAGTACTTTAAAATGCGCAAGCGTGAAGTTAAACACATCAAAACACGCAAAAAAACACGTGTTGATAGTCATGTTTTGGATATAGTTTTGATCGTTTGGACAATAAAAATTGCAACAACAAATGTATAGTTTACATTTATAATAAGTATTAATTTTTCTGTTATTGTTGAGCAAATTATTGTAATAAAATGGCACCTACAATTAAAAGTCCTTTGGCTATAAAAAAGGAAATTAAAAGTCCGTCAACTGTAAAGAAGGAAGAAAATGATACACAAATAAATAATACTAATAAAAGGTAAAGTTTCAAAACTAGGTTATTTATAATTTTATACAAAAATAATGTTCGATTATTTAATATTTTTTAGTTCTGAGTTGTTATTAAAAGTAAGGTATAACAATAGTTTACCAGATTTTCCATTTGATCTAAAATTCATTAAGCATCCGTTTTCATCGACTCGGTAAGTTCTTTGTAATTTTTTTTTTCGAGTTAACAAATTGTATATTTATCGTTAAAATAGATTAATTATTTATTGATGATTTTGAAAAAAGGACTTTTGTATATTTAATTTTATTAATGTTTAAGTTAAAATATATTTTTTAGTTTTGTCGAATACAAACCCACAAGTTTAGAACAGGAATTTAAACATGAGCTGTTAAATGAACCTGATTTGGGAATTGAAATTGATTTAGTTGATCAAGATCGTTTTGTATCAAATTGCAATGGTCAATTGGAGTCGGCTGATGAGAAAATTATAGAAGAAGAAATGTTTATGCCACAAGATACAACTCGCTCAAAACATCATGCAAAAAGTGTATCTTGGCTTCGGCGAACTGAATATATTTCCACAGAACAAACACGATTTCAATCTCAAACTGTTGAGAAAGTTGAGGCTAAAGTTGGATATAATGTCAAAAAAACTCTTGCAGTTAGTTTTATCTATTTTATTTCTTTTTATTTAATTTTTTATGTTTATATTTTTTTATTTTATTTCACATTTTAAATAGGAAGGAATTTTATATATGGATCGTAGTAGTCAAATAAGTGCAATAAAAAAAACTTTTGAAGATTGCAAAAAACCAATTGAAGTACATCATAGTAAACCAAATGTTGTGCCAATTGAAATATTACCAGTGTTTCCTGATTTTGAGGTAACTTTTTCTTTTTTTAAATCAAAATCATTTTATTATTGTTTTTATTAAAATTATTTGTTGTAATTATTACCAAAAATTTATATTAACTTTGGTATTTTCAATTGTTACAGTTGTGGAAATATCCATGTGCGCAAGTAATTTTTGAAACAGATCCTGCACCACCAGGACGCTCTATTTCTGCACAAATTGAAGAAATGTCACAAGCTTTAATAAGGTAAATTAGCTATTAAAAATTTGTTTATTATAATTTTAAAAAATTTTTTTTTCTGTGAATTTAAAATTTTCTAATAAATTTATTCAGCCATTTATATATTATACTATTGTTTTCTTTTCAGAGGTGTTAAAGATGAGAGTGGAGAACAATTTGTTGCATATTTCTTGCCCACGCAAGAAACATTAGAGAAACGTAGAAAAGATGTGAAAGCTGGAGTAAATTATATGTCAGATGAAGAATATGATTACAAAATAAGTCGCGAATACAATTGGACTGTAAGAAGCAAAGCAACAAAAGCGAGTTACGAAGAAAATTACTTTTTTGTTATACGAAAAGACGGGGTATGATTAAAATGTTATTTCAAGCTATTTAATTTGAATTATTTACTTTTATTATTTATTTTTATTTTTGCAGGTTTATTATAACGAACTTGAAACTCGTGTACGCTTAGTTAAGCGAAGATTGAAGGCTAATCAAGTTGCTAATAATACTCGTTTAATTGTTAAACATAGACCTCTTACAAGTACAGAGTCAAAAATGCACAGATATAGAGAAAAACAATTAGAACCTGCTGGATATGATGAAAGCGAACAAGAGGAGGAAGTGCAACTTGTTCAACCTCAAATTCAAGAAAATGAAAACAAAGGTTTACTTATTAGGATTATTAAATTTTGTTACATACTTCTTTTGTAATTGAAATTAATTTTTAAATTAAAGTTTAAAAAAATTTAAGTCTCAAAAAATGTAATTAGTTGACATAAAATTAAAATTAAATTAGATTTGTAAATTAAATTATAAATTGAATTATAAATTTTTTTTAGATGAATTGGAATCACAACGTCGTTCCCGATCAAAATCTAAATCCAAAAGTCGATCACGATCTAAATCAAGTTCTACGTCAAGATCTGGATCAAAATCCAAAAGTCGATCACGATCTAGATCAAATTCTTCATCAAGATCTAGATCAAAATCCAAAAGTCGATCACGCTCTGGATCAAATTCAACATCAAGATCTAGATCAAAATCCAAAAGTCGATCACGATCTAGATCAAATTCTTCATCAAGATCTAGATCAAAATCCAAAAGTCGATCACGATCTACATCAAATTCTACATCAAGATCTAGATCAAAATCCAAAAGTAGATCACGATCTACATCAAGATCAAGATCCAAATCTAAAAGTCGATCACAATCTCGTTCAAATTCTAGATCGAGATCAAGATCTAGATCCAAATCTAGAAGCCGATCATATTCTCGTTCTTCGTCAAATTCTAGATATAATTCTTCTCGCTCTAGATCGGGATCAAAATCATCCAATAAATCACGTTCGCCATCTACTGAATGAAAAGTAAAATCTCCAAAATTAATAATTGCGAAAATCGCAATCGTTTTCAAAGAAGATTAAAAAAAAGATAATAGAAGAATAAAATTGCGAATGGCAATAATCAGATTATATTGAAGAAATTAAGAGTTAAATGTTTCGTTTATTTTTTTTTTTCAAAGCCAAAGTTATGCTTTTGTTGATGCTAATAATTATCGTTAATTTAAAATTATTTTTTTGGTTTACAACTAAAGTAAAAAATTATTCTCGCGAATAAAATGAATTCAATTCCGTATTAAAGATAAAAATGTCGAGAATATTTCAAAATATTATTTACATTATAAATTATAATAAATTTATTCATTTTCCTTATCTAACAAAAAAAACAGTTACTTAAGAAATTACACATTTAATGTGTAAATATATAAATATAATTTTTAAGAACTTTTCATTAATACTCACCGATATGTTTATATTGTTACAAAGAACATGTTCTTTAATTTTTCTAAATAAAATTTAAATTTATACTATATAATCGTAATTTATTATAAAACTACATTATCAGTATCTTTATTTATTAATAATTTACTACGAATTAATTATTTGTCATTTTAATAATTATATAATGGTACAAAAAAATTTCAACGAAAAAAAGAGTTAACAGAAATTCATATTTAAATTTCCCGCGAGAAAAATGTGCTCCGAAGCGCCATCTATGCTTGATAGGAAACATTTGGTAAATTTCATCGTTTTTAGTCGGAGTCAGACAGAAAACATTTTAGCGCTCCTTACACGTAATTAGTGAGCGATAGTTTCATTACTAACACAGTTTCTAAGAAGAATAAAAACGGTGATAATTGATATCAACAAGTTTTGTGTGGATTTAGATCTGATGCTTTGAGGTAAGTGACATAAAATGAGAATGTGAAGACAATTCTTGGAACATAGAGCGGGTCTGTAAAATGGCGGTGATTGTGGGGTGAGCGGTAGAGAGAGGAAGAAAAGATCGCGCTCGGTCCACGCTCAGTTTTGTTTTGATTTTGTACTCGTGTCCATTTTCTGATAAATTTTAATATCAATCAAATGATTTAATCGTGAAAAAACGGTTCTTTTAGGTTTGATTTTCATCTTTCCTGATCTTTTTTCAAAGACCAGTGATTGATCCTTGAGGCTGATCACAGACCACGAAATTTTGTGCTTGGAAGAGGGTGAGGACCTTCGGTCCATAATCGGGATTTTTATTCCGCTTTTGAGACGACCGCGATGCCCGTGACGTGTAATTCCAGTATTCCTGATAACCACAAAGGGATCAAGTGTGTAGAGGACGAGAGCGTTGCATCAAGGAAAACGGACGCGAGTCTGGACAAGGTCATCTCTGGGTAAGCGATTTTTCATTTGCGCGCTAAACAAAATTTGATTTCAATCATTTTCTAATAGTTAAATCATTCTTTAAAGTTAATAAAAAAAATGTCTGCTTTATTTCAATAGAATTAAAATCTTGTGGATTACGTGTTACCAAATGTATAAAGATTGTCGCGAGTGTATAAGTGAGATGTTTGAACTTGTTTTTCCTCCTTTGTTGTTGAATGTATTGCGACTTAGGTTTTCAGTGCTCTCAACAAATTATCAGGTTAGACCACCATCTCTCGTGACTTTGCAATTTTAACGTCTTCTAAATTTTCGAATTGGATCAATGACCTTAATTTTCCTAAGTGAAAAAAAAGAAATACACTGCTGTAAATCAATAGAGATTTTTTTCTATTTTTCATTTGTGCACGTGTGTCGTGACTTTAAAATTCTTACTGAAACCATTTTTTTTTTTTATAAGCAGCGAATTATAGTGATTTATGATATAATGTATAATCGGATCTTCAATCAGGATTTGTTCTCTATAATAGACAAGCATTATGATAGATAACAAGTTTTTTTTTTATTTTATTAGAGTAATTTCTTTTAAAAGTAAAATCTTATTGAACGGTTTTTTTTACGTTTTATAGGTTAGAAACGAATAATTACTGAAAGGTTAGGTAGGTGTCTGAAATTCCTGATGAAATAAATTCCTAAATCAGTGTCATTATTGCAAATTTAAGGAAATTTAGAATATTCTTCAGTTTTAATATTTTACATTTATCTTTATTAACAAATGTCAGTAAAAAATTTTTTTATTATATTTCATTTTGTCGTGATTTTAATAGTAAATCATTAAGAAAAACAAAATGATAAAAATTTAGAAATGTAAAGTTTAGCAATTTTTACAAAGAAAGATAGAGAAAGAGAGAAGATATATATAGACAGGGAAAGAGTTGAATGACTCTGTTTAAAATGCTTATCTTTCACGTTAAAGCAATCGATATTACCTTTCTTGTCTGAACATGTTCTGCTTTTCATAACAATTGAATCATCTCGATTTTAGTAGTTAATTTTTAACATAGAAAATAATTATATTATTTAATTATTCATTATGTGGAAAATGAAAAAAATTCATGGATATTATTATTTTAATAATTTTAGACACGATTTTGTAAAATTAAAACGAGTCATTTTAAATAATATTAGTGTATGACGAATTTATTGACACAGTATGTTTTAAGATAGATGACAGTTATCATTTATCATCTAAAATATCTTTGTAATCTGTGATTGTTTGCAATTTTAATAATTTCTCTTTAACTGCACGTAAATCATTAAATATATTATTTATTATTATATTATTAAGTTTTATATATTACATATTTTTTCAGATTTTAGTCGTAGATAAAAAAAACAAAATTTTACAATGAAGATCGATAGAAGCAGATTAAAAAAATGCACTTCAGAAGTGGTAAGTTTATTTCTAGTATTATAATTCTAAAATAATTTTTGTTAAACTTTTTTTATTTTATTAATAAATTTATTTTTTCCAGCCTGCGGAATGTCAAGCTTTGATAAGTAAGCTGCGTTCTTGTTCACATGCAGAACTTTTAGAAGAACTAAAGCAAATAGATGCTTGGACTTTTGGAAAATGTGAACTTTTCCATTGGATTGATGTTCTGGATTTGAGTGACAGCATTCTTGAGGAAGCTGCAACACGAAGTCCAGAAAATCTTTGGGAACTAGCCTGTGATTTACCCCAGAATAGAGAGGTAATCTTTCACTAAACAAAAAAAAAAAATTCTAATTATTTTGAAAATGTTAAATTAATGTTCTTATTTTTACTGATATTTTTAATAATTCAAATTATGTAGATATTTAAAATTCTGTATTTTTTATAATAAAAATATTTTAATTTTTGTTAATATAATAATAAATTGTTTTTTTTTTTTTTTTTTGTCAGGCAAAGGAATTACTACTATGGGTCCTTCATTTCACCACATTGCTGATCGAGCACTCATTTTCTCGACACTTATACAACAGTATGGAACATTTGGTCGCTTTATTGTCCAGTTGCGACATGCATGTCGTACTTGGTGTCTTGAACCTCTTGTACATGTTCAGTAAACGTAGTAATTTCATCACCCGATTGAATAGTGACAAGCGACAGGCATTGCTTAGTAGGCTAACTCATTTGGCTGAGGTAATGAAGCGTTTTTTTCTATTTGTGTGTTTTCAATTGAAAAGCTGTAAAGTATTTTATATTTAAATAATTATTTTTTACAGAGCTGGGGTGGCAAAGAAAATGGCTTTGGCTTAGCTGACTGTTGCAAGGAATATCCCGATAAACCATTCCCTGCGAGTGCCACGACATTGCACTTTGAATATTACGCAGAGAATTCGTCAGGTTCAGATCCATCAAATAGTAGTTCTAGTAATGTTAGTGCAAAAAAGACTGGTCAGACAAATTTTGTAATATATATTCACATAGAAAATGTCGATAAACTTGGAATAACCCCTGCACAGCTGATGAACGATTTGTTAAAAGTACACAATGTTCCTGGAGACCGACAGGTATATATTTTGTTTTAATTATAATAAATAAATAATTGAATTTTTTTTTTCAATGTTTCGAATAATTTATTTTTCTAATTAGATGGCCCTTCTGACACATATTAGACTAGCACATAGTTTCTCAGATTATCGAAGACGCCTACAATGCGTGCAAGCTCGTCTTCAAGCGCTTTCCGTGCTTGTTTACAGTAATGCATTACAGGAAAATGCACATAGCCTCCTACACGCGGGATTACTCGAAGAATTGGTTGAATTATTGGAGCTTCCAAATTCACATCTTGTTGAAATTAGAGCCGCCGCATTACGAACATTGACAAGTATCATTCATCTCGATCGGAATCCACATTTCCCAAAGTAAGGAAAAATTAAATTTTTCTGTTTAATTTTTTATAAATGTAACTGATTTTTAAAAATTACGACATTTTCCACAGAAAACCAGGATCAAGATTGAATATGATAATTGATGTAACGGGAGCGAGTTCTTATCATGGATTTCTTCCAGTTCTTGTGCGAACATGCATAACAACTTTGACATCACCACAACCCGATGGACAACCTTTTCCACTTCCATTAGCTACGGCTTTATTCAGTTTCTTGTATCATCTCGCGAGTTATGAAGCCGGTGGCGAGGCTCTTGTCAGTTGTGGAATGATGGAAAGTCTTTTAAAAGTGATAAACTGGCCAGGAAGTGAATTAGAACACATCACTGTGAGTTTATTTTTAATTGTATATTTTGAAATATATATATATAATTACATAATTTATTTTATTCTTACAGTTTGTCACAAGAGCAGTGAGAGTTATTGATTTAATAACAAATATCGATATGCAAGGATTTCAAGCACATTTTGGTTTGAATAGCTTTATAAAACGTCTTGATATGGAAGTGAATGTATGTCGTAAAGAACAACCATTTGAAATTGAACCACAAGATATTGTAATAACAAGCGATCCAATTAATCAAACTGCCGAAACATCAACAACACGAAATGAAGCCGATGCTTCGAATTCAACGAATGAACCATTCGAGGAACGTGAAGAGACATCAAATCCTATGGAATTCTCAGAAGATGAGACAATGATTAAGACTGAAGAAAAATCTGAACAGCAACAACCTCAACAGCAACAACAACCTGATTATTCGGCAGCTAAAAGTGGAAAAACATGTTTACCACAACGTGCCGCTTTATTAAAATCAATGTTGAATTTTTTGAAAAAAGCTATTCAAGATCCAACATTTTCTGATAGTATACGACACGTTATGGAAGGAACATTACCATCATCGTTGAAACATATTATCAGTAATTCGGAATATTATGGACCATCACTTTTTTTACTTGCCACTGATGTTGTTACTGTTTATGTTTTTCAAGAACCGTCCCTGTTGTCAACATTACAGGACAATGGCCTTACAGAAGTTGTTCAGCATGCATTGCTTATTAAAGACGTTCCTGCCACTAGAGAAGTTTTAGGATCAATGCCAAATGTCTTTAGTGCATTGTGTTTAAATACACGTGGACTTGAATCATTTTCTAAACGTCGACCATTTGAACGTCTATTTAAAGTACTTCTTTCACCTGTCTATTTATCAGCAATGCGACGACGTCGTAGCGTTGAACCACTCGGTGATACGGCAACAAATTTAGGCAATGCAATGGACGAATTAATGAGACATCAACCAAGTTTAAAAACCGATGCAATTTCAGCAATTGTTAAATTATTGAAAGAATTATGCGTTCTTGGTTGTGATCCACGTTATATTTGTTGGCGTGCGGCAAATAAAACAGATAATTCACCATCACATACAAATTCAACAAATCGACAATCACCAGGACAATCGGTAGGTGTTGGAGTTGGTGATACGAATAGTAATCGTGGTGGTGGCGCTGGAAGTAGTAGCGATGAAGAGGAGGAAGATGAGGAAGAAGCAAGTACAAGTTCACATCCACAACGTGAAGAACAACCATCACCATCGCCAGCACAACCTGGACCACCACCTCAACCAAGAGAAAAAACGCCAATTGCTTTAGTCGATTATATTCATAATGTTATGAAATTTGTCGACGCTATTTTAAGCAATAATTCAACTGACGATCATTGTCGTGAATTTGTCAATCAAGATGGACTCGTTCCATTATTATCGATTCTTGGCTTACCCAATTTACCAGTTGATTATCCAGTTGCACAAGCTGCACAGGCTGTTGCTTCCGTTTGCAAAAGCATTCTCGTAAGTATTAATTTAATTTTTATTAGTTAATATTTAGTAATAATAATTAAAAATTTATTTATTTATTTCAGAATCTTGCACATGAGCCGCAAGTGTTAAAAACTGGATTATCACAATTGAATGATGTTTTAAATTTATTGAAACCACTTCACAGTCACATGGAGGCACCAGGTGGTTCAGTTTTATTACATGAACTTGCATCAGCACCAAATCTTGAGACAGCGTTCACTAGTGATCTCGCGACACCTCTTCTTCATGCAATGAATGCAGCGCACGGTTATGTTGTGCTTTTTGTACACGTTTGTCGTACAAGTCAAAGTGAAATTCGCAATTTATCAATGAATCATTGGGGTTCGGAGTTGGGTTTAACAGTGTTGAAAGGACTTTCTGAATTGTATATGTCACTTGTTTGGGAGAGTACCCTATTGCTTGCATTATGTAGCGATGATAATATTCCCGCTGGTTGTGATTTTGGAAAAGAAGATATGGATAAATTAATACCACCTGAATTACGCGCTGAAGGTGATAGTACAACATCATGGTCGGGTGTATCAGATATGGGAAGTAATGGAATGACAACGGCAATGGAAGCATTGAGTACCGATCCACCGCCAGTTTCAATGGAAGTTGATGATAAACCAAGTACCAGTAGTAGCACAACTGGACGAACATCGCCAAGTACACATCAATTGAAATATATTAAACCACTTCTTGGTGCTTCGTCACGATTGGGACGAGCGTTGGCTGAACTTTTTGGACTTTTAGTGAAACTCTGTATGGGTTCGCCAATGAGTCGACGACGTGGACAACAAATTCCATTGACACCAGCTATTCCATCGCAAGCTGCAAGAAGTGTTGCAACTGCTCTCAATTGTTTATTAATGCGTGGTTTATCATGGGATAAATTGCCACCGTCACCAATTCCTAAATTTAAATTGACATTCCTAATTTGTTCAGTTGGTTTCACATCGCCAATGCTTTTTGATGAGAAACGTCATCCTTATCATTTAATGTTACAAAAATTTGTCAAACTTGGAGGACAAGATGCATTCTTTGGAACATTTCGTTGGGCACTATCGGGTGGTGGACAATTTCCTCTTACTGAGGGTCTTGAACATCCTAATTTACCCGATGGCACTGGTGAATTTCTCGATGTTTGGCTAATGCTTCTTGAAAAAATGGTTAATCCAAAGGCAATTCTTGATTCACCACATGTTATTTCGTCAAAATGTACAGGTGTTTATAAAGTTTATGAAGCATTTGATCCAAATAAATATCTTCAGGATATTCATAAAAAGGCCTTTGAAGCTGTTATGTTAATGTGGGGTAAGAAACCATTAAAAAATTATGGTGCAAGAATGACGGAATCAATTCTATCGATATTGAGACATATTTTACGTGGTGAGAAAATAATAAAGGAACGTGCCGAAAAGGAGGAGAATTCTGAAGCATCAGGTTCGGGAAGTGGTACGGGTTCAAGAAATGGTGGTAATGCTGATCGTGGTGATTTACCGGAAACAATTGTTAATCGTGATCATTTGAGACAATTGATGGATATGGGATTTAGTAGAAGTCATTGTATTGAGGCACTTTTGCATACTGTTACATTGGAACAGGCTACTGATTATTTACTAACAAATCCAGCTACTTTGAGAAGATCCGATGTCCCAGCGGGTGATGCCAGTGGACAGGGTTTAATGATGGATTTAGAATTGGCTGACGATGATCAAATGATGCATGCAATTGTCATGTCTCTTGGTGATAGTGATACAAAAACGGTAACAGTACCAGAGGAGCCAATTTGTGATGTTCCAGTGTCGGAGAGTATCAATAAATTTACCCGATCCGCATTAGATCAGTGTCTAAATCTTTTGGATTTAATGCCCGATACGGTTTATCGAATTTGTGATTTACTTGTCACTGTGACGAAAAGAAATGGTGAGGCTTGGAGGGACAATATGTTGCGTCAATTGATTTATGATATTCGACGTTTGGTGTGTTTTTTGATTGAAATTTCTGAAAGTCAAGATGAAGATGCTGGAACACGTCTTGTTGAATGTAATGAGGCTAATGAAGTTGCTGGAAGAATTTATCTCTATACATTATTTTTTGAGGGAAATATTCAAGAGATGCGTGTACCTTGTGCACAAATTGTTGAGGAATGTGGAATTTTACAAAAACTTGTGCAACTTTTAGTGATGAGTGAAGGTCCATTGACAGCGGCTAAAAATAAAGCAGTAAAAGAGAGTAAAGATGCGGTTTTGTCGGTTAAAACACCAAAATGGCTTGCACCTTTATTACTTTTAATTGATCGATTAGAAAAAGTTGCTGTATTGATGCAGAGAAAACAATTAATGCAAAAAGTGACAAATCCAGTTTGGAAATGGTTTGATCTCAATACTGGTAAGTGGATGGTTTATTCGGCTGCCAACAATCATACAATCAATGAAGCATACATGGCTGGAGAGAGTCAGGTGAGAATTTCCTACAGTCGAAGACGATATCTTATTACTTTCTCGTGTATGACACAATTAAATGAAGAGACAGAGAATAGACGACCAATTACAATGTCTTTTAAGAAAATTGGATCAAACGAGGAAACTGATTCGAATATGGATACCGAGGAGAGTCCTGCGGAAAATAAAGACAAAGAAAAGGAAAAAGAGAAAGAAAAAGATAAGGAGAAGGAGAAGAATAAAAATGTTCAGATTCAAGGACTTGATCCGAGTATAACACCGAGTATCGTTCAAGCTTGCGTTAAATTGTTGGCAATTCCAGTTGATCGTGATGCGTTACATGCTTTAATGAAAGTCTGTTTACGATTGACTCGTGATTTTAAAAATGCCGAGGTCTTTGCTCGTGAGGGTGGTGTTCGTCTATTGTTGGACATGACACAGGCGAGTAATTTCATTGGATGCATTAATCTCAGTACACTTTTGATTCGTCACACTCTTGAGGAGCCAAGGACACTTCGTCTTGCTATGGAAAAAGTAGTACGCAGTCGAACACAGTCGAATATTCCACCGGCTTATAAGGAAATTTTATTCATGACTCGACAAATTAGCAGTGCTGTTTGTAGAGATCCGGAAGTTTATCGTGAAGTATGTGAACATATTTTACGTGTTGATGTTAGTGTTTTAAAACGTGATGATGTTGACAATAGATTGGTAGTGAAGGCATTGCCACCAGTTCAATCTTCAGCAACGCCAATGACCGAAGATATTTCCATTGGTGTTATTCATGATTTATTGAATGCTCTCATTAAACCAATGCCCGTATTACCAGAGGACAGTTCAGCATCGCCGGCTTTTAGTCCTGAGAAAAAAGCCTCAACAACAGCAACCACAACGTCAACATCAGCACCAACTTCGACTTCCACATCGAGACGAGACATTACAAGAAATACCGTTGCAACAACAAGCGATCCACTCGACGATGATGATCAAGTATCACAAATTATTCCCCTCAAAATGTACACCGATATGGGCAACAATACCAAAGTTGAACCCGAGGAAGCGAAAAAGCCCCTTTTGCAAAAATCGGCAATTCTAAAAATGCTCGCTGAAGCCGTAAGATCATACGGCGCCGTTGCTAATTTAATAACCGAATATACATATCGTGCCGGTCAAAGTGAAATGATCACTGAAGATACCACCGCACTGGCTTTCTTACTCGATAAACTTTTACCAAGTTTACCAGAAAATTGGAGCGATCGACAATGTGGTACAATGGCAAGAATGTTAATTGCCGCTATTGCCTCCTGTAATCATTCACCTGAAGCGCAAAGTACTCTCGTCTCGGAAGTAAAAGCCGCATTGATACGAACACTCGCTGTACCTGAGAGTTCAGCAAAACATTCACAATTACAAATTCTCATTGGATTAATATCGACAATGATTGACAGTTGTCCGCCGACATCACACACGCAATTGCGTGCCTCACTTAAAGTTCATCAATACAATAATGTCAATTATATTGTGAGAATAATGTTAAAAAAAGGTATAATCACTGATTTAGCGAAAATACCCCACAGTCTTGATCTCTCAAGTCCCAATATGGCAGTGACAATAAATGCTGCATTAAAACCTCTCGAGACATTGTCACGAATTATTAATCAACCAATGCCAGGTGCAGTTAATAATAAATTCACAAAACCAAAGAATAGAACAACACAAGAGGAACAAGTTGGTGAACAATCGGGAACAACAACATCAGAAGCAACACATGCAGTTGGCGAGGAAGTTAATGAAGATGCAGAAAATACTGAGCATGATATTTCAGTCACTGCTGAAAGTTTAGAACCAACTTCCGAGGGACAGGGACATGAAGGTGATGAAGCAGCGCTCGAGGATATAATGGATCAACTTTTGGAGAGGTATCAAGAATTAGATAGATTTATTTTTATTAAACATTTTTTTTATTATTTTCAATAATTAAGCATCATTTTGAGATTGTATAAAAATACGTTGTCTATAATCAAGCAGTGTCCTCTATTCTAGAAACGGCTCGGCCGTTGCCGAGGAACCAACATCCCGTTCACATAGACCAATGGATATTGATGATGAGAGTCTCGCTTTACGTGACAACGAAGGAGACTTTGATCCAACTCGTGACACCACCGTAAGAGTAACATCACCTTTTTCTCTATTTATTATTAAATGAGAATTTATAACGTTTTTTATTAATTTTCTTTTCATTTCTTTTTACAGGAAGAATTAATGAGTTCAGATTCAGATTCAGAAAGTAATCCATCCGAAGACAATGAGGATGAGGTTCAAGATGATGATGACGAAGAAGAGGAGGAGGAAGACGATGGTAGGTGTTTTAATTTTATTTTTTTAATAACGAGTACTTTGAATTAAAAGATTTTGCTAACTTTTCTGTGATTATAGGTGAAGAAAATGAGGAAGAAGAAGAGGAGGAAGAGGAGGGTTCATCAAACTATGAAGAAGATGGTATTGATTTTTACGAAGATGTCGGAGAAAGTGTTTTCCGAATGTTACCATCGTCAGAACGTGATGTGAGCAATGTGGTAATGATACAACACAATTTTGGTAATGAAGGTTCCGATCATCCAGCAGCACCAACTGGAAGTAGACAAGGTCTTACATGGGGTGGAAATATGCCTTTACCATTGGGATCATTCGAAGAACCATCTTCTGTTTCAGCAAGCAACGGTAGATTCTAATTTTCTCAATAAGTGCAGTTTCAATAATGAAAAAAAAACTCTCTTCCAGGAGTTTTTTTTATTTTCCTTATTCGATAAATCTATTTATTTTGAAAGTTAATTAAAAATTAAGAATTTTTCTTTTATTAGTATATTTTTATCTTTATTATTTATTTTATTTTGTTATTTTTTTGTCATTGCTGTTTGTTTTACTGACAATTGTGTGTAATGTGGAATGCAAGCAAAAAAAAAGGAAAAAAATGTTTTAATTTATATAAAACTTGATATTTTTCAGCTTCGTTTAATTCGCGGAGAAGAGTGGACGGTTCTTTACTGCTTTCTCGTATTTTAGGTATAAGCCTGCAGCCTTTGCTAATGGCGCAAAACAGTTTGGATCCAAGCAATTCACGACTACCGAGGGCATTTCGCCAACGCAGGTATCAGTACCTCCATGTACCGAACCCGCGCAATCCCAATCCTCCTGTAATTTTGCAAAGGTGCGGTTTTAATTAGGATTAATTTAGTTGTCCACTTTAAGTTGGCTAAATAATGAATTTATTATTAATAGTGGAAAAATATTCTCTATAATTTACAGACTTTTAGGACCAGCAGCCCAATCACTTCCATTGTCCGCTAGTCAAGTATTGGCATCAAGTTTACGTGATACACGTGTTCTTGTTATGGACAGTACACTTGGAATATTCACCAATCAAGATGAAGAACAGGTTGATTTTGTTGTAAGTTTATTTTTTTTTTAATAAAATTTAATTATTTCATTGAATTTTAATTGAATTTCTGTTCTTGATAGGATCAATCTGGATATTTATATGGACCTAGTTTAGCCGCTACTTTAAATAATATTCCAACAACTTTACATTGGTGGATAGAGGAAAGTAAATTGTTGGATGGAGACTCGCAACCAGACTGCTGTGTTGGTGAGTATATTTTCTATTTTAAAAATGGCATAAACAATTATTAGTTAATAATGCAATTTTTATTAATTTAAAGGTGTTGTACATAAATTGATACCCGATTTGGAGAAACGTCGAAACGCTGAATTGGCCGAAAGGAAAAAGCGGAAAAAGCAACAGGCAGCCGATGAGGAAGCTGCAAAGAACAAGAATAAAGACAAGGATAAACCAACATCCACTGAACCTGAAGCGTCGACAACAATGACTGAAGAGCAAACTGCGACCACTTCGACAACATCGGAAGCAACGACAGTTGAAGCGACTGTTGAAGCAATAAGAACCGATCAAACACCCGAGGAAGATATTATTGAAGTTACCGGTGAGATGGAAGTGACAGTTCAAGATGAAGAGGAACGACCACCGCCACCTCTGCCAACAACAGTTGTTGATCCAACAACAGTTGAAACAAATCGCGAACGTGTTTCGGCAAGACTCAGCGCCACATTGGAATTAGCTGAGTCAATTGTTGACTCAGTTCTTGGACCAAGTGCCTCTGAAGCTACACGATTACAAAGACAATCGGAGCGTAATTCTGAAGATACAAATCTCTCTGAATCGTCGACTGATCGTAATCTTATTGATTTTACACCGGAAACGAACGTTGAATTGTCACGTGAGAATAATGATTGTCGCGATTGGGTTAGAAGACTTTTTACCGACGTTAATCAAGGTAGTGTTGAGAGAAATGCGAATGTTGTTAATCAGGAAGCAGCTTCATCAACAACTGAAAATAATGCACAGGAAGCAGTTGAAGAACAACAGGAAGCACAAGCACAAGCTCCAGCAGTACAGGAAGAAGTACAAGCGGCACAGGAACAACAATTACCAGACGGTGTTGATCCATCGTTTCTTGCTGCATTACCTGAGGAGATGCGCGATGAAGTAATTGCCGAACAAATGAGACTTCAACGATTACGTCAAAGAACAACATTATCAGTTGCTGAGGAATTAGCAGGACCAGTTGAAGTAAATCCAGAATTTTTAGCAGCACTTCCACCATCGATTCAGGAGGAGGTTTTGGCGCAACAAAGACTTGAACAACAACGTCACGCTGCTGCATCGGCAAATCCTGAGGATCCTGTGGATGCTGCGGCTTTTTTCCAAAATTTACAACCATCATTGCGACAGGCAATTTTAACCGATATGGAAGAATCACAAATATCTGTTTTGCCACCTGATTTAGCGCAAGAGGCACAAAGTTTAAGACGCGAATGGGAGGCACGTAATCGTCATATTATGCAAGAACGTTTTCTCAATCATGTGAGTCAGGGAAGTACGGCATTGTCGAGTATATTGAGAAGTTCAAGTCGTGGTCGTGGTGGTAATGCAAGAATATCAATTCACGCGATGCCACAACGTGCACAGTGGAATTCGTGGAATTCACGCGGTGACACTTGTATGACACATCAACACACTGGCGCTGGTTTACGTTTACGTGGTCGTCAATTACTCGATCATGAATCAATGGCGTGTCTTCTTGTTCTTCTATTTGTTGATGAGCCAAAAATTAATACACTACGTTTACATAGGGTTATAAGAAATCTCTGTTATCATGGAAGTACACGTGAATGGGTTGTCAAGGCACTGCTTGGAATACTTGAGAGAAGTAATGATGAAAATAAAGATGTTCTTGCTGATTTTATTGGTAAATTCAAAAGAAAAGGTACATCGCACACCGCCATTGAATATTGTTCACCGAAAATCGATAATCGAAGTAATGCACAATCATGGTTGAATATTAGTATTGACGCGGCACTTGGTTGCCGAGCAAATGTCTTTCATATATTGAGACACGGTGGTAAAAAATCAGATCGACAAGGTGGACATAATATTGCAATTCATCCACAAGCAGCGCCAACTGTTTGTCGACATACCTTGGAATTACTTATTTCGTTGGCCAAAAGTTTCCCGGGTTATTTTGTGCCTTTGAAATCAAAAGACGCTGAGGAGAAGGAAAAGGAAAAAGAAAAGGAGAAGGAGGCAAATTTATTGAAACAAGAAGAGAGTGGAGCTAAATCGAAAACACCGGCAAAAACTGGCAAAAGTGACTTACCTGATTTTTGGGATATGTTATTGAGGCTTGATTCGTGTGCATCGAAAAAAGGTAAATCAGTGGCGCGTACACATTCGAGTTCAAATCTTGGTACTGAACCAGAACAGGGTACAACAACATTTGAGGCATCAGCTTTTGGACAATTAATATCGATGCTTCATTGGTCGGTGATTAGGCGAAGTAGTCAATTAACGGATAAATTATTGAGATTACTTTCACTTATTTCAATTGGATTGAGTGAAGTTAATCCTTATAGAAGGCAGGACAGTACAAAAGCAAAGAAAGTTGAACCAAGTAAGGAACAATGTGTCGCTGCACCAGAGGGTCATATTAAATTGGCCGTCCAAGTTCTTACGAGTAAAAGTTGTTCCGAAGAAGGCCTCGAGGATGCTACTGCATTGCTTCTTAATTTGTCGCATTGTCCTGATCCCACGCGGCAATTGGTGAGTTTTTTTTCAAAAAAAAATAGATTTGAAATAAATTTAGATCTAAACAATTGATCGATTATAATATAATTTTGATTTTGCAGATTTTAAAACTTCTCTTGGAAGGAGCAATGGAATTGGCAAATATGGTGTGCGAACATATCAAGGAACTGATGATAGAATTAAAGGTTTTGAATAGAGAAATAAATAGAAGGAATTCCCTGGACGAACAACCATCAACAAGTGGAGGAGGTCAACGTGGTCTGCTCCTTGATAGGTAAATTTTGAAAATTAATTATTATTTAGATTTTTAGGATCTTAAAATGAAAATTTGGATTATATTGAAAAAGAGTAATGACGTTTTAATATTTATTGATTTTGTATGTTATAATAAAATTGGATTTTAATTGTCAAAATTTAGGTTTACAAATGATAATGTCGTTATCACTGCACCATCTAAAATTAAAGCCGGAAGTGATCTTCAACTTCCATCGATGGGTGCTCTCATCAGTAAGACTTCTAGTCAAGCATTCTTCCTTCGAATATTAAAAGTTATTGTACAAATCAGAGAGGCTGTACGTCTTGCTAACAAAAAGAAAACAGGTAATATTTAATTTATAATAATAGTAATTCAACTTAATTGAAATTGTTAATTAGATTTTGTTACTAAATCAATAATGTTTAAATTATTTATTTATTTATTTAGAAACAACGCCAATTGCAGAGACAAATATGGAAACAGGTAATAAATTTTATTAAAAATAATTTTAAGACTTATTATTGAATGTTAGATATTAATTTCTTTTTTTTTAACAGTTGATAATTTTTCCGATACTGAAAGTATGGATACATCACAAGCGAATGCTTCGCAACCAGCTCCCACCGAAGAGAAAGCAACCACTTCAAAGAAAGGTATTTCTTTTATTACAAATTAATTGAGATTTTTAATTTTTTTCAAATAATTAATCCAATTTTCTATAATGAAGAATATAACACAAAAATATCGTTTTTTTTTAGTTGAAGAAGAAAAACCAGCACTTCCATTATTAAGTGAGAGTTTAGTATTGGACAACTTGTGGGAAACACTCAGTGCCTGTTTACTTGAACTTGAACATACTCCCGATCATCATGCTGTTCTTGTTCTGCAGGTAAAATATTCGTTAAAAAATAATGTTACAACAATAATTTTATTATCTCGACGTTCTGGATTATAAGAAATTTATTGAAATTAAAAAAATAATCATTTATATTTTTTTTAGCCCGCTGTTGAAGCCTTTTTCTTAGTACATTCGTCATCCAGCATTTCACGTGATCGAAACAACGAAAATACGACAGAAAATCGTGACCGTGAAGCAGTGCCTGATTTGGCACCTGTTTCGCCAATTTATTCTGACAGTGAAGGTACAGCACAGTCTGAAGTTGTTGCAAACACATCCTGGGATATAAACCCACCACCACAAAAGACTTTACCTCCGGACCAACTGAAGTTCCTAAAATTCGCAGGTAATTTTCTTTTATTTCTGTATAGTAGAAAAGAAATTTATAAACGTAAAATTTTATTACTATCGGAAAAAAAAAATTTTTTTTAGATATATTTTTTAAAATTGAATATCAAGAAAATAAATAATATGATAATTTAATTATAGAAACGCATAGAACTGTATTAAATCAAATTCTTCGACAAACAACGACTCATTTGGCGGATGGACCATTTTCTGTGTTGGTGGATCATACGAGAGTTTTGGACTTTGATGTTAAGAGGCGATACTTCAGAACAGAATTGGAAAGAATGGACGAAGGAATTCGTCGTGAGGAATTGGCTGTTCACGTTCGCAGGAGTCATGTTTTTGAAGATTCATTTAGAGAACTTCATCGTCGTAATGCTGATGAATGGAAAAATCGATTTTACATTGTCTTCGAAGGTATACTTAATTACTAGAAAATAATTTGACAATTTGATTGTACAACTATAAACTCTTAATTTTTTTTTTATCTTGTTATAAAAATTACACTCTATTTTTTTACGAATTAAGGCGAGGAAGGCCAAGACGCTGGTGGCTTATTACGAGAATGGTACGTGATTATTTCGAGGGAAATTTTCAATCCCATGTACGCATTATTCACCGTCAGTCCTGGCGATCGGGTCACGTATATGATTAACTCATCCTCTCATTGCAATCCCAATCATCTGTTTTATTATAAATTTGTTGGAAGAGTGATAGGTAAGTTAATTTTGTTTTTTTAATAATGAAATTTTTAAATTTTATAAAAAAATAATTTTATTTGTGTTTTTTCAGCGAAAGCAATTTACGATAATAAATTGCTTGAGTGTTATTTCACTCGCAGTTTCTATAAACACATTCTTGGAATTCTTGTGAAACACACAGATATGGAGAGCGAAGACTATAGTTTTTACAAAGGCCTTGTATATCTCACAGAGCATAATATTTCCGATTTGGGTTATGAATTAACTTTCTCAGCAGAGGTAAATAAAAATATAATTTAATTAGAATTGAAAAATATTTTTTATTTAAATTTTAATTATTAATTTTGTTCTCTAATTATGATTTATTTTCTATAGGTAAATGAATTTGGTGTAAATGATGTACGAGATTTAATTCCTAATGGTCGCAATATAGTTGTAACGGAAGAAACGAAATTGGAGTACATTCGTCTTGTTTGTCAAATGAAAATGACGGGAGCGATTCGAAAGCAGTAAATATTTTTTTCATTAATCTTCGTTTGAAAAAAATGACTTTTATTAAATTATGATTTTTTTCCTTGTAGACTTAATGCGTTTTTGGAAGGTTTCTACGACATCATTCCGAAAAGATTGATTTCCATCTTTAACGAGCAAGAACTTGAACTTCTTATTAGCGGTTTACCAAATGTTGATATTGAAGATTTGAAATCCAACACCGAATATCACAAATATAGTCCCACTTCCTTGCAGGTAAAATTCTTTTTTTGCATCTGGATTTTATATTTTTTGTAACATGAAATATTCTACTGATGCAATTTTTTTTTAGATTCAATGGTTCTGGCGCGCATTACGAGGCTTTGACCAAGCAGATAGAGCGAAATTTTTGCAATTTGTTACTGGAACGTCTAAAGTTCCGCTCCAAGGTTTTGGCGCACTAGAAGGAATGAATGGCGTACAAAAGTTCCAAATACATCGAGATGATCGGTCAACCGATAGATTACCATCAGCCCATACCTGGTAAGTGTTGTTAAAGAATTTTCTTTATTTAAATTTTAGAAAAATAATTTTTCTATTCACGTTTCGTTTATTATAATTTATAGTAATTATAATTTTTTACTTATAGAAACTTTCAATAAGAAAGAAGTTTTTAAAGAATGCAAAAAATTCTTTCTAATTGTATTTATCTAATTTTTAAATAATAAAAATTTTCTTTCAGTTTCAATCAATTGGATCTTCCTGTATATGAAACGTACGACAAATTGCGAAGTAATCTTTTGAAAGCAATTCACGAATGTAGCGAGGGATTCGGATTTGCATAAATTGTGAATTTTCAACGTTATGAGTTTTTTTTTTTTTTTTTAATTAAAAAAGAAAGTCTCGCAAAAAATTCATTAAAACGTTATTTTTTTATTGTTTATTTTTATTTTTTAAATTAAATTATGGATATATTCGATGGTCGTGTGTCAGTTCTTTCGCTTGTGTGCGCAATGTAACTCGAAGGTAAAATGAAAAAAAAAAAAAAAAAATTAACGCATATTATTATGTGCTTGGTCTTCGCTCCTAATGAAATCGAATATATACATACACACAATGCACTCATATGTATATACAATTGTGGTGTAATTATTGAAAATAACTTTCGATTCTACTGGAGTTAAGAGTTTATTTTGTTGAAAAAAAAAAAAGATCTTGAAAGAGAGATGAGCTTAACGATAATTCCCAACAACGCGGAAGAGGAGAAAATCAATAAAAAAAAGTACAGTAATTTGTAAGGAAACAAAACAAAAAAAATAATAAATAATGACAAGTTTCATATGTAATAATAAAAATAGATAGGCATCTTAGAATGATTTAAGGGGTAAATAGGGCGAAAGTTGTAATATACTGCACTTTTAAGTCGATCGGTGATACGTCGTAATGCGATTTGCTTAGAAATATACTGATTATACGTGAGATAACAGTTTTTGATGATAATGATGAAAGTGTTCCAATGCTCTGTGCAGAGAATTTTGTTTGTGAGGAGTCTGAATGAATATGTTGTGTGAAAAAGAGTGTGGGGAGGATGTAGGTATAAAAAAAAATAATAAACAATATATGCCTAATGTCTAAAAAGAAAAGCAATTTTTTTAAAAAAAGTTAATTTGTTTTGTAAACCTCCCCCCCCTCTCTCTCTCTCTTTCTCTTTCTCTTGAAGAGTAATGTATGATTGTACACTATTAGTATTAATAATTCTAACTAATTTTTAATTAATAGGGTTAATCTTAACTTGATATCATTTTAATATTAATAATTCAAAATGTGATGTTACAAAAAAAAAAAAAAGAATTGTAATTTTTTTCTTGAAATCTAACGAAATAAAGTTTACAGTTAAAAAAGGACAATTATATAAACACAACAACAACAACAACAATAACAACAAATACAGTGCACATGCATTAAATGGCATTACATACTATATCAGGCTCCTTTCTAAATTGTTAGGGAATTATTGCTTAGGAGTCGCTCAAATAAAACTAAATGTTGTATTTCTTATAAAAAAAAAAAAAATTTTTAGTGCGTCCATTTATTACACACGTGCCTTTCATTGCATTAGCTTTTCTGTTATTTTTGTCACGTTTACTATATATATTATATTATTTACGTTACATTAGGGACAAAAAAAAGTTATTTACGTTTTTTCCTAGTTTTTAGATTTATGTGCTTAAAAAAAGGAAGAAAAAAAAATCCGTTTGTCTTGGTTATATATTATGAATTCGGTGTTTAGTAATTTAATTTTTTGTTTTTGTAATTGTATATATATTAAATAGTTGACTATTTTGCACGCGTGAATATTTGGAATAAAATGATTGATTTAACAAGAAAAAAAAATATATTTTTTATTTACAGAAAACATCCGTATATTATATACATATATGTGTATATATTTATATATAAAACAATAATTCACGTGTCGATCACATTATTTTTGACATTTTATTTTACAAATTATTATTACCTATATTTGTAATAGACAAAAGTGTCTTGCAAGAAAAAGACCTTTTTTTCTCGATTATTTATTACATTTTTCTTATATTTTATATATTGGTTTTTTTTTTCATTTATCTATAATTTGATTGTTTTCATTTGAAAAAAGAAAAAAAAATTTTTTCAAAGAAACAATATTTTATATATATATATATATGGAATTTATTTTTCGAAAAAAGTAATTTTTCTAGTAAATTACTTTTCAAAAAAAAAAAAAAAAAAAAAACAAGTTTACCTTTGTACAAAAATTAATTACAATTCTAAACTGTGTATCGATTTACAGTTGCATTTTTAAATTAAGAATATAAAATTAAGATCACATCTATAAAATAGATATAGTTCTGTGTCTAATTCTTGCAAGCATTTTTTTTAATTCAGGTACCATCGTTTTCGATCTTATTTCTTTTTTTGGAAGGGTTAAATTTAACATAATTTTTTTATAGACCCTTAATTATACAATCCCATCCATAAATGAAAGCAGCAGGCGTTTACAAATCCTTCAACCAAATTGTAAATACCACTAACATTAGAAGAACTTGTATTCTCGATTGAATTACGATAGACGGCGCAAAGTTCCTATAAAAAAATACAATTATTAATTAATTTACAATCAAATAATTGTAGAAAAAAACTATAATTTTTGTCATAAAAAAGAGAATTTCCAATTGAAAAGAATTTTAATTCAAATGGACAAATAATTGGTTCGTAAACTCATTATTAAAATTATTAATTAATAATTTAAATAATTCTCAACACCAATTAAAATATAAAATACATTAGTAATAAAAAAAAAAGTAAATATTTTTTTTTTAATTTTGAAACGTACCCCTCGAGATGTATGAAGATCAATTGTCAACATCATAAATGCCTGAACATAGCTTGGATGAAGAATAAGATGGTGCGTGACATTTCCATCGGGTGTATTAAATTGTTTATGATGATCCTGATATTTATTTTGCAAGACTTTTGATAAATTTTGATACCATGCCATTGGTTGATTGACAAGTGGACTCAGCCTTGAATCCAATTGTGATAGTGGTTCCACAATTGCAAGTGAACGTAATTCCATAAATTCACCATAAGACATACTTGTTCGATTTTCTAATAATTTATTCCACAATAAATGTGTTCGACAATGTAATGCACCCTGTTCAATCATTGATGTTATATGTTTCCTTGCCGTTTGTGCTTGTGACATTATCATTTGCTGCATCATTTGTTCATGCGATGAATAATAACCAAAATAATTAATTGATTCACGACGAATTAGAACTAAATTCGATGATGATGCACCTAAGATACTTTGAGTTAGTGGTGATGATGGAACTGGCGGTGGCGTTGGTGCTTGAACATCATCATTATTATTATCATCATCATTATCATCATCAGCAACTAAATTATTATCATTTTCCTCATTTTTTCCTTCGGTATCCGAAATATTGACAATTTGTTCTTGAAGATCATTGGAGCTTGATTTAAATTCACATTTGGAATGTTTTCTTGACGAGGGCATTGTACTTGATGCTGGACTCGATTCTGAGGGGCTTTCAATTTGTGAATTTGTCACCGATTTACCAACACTGTAGACTGTTCGAAATTTGCCGAGTTTATTATTTTCTAAATCACGTTTTGGATAAAGTTCACGTTTACTTGTCAGCATGAGATAATATTTTAGTGTAATTTCATTACTACTGAAATCGGAATTTTCATCAAGACGTGAAACAATGAGAGCAACGTCCGAATCATCAGTGAATTTTGTGTCCTGTGAATCACAATAACCAATTAGAGGTGTACTTTGTAATTTAACAAGAACATATTCACTGTCTTGTTCTTCATCAGAATCATCAGTCATACTGAATACTTGCATTCCATACGATTTTTCGTGTGATAACAAATAGGAGTACAATGTTCGTGCTGGTGTTGCTAAATTATTTATTGTTATAACTCCTGGAAAAATTGTTGATAAAAATTTATTTTATAATTTATTTTTTAGAATTTGATATTTAGAAAAAAGAATTCTTACCACTGTATACTAAATTTCTGGCATAATTTGGAGCTTTGCTGTAGTATTTGTTGAAATCGTCCAAAAAATTTGTAAGATGATATCCATATTTAAGTGGTCTGTGACCAATTCCAGCGAGATATGAATGAATCGATCGAAGATGAAAATCGTAGGTAAATGAATGTAAGTGCATATTAATTTTAATTTCATCACAGGCGTCGATAAAACTTAGTATAAACTGAAAAGAATATTTCACAATTAATTTATTCATAAAAAATGTATTTTTTTTTTAAATCAATTACCTGATTGACTAGAGCACTGTTTGTTTTGTCTTGCAATCGACTGCATTCAATAACTCGCAATTTAACCGTGAAAAATGGTTCGGATAAGTAAATTTCAAATAAAAGAACACCGCCGAGCATTGATTTTTTTAAATAAAAAATTTGATTCTGACCATTTTCTCGTTCCCTATTTTTTAAATAAAAATAATTAGAAAATTAAATATTTGAAAAAATTGTTTTAATTAAATTATTAAGAAATTTTCTTACGATCGATGAATAGTTTCAGTTTGAACTGGATTGAAGCCAAGAATTTGTAAATATTGTTTATATTCAGAAAGCATGTGGAAACATAATTCTCGATGCCATTCATTCATTATTGGATTGGATTGATCGGTATCTTTCATTTTTCGAGATGTCGTGTTTAGTTGAGCGGCGGCACTCTCAGAAATACATGAAGACGTTGGAGTTAGAGAATGATCCCTCGTGGCAGCTGATTGTAAACGCCAATCGGGAAGAAATAATAAAGGCGTGTGACAATAGTGAATTACTCTCGAATGTTGTTTAAATGTATTGAGTATCACTGTAGAAATTGGAATATTTGGAACTGTATTTTTGCTCTGCCATATCGAATACAATTTGTTTAGATCCTCTAAAAAGAAAGATAATTATTTTTAATAATAATATAATAAAAAAATTATTAATAATTATTAAAATTTGATTCTAAAAACCTTTTCGCTTTTTCTCTCGCTGTCGAAGTTCTTGAAAATCGTTAGCCGCTTTTACCACTGGATCGGTTGTTGTTGGTGAATTTTGAGCATTTGGTTTCGCGTCTCTCATTACTTGTCCCATTAAATGACTCCAGGAAAATGAGGTATTTTTTCCAGTTTGCATTCTAGCAGGCGATGCTTGTGGAAATTTTGCAAGACTTTCTAAATCTGTTATTTGAAATTGAGCCGTTTCATTTTGCTCCCTTTGCTCGTAAGTTCGCATTGGCTGATGATGAAAAATTCCCAATTTTTGCATAATAATATTCGAATAGAGAGTCGATCTTGATGAGAGCCACATTCCCAAATTAGTCGTCTGTTTTATCAATTTTTCCGATCTCTCCTTTGACCAATTGTACATGTAAATGATGATCTAAAATAATTTTTGTATTTCCATTATTTATTTTTTCTTTTTCAAATAAAAAAAAAAAGGAATTAAAAATTAATACGAACATTTTTACTTTGAATTTTAGCCAATAATAATCGTTGTCTAGGTACAAAATCAGCTTCAAAAATTAGTGGATAGAATCTTTGGAGTAATTTTTGATCTGAAAGAAAAAATATATGTAATAATAAATATTTTTAATTATATTTTTTTGAGAAATTACCTTTAGGCACAAGTTTTTCGGGTTCAATTGTCTGCGCGTAAGATGCTTTCCATTGTTGAAAATTTCTTGCGACTAAAATACTTTTAACATAAATTCCTTGTTCATCTTTAAAAAAATCACAGGGAAGATAAAGACATTCGTCATTATTCTCCTTTTCCTGTGCTTTCTTTAGCCAAGAACTATTAACATTATCAACACTTTCAAGAATTTTAAATGCCAATGGATCCTCTTCCATGTCATCGTTGATAAATGGTTGACGACTATTTTGAACAAAAGTTCTTGTCAATGTGTCCGTTGCATTATTATGAATAATATTTTGAAGTTCACGTAATACAACTGCCAGTGAATGTCTTCTGTCCAATGTGACAATGTGTTTTTTAACAGACGGTACATTTATCTCCAAAGCAAATTGAAACCAAAATGGTAATGTTCCATAATACATTTTATGCAATTTCCCCTCTTCACCCAATTCATAATTTTTCATATCTAAACTATTTGTAATTTCACATTTTTCATCGGAGAAAATTTGAGTTTCTTCAATATCAATTAAGGTTTCATTAATTTGTGCTTGATTTATTTCACCTTTAGACGTTGGATTTATTTCAATTTCAAATAGTGGTTTTATTTCAATGTCATCAGATTTTCTTTCTGATTGATCAATGTCAGACGTTTGGATAATTTCATCGTTAGCGATTCGATTCAAACTGTTATTGGAATTTTGAATTTGATCTTTTAAAGGAACAGTGAGAAGTGTCGGTAGAAAATGATATTCCGTCACTAAATCCCAAATAGCGTGTCTAACGGCAGATTTTAATTTTTGAACAAGAGATTCAAGATTAACTCGTCCTTGCTTCCAAATACGAAATTCAATCAACGCTTTATTGTCGTTGTTTTCTAATTCTACTTTCATATCGAACAGTGAAGTTGAAACGATACTTTCGAAATCTTCAACTTTTGGACATTCGGGCAATGGTGATACTTTTGATGAATTATTTTCTGTTATTATTAATTCTCCTTTTGTATTCACAATTCCCATCGCGATACACGCAATTCCACGACTTCCACTCGATTGACTTTGATTGTAGAGAAAAATTTCCGATTCTGGTATTCGTTTTAAAGAATTTTCCGGTTGTGAATAATCTTGAAAATGATAATGTGCTCTTGGATCCGTGTGTTTTGGTATATAGAGAAACTGAAAATTAAAAAGACAAAATAATTAATTACCGATATTTGAGAAAATTAAAACTAAAAGAAAATACATACTTGTAAAACATTTTGTCGTAGATAATATCCCAAAGCGCACATATGAGTCAAACAATGAGGTGGAAAACTAAGTCTCACAATACTCTCAGGTGATCGATAAGGTTTTTGTATAAAATGAACATCGGCTGGTGTTAATTTACACATTGGATTTCTTGCAAGCATCACTGAGAGAACTTCAAGTACAGCATCATCCAAACGATTTTGTAATACCTGAACTAATTCACATCTTATTTCAGGACCAGCTTCAGAAATTCCATGTACCATCAATACAATAGAATCGCCTGTTTTATTTAAAATATCCGATTCTTTTTCGCCAAATGATCGTACCCTGGGTCTTGTATCATCGATAATTGTTTGTTCATTCAAGAGACTCGTTCCCCTCGCTTGTGATAATGATGCAATACTACTGCTACGTGAAACAACAAGCCTCTCATCACTTTCTGACAATTTATTTTGCAATGATTTCCCATCGCTTGTTTGCTCGTGTAGACGAAGATAAAAAACATTATCAGTTTTTTCACGATAGACAAACATATTACTGCGATTATTCACTGAGAGACGATTTAGTACAGCATGAAGGGCTTTAATTCCTCTCGATAAACCCGAACGTCCTGGACCTGTTTTTAATCTTGGATGAAGACAAAATGGCATTTCCCAAACGACAGGACAACGAAACATTCCTGGTGTTAGATTTATTCCCGTATTACTATGACTAATTGCACCACTTCCCTCGCTAAAAGAATCGGCTTTCCAATTATGATCCTCACTTGATTCGGGCTCAAGTAGTGGATCACAGAGTCGCGTATCATTTAAACGATGTAGCAAAAGATATTGATTAACACGACGACAAATTGCTTTAATTTGTGCGACGAGTAATTTTTGTATTTGTTGATAGTGCGCCACTTCAGTTGATGCTAATTCCAAAAAACGACAATGAAAATAAACATTCACGTGCGTTGTCTCAACACGTAAAATAAGCCAAAAATTAGGCAAAAGTTTACGTCGTCGATCCATTTCAATTAACCATTGACATTCATCCTCTGAATCACTACTATCACCATCGTATCCATCATCAGTTCCAATTTGTCCTTCGCCAATACTTGAAATTTCCGATAGATAACCAGGTGGATCACCAGAATCTTGTTTTTTTGTTCTTCTATCAGCTTCTTGTCTCTCAAGAAGATCCGGATACATTTCATCATCTAAACAATTTTGCTCAACCGATTCTTCACTTTGTTGTTCACTTAAATCGGGATTATAAATTTGTTGCTCGAGATTTTTGATAAAATAAAAATAATTACCCTCTTGTCGTATACAATAGCGATTAATCTCGAGTTTCGTTAATTCATCAAGAAATTTTGGCACACTATTCTCCGATGGAAAGACAAAATGTAAAAGAACTTTTTCAGTATAACAACTGGTTCGATCATTTGATTCGGCAACATGACGTGCAACAAAATTCAATGAATCCTCAGTTGGTGATGATTTATCTAAAAGTGCCGTTGCCGTCTCATCCTGAAGAAGCCAATCGATTTCTTCTTTTAAATTAGTAATTGCTGTATATTGATAATGTGGTAGATGTGATAAACCGGCTTGAACTGCTTCAACATCGGAAAAATCGGTACCATTATCAATGCTATTACTGTGCTCGGTACCAAGACTTCCATGCGGTGATGCACTACAAAATGATGTTGTACGCAAACCGGGAATACAATCAATACTCACTTCCAATACTTCCTTGGGAAGATAAAGACAAATTATATCGAGTGTCACTTTATAGTCTTCATAATTTTCGAAATCTTGCATTATTTCTGTAACGCATGTTGGTAAAAGTTTCACTGGTGTACTCGATAAACTCGAACGATTTCTAACCGAGCAATTTAATTGCAAAAATAATGGATGATCTTTACTTGAATCCGAATCAATATTAAGATCACTGATAAATGATTCCGTTGATTCACTGCTGGAAAATTTTGCCTCATTATGATTATTCACTACTGGCCAACTGATGCTATTTGCATTCACTAGAAATAAAAAATTTTAAATAAAAATTCCAATATTTAAAAAAAATTCTAATAATACTTACCTTTTCCAGTACAACTATTCATTTTACAATCCAATGCCTCTGAATGAAATGTAAATTCCTCCAATTCATCATCACTGTCCGTATTTTGTAAATCTGCAAGTTTCTGTAAATTTTTTCTTTTTAATAAATTTTTATAAATTTTGAAAAATGATTTTAAAAAAAGGAACCAACCATTCTTTCCGGTTGCCAGGATGGAAGACAATAGTATAATTTTGGATGAGCTGGCACAGGTCTAAAGGAGACATTTATTATTCTTTCGAATTTATTTTTAATTAAATTATGAAAAGGTTGAATTTCATTGCAGGCAATTTTTTCCGTATATGTATTTGGATTATTTTCTGATGATGTACTCAGATGTTTACAAACTGAACGCAAATAATCGGTAATATTAATTTCCATATAATTTTCTTCACATTGCTCAACAGCCGCTTCCATATCCTCGTAATTTAAAGGACGTTGAAGAATCAATGATTTGTAAACGGCCATAACATAACAACGACAATGAGCAAGGCTCAAAATTTTGCAATGTTCCATCAAACTTTTTTGATCTGTAAACAATTTTTTTTAAATTGTATGTTCTTTTTTTAAAATAAGGAAAAAGTATTTTTTATTATTCTCACCATTTAAAACATTATCAGAATCTTCGCTCTTCGGTTCTGGTGACGATGGTTTTGTATCACCACCAGATTTCAAATTAATAAATTCCTCCTGAAAATGTTCACCAATTCGAAATGTATAATCACGATAAATATCTTTGGCACGTGGTGATGTTAATTTATCAACTAAAGCATCAATTAATAAAGCCAATGAGCAATCATAAACATAAATAGGAAGAATTAATCCACGTTTTGTATTTTCTTCGGTTAATTTTTGAAAAGCTTCCATTTTTGGTGTACTATGAGCAGTGTTTGTATGACTCGAAACATTTGAATTGAAATCATCGAAATTATGAAATGGAGATAAACTTTCATTGTCATTGTGACTTCTTGCATAAGGCACTGGCGTTAAATTTGTATCACGAAGATCAAAATTTGAACTCAATGATTCATAATGTAAATTTGAATCAGTTCCCAAATAAGAATCTTGTACATCTTCTTCGGGATACATCAATAATCGAACATCTTTTTCTGTTGCTGGTAAAATTGTTATTATCACATGAGTGACACTTACACCTTTCACAAAACATCTCCATTGTGGAAATGATGTTTTATTTCTAATTCGATCTGTAATTTAAAGTAAAAAATCCACCTTTTATGAAACTTTGCATCAAATCAAATTATAAATTAATTATTAAATCGAAAATGATTCATTAATCTATTTTATATGTCTATTAATTTGTTTGGAGAAATAGATAAAAAATTTGTAAAACTTATATAAAATCTTCAAAAGAAAATTTTTCTTACTTAAATGAAAATACGGAATATGAGATTCTTCATCTCGAGGACGATTGAATAACATTTCTGTAAATTTTTGAGATTCTGTCGCCGTGAGAATTAATTCCCTATTGTGAAGATGTTTGATATTATCCAAAAATCCCTCAATGAGTATTCGATTCGCATTATCGTCTCCCACATCGTCGTTGTGTATACCTTACAAATAGTAAAATAAAAATAAATTCCCCTTTTAAAAATAATAATTTTCAGATAATTAATTTATGAATTAAAATTTTTGAAATTAAATCATTTCTCGAATAAATTTTATAAAAATTTCTAACCGTCATCAAACATGGAGAACAAAAGTTCAGCTTGCTGACATTTTGGCAAAATATTAAGTGTATCGAAAAGAAAATTCACAGAATGAATTTGTTCTTGATTGGTGGGATGACCTTCTGGAAAATCCGACAAAATAGGCTTTTTAATTGATCTTGTGATTAATCCTTGATTTAAATAACCTTGAACAGCGATAACATCTAAATTTTTCTCTGAAGATGCCACTTGACTCAAGAGACTCAAGTGTTCGAGGGTTAATAATGCATTAATACATTCCTCATCGATGTAAGCAATCTGAAAAATAAAAAAATAAAAAAAAAAAAAAAAAGAACGTGATAAAGTTAAATTGCGAAACATATTGGGGTAAAAATTTCTCTATAGATAAGATTCAGGATAAGATTAAATACGAGTGGTAATATATTATTCTCAATCTTCGACATTTGTGCTGAAAAATAAAAAAAATCTTTTTTATTATATTAAAAGAATACATTTTTTTCACAAGATATTTATTATATATATATACAATCTTCATAAATAGAAAATTTATTTCTCCAAATGCATTTCTATTACAATTTTTATAAACTTTCAATTTCACATTTTATTTATTAAAAAAAAATTTGTTTTCCTTATATAACTTATAATATCTAAAATAAAAAAAAAATTGATTAAAACAGATTAGAATATGTAGACCAGCAATTAAAGATAATCGAAAAAATATATATTTTTTTCGGCCAATTTCCTTAAAAATACAATTAAGCTATATACTAATTAAGATCCTAATCGTCGCTTGGAGATCAAAGTTTTATTTGAAGAATTTTGTCGATAAGCGGCAGATAACAACTGGATATGACAAAAGTCGTTTAAGGCCTCGGGAATAAGATGGAGGAGTTGAATCTCGCTTTAAAATCTAAGCGTAGAGACCACTACTCCACTTGAACCGCGACACCTTCTCTCCTTATTTAATTTTTTTGTTTCTTTTTTTTGCCAAATTTAAACGAGAATTTTCCAATTCAAGAAGAAAAAGAAGAAGAAGAAGAAGAAGCGAGGAAGACGAATGTTTTCCAAGTAATCTTGAGCTGGAAGAGTTAGATCTGGCAAGTTTCTAGAGCTCAATTGCTCACTGTCAAGATCCTCTCTTCCAACTCAAGATCAGTCAGGCGCTGAGAAATCCAATAAATATTTTTCAGATGTAAACTTTTTTTTTTTTTTTGAAAATTTCCCCATTTGTTCGAAAATCAAAATCACCCACAGCAATTCTGTTGAAAAAGATAATTGAATATTTCTGAAAATTTTTTATTATTTACAAAAATTATATCACGATAAAAAAAATTTCAAATATTCTTTTTCTAATACAATTTATGAAAAATAAATTTAATTGTAAACTTTATTAAGTGTTCATATTTGTCTCTCTTAATTAATTCAATGTTTATTAATTTCTCTGATTCTAAAAATTTTAAATATTTATATTATTTCTTATTCTTTGAATTTTTAAAGTTAAAAAATTGAATTCTTCTTCATTCTTAAAATAGTTTCTAAAACAATTTAGTTTTTTGGTCAATAAATTTTTATAATTTCGTGGAAAATAAAAATTTCTTATTGCCTGAAATCTACAAAATCAATTTACCTAAGAATGTTGACACAGAATATTGTCGTGGGTATTCGTTAAAACTCTAGTAAAATAAAACAATTTCAGAGCAATAATAATGTTTGCAGAAAAAAAAGATAACGATCCACACATGACATTATTTTCGAACAAAATTGAAAATAAAATGAGAATGTAAAAAAAAATTTAATTCTTTAAAAAAAAAAAATGATTAAAAACGAATAAATTAAATTGAGATTTTTTATTTACTATTTATTAATAAAATAAATTGTTGAAAAAAAATATAAAAACTAAATATTAATAAATATCAAAATAATATTCCGATTGAAATAAAAACAAATTAAATTATCCATTTTATTTAACACAATGCTCTATTTTTCATAGAATTGAAAAAAAATTATGTCAACAATCGAACACTTAATGAAGTTTAAAATTTAAATTTTAATAATTTTAACAAAAATATTACTAATTTATTATTCTTTTTAGAAATTTTTTCAAAAATCAACTTCACCTGAGTTTCCCACTGGTTTTTTTTTTAAATAAAAATAAATTAATCACTCAGAAACAGTCCTTCAGCTCGTTTCACTAGCAATTTCTTATCAACACTACCGCTTGTGACCAAAAAACTCGAGGAATCTCCTTATCAAAGACATTCTGAATAAATTCACACCTTACATAACACGAGCACAGTGCAATCTAGTTTTTTTTTTTCTTTTTTTTTTTTCTTGAAAAAGGTATTTTTTTGCCCTTTATTTGATGATCCAAAGAAATGACAATTCAAATTGAAGTGCCACTGTATAAATTTGAAATTGATTTGAAAAATAGGAACAATAAGAAAAATCCTAACAACCACAACCTCGCCGAAAAAATGTAAGACAATCACTAACGGGCCCCGAATATACATGGGCCCTATATATACCTGAGGGTACTGATAGAGAATCCCATCCTAAGTCCTCCATCGATATCGAGTGCCCCACCCCGATGATGATAACGATTGTCTGATAGACATGAACAAACATACATATACACGTCTAAATTCTACTTCCACGAAGAGAAAAAAAGACGCTCAAATCTGATTGACAAAAAAAAAAAAAAAAAAATAATCCCATTTACAATCTGTATTCCATTCAAGCAATAAATAATTTTTCCAAGTTTGTTCATACGCGAATAAAGAATTTCTTTTCTTTGATTTCAAACATCTCCCCAATTTTTCTTTTCAAATAAATTACAATATAATAATTATTGTAATCAATTTTTTTGCGAAAAATTCGTCTGATTTTTGCATAGAAAATTTCTTATTATATAAAATATTAATTTTTATTCTTCACTTGAAGCAAGTGTTTTTTTTTTATTTGAAAAAGAAACTTGTTTCTGCCTCGAAGGTAAAGCGATAAAAATAATGTATAATTTGCTAATAAAGATATATAAAAAAAGTATATAATTAATATTTCTTTCATATTTTGCTGGGTTTCGTTTTTTCTATTTTTCTATTTCATTTAATTTTTACTTTCTTATTTTTGAAAAAATACAAACAACTTTTGTAATATTAAAAAAATTTTGAGACATAAAATTTAAATCAATAAATTATGACAATTTATTACGAAAGTTTTGAAAGCTTTGAAATAAATTTAATCATTTTACTGATGGACTAATTTAGTTATTCAATATAACAATGTATTAAGATCGGACAACGGTCGACGAGATAAGCCAAAAAGATAAAGATCGATTATGACATTGTTCGAAACAAAAAAAATTTTAAGCACATTTTATTATTTCGTACCTTTTTGCATTATTATCAATTTAAAAGAATAAAATATTTTTATATAGGTATTTTTTTACTTTATAAAAGAATAGAAAAAAAAAAATTATTTTTCAGACTGAAAAAGTGTCTAAAATATTTTTTAAAACATAACATGTTCATTAGAATTTTGTTTATAAATAAATTACCAACAATGAGATTAAAAACTATCAATAAAATATTAAGCTTGTTCATTGATTAAATGTTTGCTACAAACTGTTTTTTATGAAGAAGTAATTCAATAAAATTTTTAGCTAAATAAATTTTTGTTACTAAATAGCATAAGGAGAAAAAATGTTTAATTTTATAAGAAATTTTTTTCTGCTGCCAAAAATTTATATATAATTTCAAAATTCACGGAAATATTTGTTAATTGAAAAGAAACACTAACTTTTCAGAACAATACGAACTTCAAATATATATCTATCATATCTAATCAACATTTTTTTTAGAAATAGACGCTGTTTTAATCTATCTAATCTGTTGATCAATTTTTAACTGAAACTTCTTCAAAATTCTCAAACTTTTTTTACAATATGTCTTTAGATAATTTTTATTTTAAAAAAGAACAAAAAATTTTTTTTTCTAAAATAACTTTACAATATTTATTCTATTTTGGTTTTATAATATTCAATTATTAAAGTATTTAAAATTGAATTCCTCAATTTTTTTAATTAAAATATTTCCTATTCAAAAAAATGAAAGCTAAAAATTACAAATTACAAAATAAAAAAAAAATTTATTTAAATAATTTGTATGCAATGAAAAATCAATTTTCGAAATTGAAATGATTAAGTGTTTATAAAGAGAAACATATAAAGAACTGAATTTAATTAAATTAAAGAGATAAATTTTCACGATTTTTTTTTTTGAAAATTAAAAACTTTTAATTTTAACATATATAAATTGAAGTATATTGTATATATTCTAGTATATATAAAAGTAAGACTTAAAATAATGTGGAAAAACTAAAAGTTTAAAATCTTCAATATCTTCGGTCGGTGTTTGCATAGAGATAAGAATACCTGACAAAATAAACCACTTCAGAATATAAACCATCCTCTGGTCAGAATAACTTTGTGTATTTGTGATTACACGCATTATCAGGTTGGTCCAAAGATAACTTGGGTTAAAAAAACTTTACAAATAGTTTAGTTTCTTGACACTTCTAATATATTTGAGGCGCCCATATATCAATTTTTTTTTAATAAAACAAATTTTCATAATTTTGAATTTCATATAATTAAAGAGAAAAATAATTCCAAAAATTTGAAATAATTAATATTATAAAACCAAATTTGAATACAAAAAATATTATTCCTGACTATAAAAGAAAAAAATCTAAAACAAATCTTGTGGAAAATAAATATTTTAGTTTTTTTTTCTCACTTTCATAGATAAAATTAATTATTCCAGAAAAATAAATTCTTTTAAAATATACGAGAATAATAATTTGTGAAATTGCAAGTACTTTTTGGAGCGTGAAAAGCGTAATAATAATTATAAATTAATTTCCAACTGAGAGGAAATATATTTACCACTCGTCAAGAAATTATATTGAAATTAATTAAACGAAATGGAAATGTATACTCACAGCATCTGGTAATTGATGATACTGTAAACAATGCATGTACTCCGCTTTATGTTGAGACGGAATTTGAACATTACCGCATTGTGGTTCGACCCAAATTTCTGTGATAATTTGAAAATCTCCAATATTCTCGCAATCCTCGTTTCCAATTTCTCCATCGCCTAGAGCAATTCATAAAGCAATATCAAAATTCTCTCTTCTTTTATATTTATTTTTTTAATAATCAATTAAGAGTTATAATAATTATATTATTTTTCTGCTTTAACTTGTCAAATTTTTAATTTACCATCGTCTGTATCATCAGAACCACTGTCTCTTTCTGTTGTGGGATTAACAAGCACATGTGGAGGAAATAAAATATATTGAATAGTACAAGGATAAAGAGATGCATCATTTTCAGGTCCTTTCATTTGTACTTCACGCACCATATTAATAATTCCCGCTGAGGAATGTGCAAAATTAAATCCTTCCGAGAGACGAATTCTGAAAAAAAATTCATCTCGCGAATATTAAATTAAATGTAATTAAAAATTTTATTTAACAAAAAAAAATAATTTTAAGAAAAATTAGCTTACTTGGTGATAGTCGAGAGAATTCGGGCAATCGCAGAAATATTCAATTTCGGTAGATTAATAATCGGTATTGATTGTACAAATGGTTTTTTAATAAACCACAACCAACGACCATGATATAAATATGTTGACAATGTACTTGTTAAAATTCCACTTGCTATTAATGAATTACGTGGTAAAAATTGTGTACCATCAAAATATTTCACGCTATTTAAATCACTTGGCATACGTTCGTAGCGTATTAAAATTTTCTCCAATGATTTATGAATAATTGTACAACATGAAATTTCCTTAAGATCAGTTGGTCGACTGGGAAGTGTTAATTTTGCAAGTCGTTCCAATAAATCAGTGACAACATTATGACGTACAACACCTTCAGTACCGCCGGCAAATGCAATATTCAATACAACACAAAGAGCACGACAATTAACATTAATTATTGAAAATGACACTGGTGGTTTATCCAATTCACGATAAATAAATTGCACATATGTATGATTATCGACAAGAACAAAACTTGCCCAATTTTTTAACATTCCATAGAGAGCTGCCAATGCTTGACGATATTGTACTGATTGAAAACGTCCACTTTGATTTGCCTGATGAAGATGTTTTGGTAATGGTTTATCGTGACATAAAATTAATCTTATACGTTGACAATGCATCCATCGTGCCCATTGATGTGGTTCCAATGTTACAACCGGTTGCCAAATTTGTCCAAATTGCGGACACGCTGCTTCGCTGAAAATATTTTTAGTATAAAAAAAATGTTTTCCCAAGAAATAAATCTTTTTAATAATTACCTAATTTGAATCGTGCTGACCGAAGAATAAGTGGGTAAATAAAAAACAGGCATGCCACTTTTAATTGTATCAGGAACGTTGTACCATGTCCATCCAATTCCCGGAGACCAGCTAAAGTGTGAGAGCATATTATCACTTTCTGTAAGTGATGTTAAAGCAGCCCAAAATCGTGAAACAACTTTTTGTCGATATTGAGATTTTAAGGGTTTTTTCGATAAACATGTAATGTCGTGTAAAAATTCATATGTCGCTGAAACATCAAATTAATATTGTAAAATAATAAATACAAAAATGAAAACTAAATTATTACCTTCTAAAGTTATTGTATAAGTAATTGTGTTGCAAATTGCCATTGATCTTTTTTGCCATGGACAAGATATGTAAAATTCTAAAAAAACATCAGTTCTCCATGGTAATACAAAACAAATTTCAAGATGTTCCTCACGTAAATTCATTTTTTTAATTAAATAACCCTCACGTAAACGACAACACAATAAACTACTCAATGTACATTTCACTTTCTCGTCAATTTGTTTTTTTCTCAACAATTGTGGAAAATCATCGCCATGAATAAGACATTTTTTCATATGCCAATCGGTTGAATTTCTCTCACAACAAATTGCTCGATACAATTGCCAACAAAGAAATTTACGATGATAAATATTTAAATCGGTCTCCTCAACTGGTATCTAAAATTAATATACAAAATAAACAAAAATATTATTTAGATTAAATTTGAAACGTACCTTTTGGGGAATGAAGGAAAAATAAGTTCCAAGTGTTGCGGTAGCGAGAAAAATGAGTATATCTTCATAAGGAACTAAACCATTTGCACAATGAGGATGATATGAGCTTCCCACGTGTAAAAAACTACAGGCAACTGTTGTTGCTCTCAATTGTTGTATTACAGAATCCATCACATTGGCATCTGTTATTCCCACTATTCCATCAGTCACAATAACTAAATCTGGAAAATTAAATTTTACACTTACAACGAAAAAAATTATTTAATTAATAAACTAATGATAAAAATTGAAAATAAACTTACGAGCACAACTGTAATCGGGAAGAAGAGAAAGAGCGAGCATTCCATATCGAAGCATATTAACAAAACTAGTTTCAGGTGAGGCCATTGACATAATTGACATATTGTTACTGTTACTATTACCCACACTTGTGCCACCCTCCTCAAAAAGTCCACCCACCAATTTTTCATTTTCAGCTCGTAAATTTTCTAATTGTTGATTAACAACACCCGTGACGTGAGCGACTTTTTCCTCAAGAATATTTAATTGTTTTTCTATAAAATTCATAAGACTTCCTACATTTTCCATGGTTACTAACCAGCCTTGAACTAAAACTTGTTGCGCTGGATTTGCAAAAAATGGCGTGTGTGCTATCACAGTCACGTAAATCTCTGGTTTTATCAGTCTTGTACTCCCAGGAGCGAAAAACTAAAAGAAAATTATTTATTTATAATAAATCATAGTTGTAAAATTTAAATTTTTATTTACCGGTCTGGTAATTCCTTCCAAACATCTTTTTGTAGCTAGACAAACTTCGTCGATTACCACTTGACCATTTTGTATACCCTTTAAAATAACATAATTTTAAAATTAATTCTAGCAAAGTAAAATAGTTACTTTATTTTTTTTATTATAAGATTACTTACTATTGTCGCAAGAGATGGACTAAGATCGAGACTGAAGACCATTTTGTATTTATGTGCAAGAAATATAATCGAAGTCGATGATGATATTCGATAAAGAAATTTATGATTATTTTCACAGTTCCAGGATATGGGTTTATCCTTTGGAAGCACCGACACAATCTCCAATTCTGGTGTTTCTTCATTATCAATCACAGGTTCCTCAATTGATACCACTGAATCTAAATGTTCAATTTTCCATTGTGCTCTTACATTACGTGATATTGGAAAACCCTTTTTCATTAAAAGAAATACAGTTTCTGCTTCGAGGACCACTTTTGCCTAGAATAAAAAAAAATAAACAGATAAAATAGAATAAAATGTGAATCAAACAGAAAAAATGTAAAATACCCAAAAGATGAATTTAAAAAAATATTTAACAATTAAATTAGTTGAAAATAATGAAATTAATTTCAAAACACATGTTTTACGTATATGTAAAAACGTTTTTTATAGGTTATTTTTGTATCGTATTTATTACGTTTAATTAAAACAATTTAGTAAAGAAATTTATATACACATAGAAAGGTTATTAAATCTTACCTCAACTGCTGGATTATCCATTATATACTAATTACAGTAATTAATTGATTAATTTATTTACAAATCGAACACAAAATATATTTGTTATTAGTCGATATTTTGTGTTTAGAAGCATATTGTGGCACTGATATTTATGTAATTTAATAGAGAATAAAAAGTACATTTATTTGCCAAGTATAGAGAAAAAAGTCAATTTTTTAATTTTTATTATTTTTATTTGATTTTTAAATGACTTTTAAACTTGATTAAAAAGGACAACATAACCTCTAAAAAAATAGAAATTCTATATTTATTTCGTAAGGCGAGCAAATTGCTTCACTTATATTAAAATAAAAACACAGTAATTTCTTCTAATTGATTACTACGATTTAAGTTGGTAAAAAGTATAAATTATTCTTTTGATAAGAAGTATTTTTCTTCAATATCACTGCTGTCATGGCTGTCATATGTGTTAGTATTTCACACATGTAAACATTCGATTAATCAACACTCGATAAGATTGCCAACCATAAAAAAAACGCGCCTTTGTTTAAAAAATAATTTAAAAAATATTTTTTAATTAGATTAAATAATAAAAATTAAAATAATTAAAACAGAATTTAAGTGTAATTTATATTTTTTAAATAAAGTGTAGTATTTAAAATGAAAAAATGTTTTTTATAAGATGACATCATTGTTGCGTGATTGGCGGCCATGGTTCATGATGTCATCATCGCTACAACGCTTACTTCACACGTATTAGTCAGTGTTTGTTGCATTCAGTGTTTGCGAGGTTGTGTTTTTAATAATAATTAATTGTGTTAACATTTTACATGTTACTGCAGAGGATAACAGCAGGTAAATAAACATTCAATGAATGGAGATTTCAATTTTATAAACGTTTAAATAAAGTTTTTGTTTATTATTTAAAAATAAGGGGAAAAAAACACTTGAAAGAGCGGCAATAATGCCACTCCCTGTCCCCTCCCTATTGTCATCACACTTATGGAATTTCTGACTAATATGTTAATTTATTTTTTAATTTCATTAAACTTGTTAAAAAAAGTTCCTAATATAAATTAGAATATTATTTTCTTTTTGTATTAAACACCATTGCGTTTTTTAAAATTCTTTTCATAACCTATATTTACCTTTTGTATCTCGTAATTTATTTATCAATTATAATTTTAATTCCTTTGTAGTGTTCAGGGAAGTACAATGAAGCGCTTCCAATTTGTGATCATATTTCTGATCACATTATTAACAACTATAAGTGCCCAAAGTAATTATTATGATGAGCTTGAATATCAATGCCCGCAGCATTGGATCAGATTTCAAGAATCATGTTATCGTTTTATAAAGAGTCCAATAAGAGTAAGGGATGATGCGAGAAAAAATTGTCAAGCCTATCAAAGTGATTTAGTGGCAATTAATTCATTGGATGAACATGGATTTTTATTGCACAATTTACAGAGGAATGATCCTCAACATCGTAAATGGTACACTGGTGTGAGATTTCAAGGTGGTTATTGGACAAATGAACCTGATAATTCACAATTGATTAATATGGAAAATGCTTTTTTACCTGAACCACACGATGCGGTTTATGGTAGGGATTATCTTGTTTATGCCTTCAGTAATGGATTAAAACGTTGGGGATTTGAGAAAGTCACTGGATTCGATGAATTACTTTATATTTGTGAATCACCAATATCAGTACTTCATAATTTAGTGGAAGATGATCGTACATATCAGTACGGTATTTATATCGATAATCCACTGAAAATACCAAGAGGACCGTATTTTATTAAACAGCCAGTGAATACAGTTTTTGATTTTTCAAAAGAGAAAATTAATAACGATATTTCATTGAGTTGTTTGGCTGGTGGATATCCTGCTCCAAGTTACGAATGGTTTAAAGAACATTACGATAATGATAGACTAGTTTCTGATAAAATTGATCCATTATCAAATGGTCGCTACACTGTCAGTGGTGGTTTATTGATTATTTTCAGTCCAAATCAGGTAAAATTATTTTTTTTTTTTCATATTTAGAAATTATTAATTTTGTAATAACGTAATTTTTTTTCCAGACTTGGGATCGTGGTTCATATCATTGTCGAGCGACGAATGAATTTGGTTCGATTCGCTCAGAGAGTGTTGAACTTTCCTTTGGCTATATAATGGAATTTAATTTAAAGCGACCAGATGAACGTGGCGATCAACATTGGGGAAAAGCTGTTTATTGTGATCCACCACAACATTTTCCCGATGTCAAATATTATTGGGCTCGTGATTATTTTCCAAATTTTGTCGATGAAGATCAACGTGTTTTTGTATCGAACGATGGAGCACTTTATTTTTCAGCTCTCGAACAAATAGATCATGGAAAATATTCTTGTAATGTTCAAAGTACAGCATCTGATAATGGACGAAATGGTCCATTCTTTCCATTGAAAGTCGATTCTCATGGTAAGCGAAATGATAAAATGGAAGATTAATTTAAGATTCTTTTTTAACATGAAAATATTTTTTTTCAGCCACCTTTCAAGAATTAAAATTCCCGAATAGTTTTCCAAAAGTTTTTCCCGATGCACCAACAGCTGGCGAGGAAGTTAGATTTGAATGTGTTGCATTCGGATAGTGAGTATTTTTAAATATTTCTTTTTTTGAATAACAATGTAATGTTATTTATTTTGTAGTCCAGTGCCTTCTTATAATTGGACAAGGAGAAATGGCGATATACCAAGAACGGCGAGATGGTCGCATTATAATCGTGTTTTGATAATACCACACGTGAGCGTTGAAGATCAGGGAGAATATGTTTGTCGTGCAACAAATGGACGTTTATCGATACATCATTCGGTGATGTTGTCAATTCAAGCGGCGCCAAATTTTACAATACCACTCACTGATAAGCATGTAGATTTTCAAGGTGATTTAACATGGACGTGTGAAGCTTTTGGAATTCCTGATGTCGCTTACAAATGGTATAGAAATGGTGAGGTATTGAATGAATATACTTTACCACTTGAGGATAGAGAACGCTATTCGTTTCGTGATAATGTTTTGAAAATAACACGAGTTGATCCTGAACGAGATCAAGCTATGTATCAATGCGCTGCGACAAATCAATTGAAGACAAAATATTCCTCTGCACAGTTACGAGTTCTTTGTGAGTAAATTCAATTTTAATCTTATTAATAATAACTTTCTTTTTTAATTTTGCTTTATTATAGCTTTAAAACCGTCGTTTAAAAAATTGCCAATGGAATCGGAGACTTATTCATCGGAGGGTGGAAACGTGACGATTGTTTGTAATCCCGAAGCAGCGCCACGACCATCGTTTGTTTGGAAGAAAGATGGAAATGTCATTGGACCTGGAGGAAGGCGGAGAATTTTACAAAATGGAAATTTGATAATTAGTCCAGTTTCACGTGACGATGAAGGAATGTATATTTGTATTGCGTCGAATCAATATGGAAGTGACGAAACTCGAGGACGATTAATTGTCTTACGTATGTTGGAATTTATTTATTTTTTTATTGGTTTTGGAGATTTGTTTTATTTTATTTTATTTATTTTTCAGGTGGGCCGAGATTTATAAAAATGTTACCACCGCGTTTAGTGACAGCCGTTGGATGGAATAATACTCTACATTGTCGTGCCGATATTGATGAAATGTTGGATGTGGCTTATATTTGGATGCACAATCAAATGCGAATTAGAGATAAAGATTTAATGAGTAATCCACATATTGTAATTGAAGGAGGAGTTTTGGATATTATTAATGCAACGATGGCTGAAGCTGGTGAATACCAGTGTATTGTAAAGAGTGCAGTAAGCCGAATTTCGAGTAGAACGATCGTTTTTGTTGAAGGTCCACCTGGACCACCTGGTGGTGTACAAGTTGTGAATATTGTAAAATCTTCGGTTTCACTTCGTTGGACTGATGGAGCTTTCAATGGAAAGGAAATTTTAATGTATACCGTTAGCGCAAGGACGAATTATAATCAAACATGGTTCAATATAAGCGAAAGTGAGTGATTATTATTAACTTTTAAGAAAATTTCTCTATTAATTTAATTTTCCTTTTAGATATTCGAGCCAGTATCGCTGATAGACACAATGGACGTAAAGAAGCATTCCTCGAAAATGTGTTAAATCCTTTTACGACTTATGAATTTCGTGTGGCGGCTTACAATGAACTTGGTTATGGTCCTCCGTCGGCACCAACTCCACAGCACAGTACATCAGCTGATAAACCATTAAAAGTGCCCAGTTACGTTGGTGGAGGTGGAGGAAAAATTGGCGAGCTCACCATCAAATGGGAGCCATTACCAGCCGCCGATCAAAATGGACCGGGAATTTATTATAAAATCTTTTGGCGTCGTAAGAATCATGACACTGAATTTCAATCAAATGATCTTCGTGAATTTGGTAATATTGGAATATTTGTCGCTTCAATTCCATCGCAATTCTTCTACACTGAATATGAAGTTAAAATACAATCATTCAATGAAATTGGCGCTGGTCCAATATCTGAGCCAGTTACGATATTCAGCGCTGAAGATATGCCACAAGTTGCACCGCAACAAGTGTTTGCTGTTGGTTATAATAGTACTGCTCTCAATGTTAGTTGGTCGCCAATTGAACAGACACGCGAAAGAATTCGCGGTAAATTAATTGGACATAGAATTAAATATTGGCTTGAATTAAAACCCGAGGAGACGGCAACTTATTATTTGTCACGTACAACAAGACCATGGTCATTGGTTGTTGGTCTTAAGCCGGATACACGTTATTTTGTTAAAGTAATGGCTTATAATTCAGCTGGTGAAGGACCGGAGAGTGAACGATTTTTGGAAAGAACATGGAGACGTGCACCACAAAAACCACCATCGGCTGTTCATGTTACCGATGTTAATCCATCGACTGTACGTGTTACTTGGCGTTATGTTCAACCAGGTCCCGATGAAGAGCCATTGATTGGATATAAAGTTCGAGTTTGGGAAGTTGATCAAGATATGAGTAGAGCAAATGATACAATTATTTTAACGGGCAATGATCTCGAGGCACGAATTACAAATTTAAATCCTGGCAAAACTTATCATTTGCGAGTTTTGGGTTACAGTTTGGGAGGCGATGGTCGTATGTCAAGTCCCGCACATACTTTCCAAATGGGTGATAAGGAATTATTTAGAAGTAGTGCAGCTAAAAAAATGCTCGACAGTGCATTGATATTAGCTCTCATATTTCTAATAACTTCGTTTCAATTTCGGTAAGTTTTTTTTTTTTAGTTTCGTGCAATTATTTGCGATAGAACAAAAAATTTAATTTTTGAATATTTTTATTCATAAAAACTAAATACCAAGGAAAATTGGTATTTTTAATGAAACCTTTTTTTTATTCCACTGGCGAATTTTTGAAATATCAAATTTTATTCATGGATTTTTAAATTCACAATTTGTGTATTATGAACATTTAATATTTTGTAAATATTCAATTTTATTTTAGAGAAGACAATTTTTAAACAAGTATAAAGTTTTGAAATGGGATTATTTTCTTCCATATTCTACAATAATTATTTTCAGATAAATGAATTATGATTTCATCACACTTTGTGTTCATGAAAATGTTTGTATTAAAATAATCCGCTCTATTGAGATTTTTTTTATCAAGAGTTCAAAGATTTGTACAATGTGAAAAAAAGGAATTTTTAATTGCTATTGTTCGATCGCATTAAATTCTTATCAAAGTGTATTTTTAATAACAGAAGAGAAGAATTTTCTATATATAGAAATTTGAATGCAATGGAAAAAAAGAAGGGTACAAATATGAAATTTTGGCTTTAAGCGAAATGTAATAGACAATAGATATTTTCTACTAATTTTAGATGATAATTCACGAATCTCATTTATAGAATCTATTTTAATGAATTTTTCTAATTAGTAATTTACTTTTATTTGTGATTCTTGGAAAATGCACAATTTTACATGACATAAAAAATTTTCTCATTCATATATATATAATATATAAAAATATAAATTAAATTTTATTTACAAAATTTTAATATTATTAATTACAGACTATTTGCTAATTTGTAATTATTTATCTGACACATCTACGAAAATGCAATTTTTATCGAATCTTTTTTTTTTTAAATGATGTGTCATATAATATAGAAAAGCGCGCTTAGTATAAGTTTTATTCTTTATCTATGAGCTAAAGTTTAAAACATCATTATGTACAATAGAACAAATTTCCGTCCAAGTGTGCCCAGATTAAACACATAGTTTTTTTTCAATAAAATCAAAAGTAAAAAAATGTCAATCAGGTAAAAAGTAAGATGCTGTAAATTTTCGATTTTTAAAAATGTAATATTATAATTGTAATCAATTATTTTAAAAAATTAAAAATTCTCAATTAATATGTATTTTAATTTATATTTTAATAGGAGAGTTTCTTCTTTGCCTGAATTGTCAATTTAATTAATATTCTTTTAAATTCATGCACAAAAGTAAAGTTAAGTACTTAAGTACTTTCATTGTTATCTGGGTACTTGTTATATATAGATATATGTATGTATTAAGCAACAAGCAGAGAATTCGTATATAAATAAGATTTATATATACTATATACATTTGTGAAATTATACAAGATTTTTTTTTTAATTTTACATCGAACTTTTTTACAAAGGACCAATATTACTTTGTATATTAAGTTATATTTTCTTTTTGTACTATTCTACTTTCAGAATCTTAAAAAGTGAAGAAAATAAATTTTTTTACGATAAAAATGTATTTTTATTTACAGACCTTAGCGATAAAAAATTTCATTTTTATAATAAAGATTTTAAAGACAAATTTTTTAATAAAAAGAAAATTTCTTATGGTGGTTTTAAAAAAATAATTGTTAAAAAATGAATATTTCAAATAAAATTCTACAATTTATTTTTGGAGAGAATAAAGAACTAATTATCGTTAATTAATTATCATTTATTTGATTACACCCATAGATTACATTCAAGTAAGTCCTACACATTAACAAAGGTACACTCATGTACGAACTTTAGTAATTATTTGCAGTTCATAAAACTTTGATGAAATTAAAAATAACTTAAAGAATATCAGTACTTAAGATATATAATTAATTAATAATTTAATAATTATAAAAAGTAATATGAGAAAGTTGAAACCTAAATTGTACATATGTATAATTTAATAATTATACTCATATAATTAATTACTTGTATATTTTGCAAATAATAAATAATATAAAAAATTGGTTTTTTATGATATAAGAAAAGAGAGAAAAACAGGTATTACGTATAAATATCTGTTTTTTTAATCTTGTATTGTTTTTGTTAATTATAATAATATAGTAAGCGCCGTTTAAATTGGAATTAAATTTTTTTGGCACGCGCTAAATTATTTAAATTACGTGTCGTATGTAAATTGCATTTAAATGACATACTGTCTTTTATAATGATAATAGTTTTGATATGCTAGTTTTTTTCAGGAAGACTTGGATATTTTTCTATAATAACTTTACGCGTGAGCTCTTTACAGATGAGAAATTACTGCATTATAGATTTTTTTCAACTTTTTTTTTCATTGAATATATATATTTTGCGACTCATTTTAAAGCCATTTAGTTTTTTTTTTTTTTATAATGTGTAATCTTAACAATTATTATTTTTCAGCTTATGATGCTTCTTGATAACACAAGATAGGTGTTGCTGTCTGAAATCTTGTAAAACGATCGCTAAAAATAGTGATTGACATGAATTCGTGAACATTAACACAGTTAGTGACTAATATATCAATAACTATAGAATGTTTTTTTAACAGACTTTTTTTTGGCGAAATGAGAGTCATTAATTTTGACTCAACATTCATTGAATTATTTTTCATAATGTGATTTAATGAAATGAAAAATTTTAATTTTTAAATTTAATTCACCGAAAAAAAGAAAAGAACTAAAAAATTAACAGTACAGAATTATTTCTAATAATTGTAATTTCTTTTTAAAAGATTTTAAAATAAATTAGATAAATTGATAAGTTTTTTTAAATCCAAATTAGTAAGCAAAAAAATAATTAAAAATTAGATTATTGTTTTAAATTAAAAAAGTTGCAAAAAAAATTTTTTCCTCGAATGAAAAAACTTCATTGAAAATTAGATATAATTAAGGAAACATTTTTTTAATGCAGTTTTCCTGTTGAGAAATGGAAAACAAATATTTAAAAAAATTCTCACTTTAATGAATGTGTCGCCATTAATTGCTATATATAAATACAGATTTTAATTTGTGCACCTGATGACTTCGTTTTTATGAAAACGAATTGAGTCATCAAAATGGTATTTATAACGCTGTTTTCAATATTCTCGATATAAGTGTACCGTGTCGAATAAAATAATTAATAGTGTAATTATTAAATATTTAATGGCTTATAAGTATTTTAATATTTAATAATTATTTTGTATATTAATAATTATTAATAATTTAGCAAAATTAATAATGATTAATTAATATATTAATAGCTATAAAATATTATCATTTTCGAATAATGCATTAAATATTTAATAATTAGTATTATTAATAATTTATGTGAATTATGTTGTGAATATAGTTGACCCCGCTTAAATAATATTTATATATAGACTAACATTAATTGGAGCGCTTCTCCAAAAAAAGTTTATAATATTATCGATTTATCGATATGTTGTCCAAACTCTCTTATATAAGCAACACACTTTAATCAATGTTTCTTTCAGGTAACACTTTTTTTTTCTTTTTTTTTTTAATAGTTTTTGTTAAATGTTGTAAAATGCCCAGTGGTCCCCCTCCAGAGTCACTGCGCATAATATATATATTTTTCTTAATTTCTATTTCATAAATAGATTTGACTACTTTTCTATTAAATTTTTTTTTAATATATACTATATATAATTGCAGTTCTATAATCGAAAATTCGATAACGACGAAGTCACAATGATTAACAGATCATTGGAAAGAAAATTTTCATTTTTCTAAGATCTTAATACGATTAATGATCTTATAATTATAGTTTTGGTTAATTGCTGTTTTGAACACCTTTCGAACTAGTGTACAATAACACACTGCTTTTTTTCTAAGGCTAATAAGTATTCGCGTCAGACATTTTAATATGACAATTTTTTAAATTAATTTTATTGCTAAAATTCACTGAAAGTTTTAATTGTAAATTAAATTTAATTTAGTCAAAAAAATTTAAATACATATATATTAAATATCCTACGAGGGAAACAATATTAATTTATATTTTAAACAAATATTTTCAAATTAATATTTAATTTAATTAATAAATACAATTTTTCAATGATAGTTTTAATAATAATTAATTTAAAAAATTGTTCTCAAAACGTCTTTTCAAGAATCTTTTCTTTTATGAATGCAGAGAATATAGGCATATTTACTTAGACCAATTTTTTTAGACTATTTATATAAATAGTCTTTGATTGACAATATCAAAGGCGGTCTTTAAACATTAAAAAAAAATTAATTAAATTTTGTAGTTTCTTCAAATATTTTTCCATTGAAAATATATTTTTCATTTTGAAAAATAATTTTCAATGAAAATTATATTTTATATTTATTTTTTTATAGGTGAAAAGAAATTTTTCTTTTTAACTATAGTATTGAAGATAAATTTTTAGCCCCCCCCTCCCCACCTTTTCCATGGTGCTAAATTTACGATTTATATAATATTTTCTTTTTGTGCGTCTGCTTTGTGTTGCGCAGCGGTTACTAGAATGATTGTTTATAATTTTCATATAGAATTATAAGAATAATATTACGAAGAAATTTCTAACACATGTATATATGTATATAATTATATTACATCTTTGGAAGAACTGTACACTCGGCACTATTTTTTTAGTCCGTAGCGTAAAAGCACCGACAAAAAAAATTCCTAAAGTTCATTTTCAAATTTTAAATCAATTAAAAGTTTTTTTTCCTCTTCTCAATCAAATGATTTTATGGTAAAAATTGTAAGAAAATTTTTTTGTTTAAAGTTTCTTTTATCAATAAAAAGTATTACAAACTTACAAAAAAATAAATAAAAATTTTTAAAATTCAGTATCAAGAAAAAAATCTAAAATACGATAACATGTTTTCCATATAATTATTTTATCAAAATGAGATTTATCAATAAAAACTAAATGATTTTGTTTGTCGGTGATGGGGATCGGAAATATCTTAAGATTACGTAAAATTATTGTCAATATATATCAGTTATACACAAAAGTGAAGATTTAAAAGTTACCATCGTTGCTCGAACATCGATTTGTGAACGTGTCAAAAGTCTTTTTTTTCTATATTTGCTTGCATTTCTGTCGCTATATATAGAAAAAAAATTATCTTCTCGGATAATTTTTTTCAGCACTATTTATTTTAAAAATTATATATTATTTACTCATCATAAAATTTCATTTTTTTTCCACATTTTGTATACGTAAAGTGGTCAATATTCGATATGGTCGACTCGAATTTTTATCGAACAAGAAAGATTGCGTTTGTATTATTATTTTCTATTTTCTTTTGTTCACTATAAAGAGTTTCTCATCTATATTTTCTTTCTTTATTTTTTTTTTTTAATAATACATAATACTGATTTCTTTGATACGTAATACTGAATTGATTAGCATCAAATACTCCCGTAAAATATATCTCAATTTATGATGTCCGTTGTTTTCTCTTTTTTTTTTTTTGTTCAAACGGATTTTTGTTAAAAAAGAAATCAAAAAATTTGTATATTTGTTTTCTATAAAATTTGTTTCGTGAAATTTAATTCTGTTAAAATTTTTCCCATTTTGAAAAGTCAATTTAACTTTTCTTCAAATATTCATTTGTAATATTCTTGAAAATCTACGAATTTTCATATATATATTTAGGAATTCTTTAAACGACAACAGTATATATATATATATATATATATATATATATATATATATAGTATCAGTAAATTCTACGATTGGAAGACTTTAGAAGCAAATTAATAAAAAATTTGAAATATAAACATTACACGTACACTGTAAAAAGCTTATACAAATTCTACAAAAGTAGAATAAATGTTTTTTTTTTTTTTGGTGTTTTCACAATTGATAAATATGTTTTTTTTTCAAAATTTTTTTCTTTTATGTGATAACTGAATGTTTGGTTGTTTTTATGTAAAAACATGAATTTCATGTTTAAAATGTTTTCGTGTGTTTTTTTTTTCATTTTTGAAAAATGATTTTTTTTAACAGTGTACGTTTCTGAACAGTGAATACATTATGATGTTAAAACATCATTTTTAATGTATTCACATGGCGTTCGACTTTAAATGTCGACGTATATTAATATATGCAACAGGCAGCAAATATATATCGTTATAATCGTTATATATTATCGTTTTCCGTGCGAAATTCCGGCCGGCGGTTCGCAGTCACCTTTTAAATATATATGGAACTTTTTAATGGTGACACACCTGACCATTAAGTCACGACCTTAATGACCTGATAAATAATTATTATTATTTTTTTTTTCATTTCATTTGATATGCTTTAAATGCGCTTACAAAGGAGTCAATTCCACAGGAGCCTGACCCATTCTCGTCCTTAAAGTTGCTACATCATCTTCTATTCGAACAAGCAGCCTTAATTTCTATAAAATTGGAAGATTTTAATTTTTCAAGATATATAATTAATAAACTAAATAAATAGATAATAATAACTGATAATTAAAAATGAAGCTGATAACTTTTGGAAATTTTAGTAAAAAATGTGAGTAATTCGAGGGTAAAAAATTTTTAAAAAAAGAACATGCAAAGTTATCTGTAACAATTTGTTTTCCCTGGGAAAAAAAATTTTTCTCATTATTTTTGTTGATGGGAGATAAAAATGAGTAATTTTGTTGTCTAAACAGAAAAAAAATGCTTACTGTTCGTGTATCTCCAGGGGTTGTTAGCCATGAATATAACATGTAACCTGGTATGCAAAGCATCGAGGACAATGCTGTGAACCAACCGAAACAATGCGACCACCATGGATATTCATAATCAAGATATTTTATTGGTTTCCATTGAACTAGATTAAAGATGAACACACCCTATAAAATTAATCATCGCATTTTAAAAATCAATACCATTTCGTTAAATAATTTGCTAGTCTTTTCAATAAATTTTTATTTATTTAGTTTATTTATTATACCTGAAAAAATTTAAAAATCAGAAACGAGAGATATAATTCACAGTCGACTAAACAATGCGTTTTTATGAATGTTTTTTTTTTTTGTAAAAAGCTGAATACTCGAGTTGGAAGCTTGTGTAATAAATTTTATCCGATCCGATACCCAGAGGTAAAAAAAAAGGAAATGCGGGTCGTATTTATTTCAATCGATTGATTCATCTCTTTTTTACCCGGTACTAATGGTTTCATTAAACGATTGTCCGAAAAAAAATTTTATTTCCAATTCCCATTGCGAGGGAAATGTGTTCGTTGCTTTAAAATTTTTTCGTTTTGTTCAATTCGAATTTTCATTGTTTTTATTTAATAAAAAAAATTATCTATTTGAGAAAAATAAATGTAATAATTTATATTTTTAATTAATTACTATAATTTGATAAAAATTTGAGATTTTAATTAATTAGAGAAAAAAAAATCAATAACAGATGATGTACTTACAATGCAAATAAGTGGTGTAGTCACTGTCCAACAGAATTTCCACCAAATGAGAGGATAATATCCAATCATATCACGCAAGCCTTCGTAAAATCGATTAACGCCAAAGGCCCAACTAATGGCGATGCACTCGAAAAAGATGAGGAATAATAAACAAAAACCAGATACCGCATATGAGTCCAATATTTGAAAGACATACATTCCACCCTGTGAGATGCAGGAGAGACCAACCACATACGACATAATACACACCAGTGCTATAAATATTTCTTTTCGTGGTCGAAGAAGTTTGGGCCATTCATCAACCTATAAAAGAAAAAAAAATTATTTTTCAATTTTCTTGTTTTACATACATCGTATATAGCGATGCAATTAAATGACAAGGAAAATTTATCTATTTTTCCACTATATCACGCAAAATGCGCACACACAATGGACCATAAAAATTCTCAATTACATATAAAATCAGATGTAAAAAAAAAATATTACGATCCTGAGATTTAAATTGGAAACAGTTACTTTTATGTGATGGAAACTGAATTACATTTTTATATATATTTTCTATGTATATATTATCCGAATTCTTAACATTCTTTATTAAATTTAGATTTTTTAAATTACAGGAAAGTTGAATGAAGTAACTTTTATTTAATCAGTAAATTAAGAAATCATTTGAATTTAGCACAGTATGAATAAGTGAATTTTTATTAAATTGTCAGTAAATTTTCGCTGATTCATATTTTTAACTCAGATTTACTGATTCGCCACAAACCACACGATGAATCATAATTATTAATGTATTATCATCATAAATCATCCTCATCCTTATCATAATCATTATATCATCATTAGTCATCAGTATTTATTATTTTCAATTAAAAATAAATCAATTTTTAAATCAATTTTTTAAAAAATAGTTTTTCAAAATAGTTTTAAAAATGGTTTAAAAAATAGTTTGAAAAAAAAATGTTGCTATACGTGGGAGAAAAATGAGAAAAAAAAATATAGAGGAAAATAAATAGATATTCTCACCATAGCAGTGATAAATCCCTCCATGGTACAAAATTGTGAATCAAGTCCTATCAGTAGAAGCATAAAGAAAAATAAACACGACCATAGTGGCGCCCATGGAAGTTGGAGTACAGCGGAAGGATAGGCGAGAAAGGCCAATCCTGGACCGGATGCTGCCACCTCGGCAACTGGTCTTCCTTGTTCATGTGCCATAAAACCAACAACGGAGAAAATAACAAAGCCAGCGAACATACTCGTTGACGAGTTCACTGCACACACGATAAGAGCGTCTTTGTATACATTGTTGTTGAATTTGTTATAACTACCCAAGGCCACAAGGGTCCCCAGTCCAAGACCATAGGAAAAGAATATCTGGGTTACAGCATCTATCCATACCTGTAAAATACACATAATTTTTTTTTTCTGTACAAACAATTTTCTTTGTTATAAAAGAAAAAAAAATAAAAATGTGAATAAAAAAATAAAAAATATAAACTATTATCATAAAAGATTTCTTTAGGCGATTAAAGATTCTTAATTGTCTATGATCGATAAGAAAAAAGGGGATCTTTCAAGGGGAGAATAATTGAGTTTAATCCCTTATAGTTTTCGATTAAGATTGACCCTCCCCTTGTGTGTATAAAGTGAGCAATTCTCCTCAATATAATGAGATTTAGGATTTTCATTATAGAGACAAAAGATGAAGAAATTCATCCAAGTCATTATTCCAATAATGATAATGCAATTATCAAACCCTCTTAACTAATAATAGTAAATTTTTAAGAAAAATATTTCTAAAAATCTTTTTCATTCAAAATAATTTTATTTTTTCAACAATTTTGGAGTAAAAAAAAAAATTTGTTTTAATGTTTGGAGAAATAAAAAAAAAGTAATTTTTACCCCAGATTCCGTTAGTTTGGATAGATTAGGCATTACGTAGAATTTAATGCCATCAGCAGCACCGGGAAGAGTAACACCACGGATCAGTAAAACCGTGAGAAGTACATAAGGAAATAGGGCTGTGAAATAAACAACTTTCCCAGTCCACTTGACTCCTTTCCAGATGCAAAAGTAGCACATAACCCATACCAAAAAAAGAGTTACAGCCAATTCCCATCTGACATTACCAATATGTTCCACACCATCAGAAATTTGAAGAGCCCTTCGTCTAAAAAAAAATTTCAAAAAAAAGACGTTATTTTATATATTCAAAGAAATATTCTATATTGGTGCATTAAAACAAATACAGATGGTAGGACATTTTTTTTTAAGGGGAAACTATTTTAAATATTTAAAGGAAAATAAATTTTCTTTTTAATCTTTCATTAATGGAAAAAAATTCTTAAGAATAAATAAAATATAAATATAACAAGAAAATCAATATATAAAGAGAAAAAAAAAAGATTCTAAAAATTGTAATTGAAAAATATAAATAATACAAACTCCCAAAATTCTTTAACGGGATCCGCAAGTTCCGGCCATGTAACGTTGACTTGATTAAGGGTGCACATTTTGTATAAAGTACCATTCCTGGCAGTCGTATTCCAGCATGGTAAACTTTTCCTCAAATATGGACTAATACAATATTTTGTATTCCACCAGTTGTCGCAGGTGCCCCAGGGTAATTCTGCGGTGCAAAAGAGCAATGATGAAATGTTAGAGAACATTGATTATCGAGTGCCATCGGTTTTCGAGGATTCCCAGCATTTCTATGTCGTGAGAGAGAGAGAGAGAGATTGAGGGAGAGAGAGAGAACTAGTAATCAAGGCTTAGGGGAAGGAAAAGCCTTGATTAGGCTGCCTGTCAAAATCTAGGACATTATCCATATAAGAATAATTCCATTTTACTCTTTCAATATATATCAGAAAATTATTTTTAAAATTGATTCTATTTTGATTCAATTTACCCATGTTCTAAAAATTTGTTCCTTTCAGAACTTAAAATAAAAATCTCTCTCTCTCTCTCTAATTAAAATAAAAATTTCTTTATAAAAATGATGGATCTTCGAAAACTGATTTAATTATTTATAATAGTAAAAAATAGAATTTTTTTTTTTAATATTAAATGAAAAAAAAATATTTTTATTAAATGAAAAAAAAAATTTTTTGTACTAACCACTGCGCATGGACATGAAAAAATAAAATATCGCCCATGCGAGGATAACGATGTAATAAACATTCATCCAACATGACATGACAGCTGCCGCATATCCAATGCCTTTAAATAATGGCGCTATTTTAAAGACACCAAGTCCTCCAATTGTTAACATTTGTCCTAATGCCAATTCCATGAAAAACATTGGAATTCCAGCAAGTATAAGTGTTAGGAAATAGGGAATGAGAAAAGCGCCTCCTCCATTTTTGTAGCACAAATATGGAAACCGCCACACATTTCCCAGACCGATGGCGAGACCGACCTATATATATATATATATGCAAAAATAAAAAAAAAAGTACAATTAAAATTCCAACTTTAATTTCATTATTATAATACTCGTATCTCAATCCTGTGGGCATTCATGTGTATTACCACAAAAACCAGAGGAACAATTATTATTAACTATTCGTACAAGTTAAAAAAAATCATTTTTTTAAAGAAAATAAATTTTGTTGATTGAAAAAAAAATTATTTATTATTTTATTATTAATTATATAATTTTTTGAATCACAATATAAAAGAAGGGAGAAAAAATTGTTTTAATAAAAAAAATTAATATTTTAATTACACAAAATTATGAAAAAAAAAAAAAATTCTTTTAAAAAATAAAAATTATTGTATATAATAATTATTAGATTAGCTGTCCGTGTATTTAAGTAGAATAGACACATTTTGGTAAGACATTGCGGAATTTCTCCTTTGCATCAGCGCTATGCCTTTATACTACTTATTAAGTAGAAAATGCAAGTTATGGCGAGACTTTAGCAAAATTTTTATCATTTCCTTTATTTAATTATTTATAATAATTTTATTGGCAATTTTTTTAATATAATTTAATTTTATAATTTAACAGTAAATTTTTTATATATATTTGACAATTCTTTAATTTTCAATGATTTATTTATTTTAAAAAAATTTGTAATAAATAAAATTTTAATTGGAGGAAAAAATAATTTTTTTATAATATTTATTTGAACCAATTAAAGAGATTTATTTAGCTGTTCTGAGACAAATAAAAAATTTTCTCTCTTTGAAATAAAAAAAAAGTTTGTTATATTTTGAAAAATCGAGCAAAAAAAAAAAAAAAAAAAAAAAATAAGAGAGAAAATAAAAAAAACAAATCCCAATTCTACATAAAATCTCTATTTAATTTAAAAATGTTTGTGAATTTAAGCCCTTGCATGTTACACTTTTTATATTGGAAAAGAAATTCCTTACAAAAAAAAAAAAAAAAAACAGAGGATTAAAAAAAATAGTTTAAAATTGTTTACCACACTGAGGATAAAATCGAGTTTTGTACTCCATGTGTCCCTCTCTGGAAGCTGCTTAGTTTTTGAGGTTGATGGACATGTTACATTTAGGGATGTTTTGGCTGCATCGGTATTATCCGAATCGGCCAATTCTGGATCCCTCGAGGTTTCTGTCATCTTTTGAATTGCGGCTGATGTCCGCTTATTTTTCTACACCGCACTTTTTATTCGCTATCTCTTCGTCCTAAATGACTCCAAGCCAATGTCCTTCAACCAGGAAGCTGTTGTCGAGACATAACAGCGAATCTAAAAAATTCAAATATAATAATTTTTATTTGGCTTTTGAGAAAAATAAAATTTATATATTAAAACGCATAAAATTGATTTGAATCAAATATAAAAATATATATTTGTTACTGAGCCTATAATAATTTTTAAAATAAAAAAATTTTATTTTGCATAAATAAAATTTTATTTAACCACAGAAAATTTTTATTAAAATCAAATAAAATTTATTTTTAATTAATATTTATTTGGCTCTGAGACAAATATATATGAATAAAAAATATTTCTCAAGAGAATAAAATCGCACGCATGTAAATTATATATATATATATATATATATATAAACTTGTTTTTATTTGATTATAATATATTTTATGAATTTATTCTCTCTAGTGCACTTGTCTCTGAATGCAGAGAGCAATATTCGCCTGTCTATAGTGTTCCCTTTCTCTGTCTCTCTTGTTACCGCCTCTGTCATTATCAGAAGAGCCATTAGTTTGTAAACTGTATTGCGTATTCATGCAACCCCACCAGCTGTTTTGGATGTGCGAAATTTGCCTCCAACATTGTGTAACAGCAGTTCATTACTAAATCAAAATAACTTAAAAGTACACATAAACGCAAATCCCATTAAATTAATTTTCATTTATTATATATGTTTGACATGATATTTAATTAAATTCATTGATGTAAAATCTTCGCCAATTTAAATTGCTAAACTTTACATCCAAAGAAAAAATATATTTGTCATCAGGAGAAAAATATTTCATTCAAAATAAATTTTATTTGAATTAAATAAAAATTTTATTTACGCTGAATAAAATTTTATTTGAAACAAATTTTTCTTTTTTTTTTATTTAAAACAAATAAAAAGTTATTGCTGCTCTGAAACAAATATATATTTTTATTTCCTTCAAATAAATTTTATTTTCAAATAAAATTATATTTCAAATAAACTCTAATAAAATATTTCTCCGGGTGTAAAAATCAATAGAATTTATTTTTTCAATCGGAAAATATCTTTTAACTGTTAAATAAATAGATAAAAAAAAATCATTTAACTGGCTCAAATAATAATTATATTGGACGCGAATAAATATTTATTTGATACCAATAATAATTATTAAATAATTATTTAAAAATTATTTAAAAATTATTTAAAAATTATTTAAAAATTATTTATTTATAATAATTATTTTTTCAATAAAATTATTTATATACAAATTTGATAATATTGTAAAGTTTATTTAAATCAAATAAATTTACTTTTTTTTCAATTTGTATTACAGATTTCCGAATCAATAGGCAAATTATTACATTTCAGTATACTATATACAGTAAATGTTCAGAGGATATAAAACCCATCAAAAACTTTGTCCCCAGGAAACTTTTCACGCGAATTTTCAGTTGATATTTCCGCCAGAACTGTATATATATACCAATATTTTTTTCCTATACTCTTTCAAAACTTACTTAAATTGCTTTTATATACTTTCGCGAACTTTTCTTTTCATCTGCAATATTTTAAAAGAAAGAAACTATATATATATATACTATTTTAGAATATAAAATATACAAAAGAAAGAGAATTGTGAAAAATATATCACAACTTTAATTTTTCTTATAAAAAAGAGAAAAAAAATTTTTTTTTCTGTTCTACTTAAATATAAGACGAAATGTTAGGAGAATATTTTAAAAGATAATTTTATGTGCCATCAGTTTCAGACGTGTACTGAGAAAATAGACTTTCATCTCGATAGAGTGTTCTTTAGCTTTTAGCCAAACAGAAATTTTTTTTTTTTACGAGAATTTAGCCTGAATAATAAGTGTGTAAAATTTACATAAGAACAAGAGATTGTTTAAAAGACAAAATAGTGCATTTTTTTAATGCAAAAAAAGACTGAAAACTTTTAAGTTAAAGTTTTGCATATTTAAAATAATCACTGCAAAAAAAAAAAAAAAAAGAATGGTTTAAAACTTTTTTTAGTTCTTTAGTTCAGAAGTAAATTTAAAATAATTATTCACAAAAATAGAAACACAAAAAAAAAATACTTAATTTGAATTTATCTCAATTAAAAAAATTTCTCTATATTGAAACTGTTTTTATTATTTTTTAATAATGCGAAGAATACTTTTTTTTCATGTGGCCATGAACTCGGGAATTATTTGAATACTGATGATGGGGGTTCCGGATGTGGCACAATTTTTCAAAAATACCCCCACAGAACCGGAAGCTTGGGGCAATTTAAGCTCGGAGAAAAACTGCGGAAACCGATTACCCAATTGTTCCAGTTTCGCGAAAAGACAATGCTTTCCACTTTGCAAAGTGTCGAAATCGAAAATCGACCGTTCACACTATATGTATATAATATAAATATACATATATATTTCTCCTATGGGGACAAATATTCCATTAATTTCAATATAAGATACGATAATTAGATTTCTCACACACCATTATCGTTCTTTTGTTATAATTTCCATTCATAAATTCCAAAAACAATGAAAACTGTTTGAGTGCTTTTAAATTCATTGCATTTTCCACTCTCACTGTATATCTATATATCTGATCAGATTATACTCATCGAATATTGATTATTGGAATTCAATATAATATTCATGTTGAAATTGTCTATGCATATAATTAGTGTTGCATTCGAGTTTAGAAATGAAAAATAATCTATAAAAATATTATCGTTAGATCGCACACATTTTGACAGATATTCTTTTTTCAAAATATATTATTTTATAAATGTTGCAAATTTTTTAATTCATTTTTCTATTAATCATTTCCTTTTTGAATATATATCGAGTGTCAGAGAAAAATATTTTTTCCATTAATTTAATATTAGATTTCTTTCACAGTTCTTATCTTTGTATATATATATATATATATATATATATGGCCATTGTCAATATTGTGTCAACATCAGACGATTGATGGGAAAAGTTGATCTTAAAATTACTTATAATCCCTTTGAGATGCAAGAAATATATATGTATGTTCTTTGGGGTGGATATACTCAAAACTTTCCTAGATAAAAAACTTAATTGGAGAACTCGATTTTTAATAGCGCATGATTATCCCATAAAAATAATCATTTTAAAGAATTTTTTTAAAACGTTATTTCAATTTTCAAAATAGCAGAATTTTTTTTAAACGAAAAAAAATAATGTGGTTGGTAAAAAAAAAAATGATTTGATTCAAATAAATAAAGAAGTAACTGAATTAGAAATCAAAAACCGGGTAATTTTTTTTATTATATTATTTTTTTTACTATTTACTAATTTATTATTACTATTTTTTATTATTACCGAATTAATTTTGTCTTATTTCAAGAGAATTTAGAATTTTTAGAAACATTTTCATTCATCGAAAGAAATGTAACTTTTTTTTTTTTTTTTTGTTTAATAAAATGTCAAAATAAATTTTATTAAAAATAAAAAGATTTATCATTTGCATTTGTGTCAAAGCTACTTATTATTTTCAACATCATATATAAACGGGGTCACTTATATTGTCTCACAATGTGATAATTTAAATCACTTATGAAAATGTCGACTACTGTCTGGAAAGTTGTTTTTGCTATCTCTTTATATTATTATAAAAAAGAAAGATTACACACGAATATCAATTTTTGCGTTGGCAAAATTTTATCAGTTACATTTTTTTTTTCTTCAATTTTTATAAAAAAAAATTATTATTAAATAGTGAAATTTTATATAAATCCAAAAAAATTTTATAATAATTTTCGTTTTTATAAAGAATTAAAATATTCTAAATATATATATTTGCGTTATAATTAAGCGTTGAATCTATCGATTAAAAAAGTCCGAGTCCGGTCACTCAACGATCTTTAACGAGAAAATTACTCAGTCTTTTCCGTCCCGCCTTTTACTACTTACGATTCAATGGATTTCATTCTCGTAAAGCTTACGCACACGTGCATATTTAATGCACGCCTTTATAAAGCGAAAATTTGTTATAATAAAATCATATTATACCATTGTGTCTTTTTTTTTTAGGGGATATTTGGACTGACATTATTTGCAAATTGCACTTTTCAAAATAATTTCAATGAAAATTATTTTTATTAAATATTTTGGTAAATAAAATTATTTTTGTTCGGCTTTCTTCAAAAAAAAAAATTTATTTAATTCAAATAAATATTTACTGGATCCAAAGAAATTTTTATTTTTGAACCAAATAAACTGCAATAATTTTGAAACAAAATATGAGTCAAAAATTGAAAATTGATTTTCGTTTTTCAATTTAAAGAAAACATGGTTCTTTTCGCGAATTAACCCCCGTGTGAAAGGGGTGTAATCATACTCTTGTCGGCCTCTTTTCGCACTGTTGATTCTCCGGTGAACATATGTGCTTTTTGGAACACAGCCAACTCGATGTCAACGCGAAGGTATTCCGTCCGTTTTTTTTCTCACTCTCTTTTTTTTCTCTTTTTTTTTTAACATGCACACATAGGCGCACGTGACATTGTTGCGACGTTTCTCACTAGAGAGAAATTGTGATATTAAAAATTAAACACTGAAAATTAAAAAAAAAAAAAAAAAAAATTTTTTTTTGCTCCAGTTATGCTTGTCACTTTTTTTTCTAACAATTTCTTTTTTATACTAAAGAATAAAAAAAAGGAAATATAAGAATAATTTTTTCATATTATAAGAACTGAGAAAAACATACCGGAACTCAAAAAAGATCGAGAGAAATTAAGATTGACTGTTGGATTATTTTTAATTTATCGAGAGAGTTTAGAGAAAGAGATTATACTCTTCTCAATAGATAAATTGTCCCTGAAGGAAGTTGGTGATCATAAGAATTTTTTAATTTATAATTTTCTCTCTCTCAAAAAAAAAAAGAAGCACGTGGATAAAATTTTGTATATTAGAAAATTAGATATAAATATTAGTAAAATAAAAAATAAAATTTTTTAAACTCGAGAGTAGAGTTATAAAAAAGTAAATAAAGCTCTAGATTTATTTAATACACTGCGATATAATGTGAAAAATTAATATTGCCTAAAAGGCTTTTTTAGAGGAGGAAAAAAAAAAGTACTAAATGTTGGCTTTATTCAAAAAGAATCTCAATCTTAGCTAAAAAGTGAGTCGAGAGAGAGGCCAAGGAAACATTTCTTTCAATACGCTCGGCTGATTATCGGTTATCGCATATCCCGCAGAGAATTTCCAGCTTTCATCGGCAGATCTCGGCCAAACAAAAGCTATATGGCCCAAAGGAACGAAAATAAACAAAAAAAAAAAAAAATAGGAAAAAAGAACAAGTTTAAAAGTTAATTAATTTCCTCGTGAATGAAAAAAATAATGGAATATTTGAAATGGAAAAAAAAAATTGGGTAAATAGAAACTTTGTTGTTATCGAGAATATTAAACAAAATTGTTTCCCTTTACCATAGTTTTTTTATTATAACCAAAAAAAAAATTTAATTTTTCTCGTCGTAAATAATTTTTTAGAAGAATAAGATTTTTTTTTGCATTAAAAGCAAAAATTCGAGAAAATATGAAATTTGGAAAAAAATGAAATCAAATTCCAAATGAAATGAACTTTTATAATTACCAAATAAAATAATAAAAAGAGAATTTGGGAAAAAAAATATCAAATTTATAAAAAAAAAAAAATAATCAGAAGAAAATATAAATTATATTTAGATAGGAAATTGAATAAAGAAAAATTTTCAGAATCACAAAGAAAATCCGAAAGAAACAATATATATTGAAGTCAAGATTATATGAAAAGTCCATGTAAGGCAAAAATATGAAATCTCATATTCTATAGAAAATCCAATAGGAGTAATTTTTTCCGAAAGAGAAAAAAAAACGAAAAAACTTTTATATCTAAAATAAAGACCAGTCTACAGGGAAAATATTTATCCAAATAAATATCTAATCCAAGACTTTTTTTTTATTAAAAATTCTCCGAGTTTTTCTAAATTTATTTTTCCTGATTTGATTTTCAAATTAAATTTTTAAAACTAACAGTGCTAGGTGAAAAAAAAAATCAACAATTTCATCCAAAATTGATTCACAAGAAAATATTTCCCGCAAATAATAAATCGAGAAGAAATAATTTTCCAAATAAGAAAAAAAAATTTTCATGGAAAATATTTCCTTAAAAATAAAATATGATTTTGTCGACAATAAACCATCCTTGAATTGAACGAATATTTTAAATTTGAAAATATGAGAATATGAAAAAAAGAATTTTTTTTTTTTTTTTTGATCCAAAAAGGAAATTTTTATGTTCAGAGTGAAAATTTATCGGACACACATTGGAAGAAGAAGCGTTAAATATGCATGTCCGGCAGGGGGTCCGTGTAATAAAATATATATCACGATCATATACTCGTCTCTCCTACCCCCTCTTTTACCCCCTTCCTATCCACAAAACCATTGGGCTCCCTCTTCCTCTTCCACGCTCATAAAAAACAGCTATATTCTAATTAGCCGAGGATGTATTCGTTTTGCTACTATGGTCATCAACTACCTCTCATATACCATATATAGACAGTTTTTTTTATCGCCCTTTAATTACAAATTATCATAATTATTATATGTCCCATTCGATCATATAATATTTATATTGCAGTAGGTCATGTATATTTCAAACTGCTCCAATTACTTTAAATCTCCTGGTATTATCAAGATCAAATTGATAAATAATTCTGATCCTCCTCTTTCATATAATAATATCTTTTCGATCCACATTCAAATAATATCATTTTTTTTTTTTTTTTTTTTTTTTTATCAGAAAGAACGATTTTTTTACGAATTTACAAATTACGAATTTAGAAATTACAAATCAAATTTCTCGAGAAATATTATCATTTTTATAAATTACTTTGAAGAAGAGCAAAAAGATTTAAATCGATTTATTTTGGAATTCTTGGAATATTTTTCTCTTTAAAAAAAAAAAAGCGCGCGAAGAATTTTGTTTACGAACCTTGGATAATTTCCTCGCCGTCGTTGTTTTAATATCAAAATGTAAAGAATTCGATAGATATCCTCACGCACATAAACACTGGAAAATTTTTTTTTTTTTTCAAATAAAAGAATGAAAAATTAAGAGCCTGACTTTTTTTTCACCTGACAATGATTTTTTTTTTTTTTTTTTTTAAATAATCTAACGAATAAACGTTCCCGTTGGGTTCGACGACACAAAACGCACTGTGCAATCACTATAGGAGAATGAGGTGGGTTTTGGTGAGAACGACTTTTGGAGTGGAAAAGGATGCTGGGAAACGTGCGCGTTTCCTGGAATCGATCGTTTTTGGGGGGATTATAAACGCGTGTGTGCAAGCCGTTGTGAAGCCCGCGAAGAACTGAAATCGCGTCGTCGTCGTTGTCGTCGTCGTTGTTGTGTCGCCCTGGACCTGGTGGCTATTCCAAATTGAATTGGTTATGGAGAAGAGAAAAAAATGGGGAACTCTATCCCCCTCGTGCGCACTGGACCTCGCCTTCTCTTCTTTATCATATATCCACCCTCTCTTCTTTTTTCGATCCTCTCTCTCTCCATAATATCAAACCCAAACCCCACCATTTCACCCCCTTACTATATAGTAGTAATAGTAGTAGTAGTACCCTCCACAGCGTGCCCGATATCACGCATCTGGTACAGATCATCAGCATATGCCAAGGATGAGAGAGAAGGGGAGGGAGGGAGAGAAAAAGGAGGGGAGGGATCCCCAAGATCGCAACAGTATATCATCATCAAGTTGACATCGCTTTTACGAAACCCTATACGGGCCTGTTTGCCTATTTGCCTTTTCCTATATATATATATATATATATATATATATATATATATATAGGTGACACACTCTGGGGTGTTTCATTTTATGACTAGATGGAAAAAAAGGACTCCGCTCAAAATAATTCGGAAAATATTTTTCATTCTGTTGTTTTGATTTTCTGAACAAAAAAAGTAAATGTCAAATAACTAAAAATTGCTCTCTGTGAGTAGGTGGAGTTTGAATTTTTCTTTTATTTAATCTCAATTTGAAAAAAAGGCTCTAAAGATAAAATAGAGGATAAATGAAAGAGAGGTTCATTTACATTTTTTGTTCAGGAGATCAAAAATTAATAATCTAAAAACCAAATTTAATCGAAATACAAATGGCAAAATTGAAAAAAAAATATCTATAAATAAAACTCTTGCTTTTTGTGAGTGGATAGAGTTTGAATTTTTCTTTTAATTTAATCTCCATTTGAAAAAAAAATAAAAGCCTCTGACAAAATGGAGATTAAATGAAAGAGAGGTTCAAAATTAAACCTTCTCACAGAAAGCAGTTTTTAATTTTTATCCCCATCAATTTTTTAGTTCTGTCATTTACATTTTTTGTTCAGAAGATCAAAAACTACAACACTAGAAAGTAACAAGCAAAAAATTTAATCGAAATATAAGTGGCAAAATTGAAAAAAAACATCTATATACTTTGCTTTTTGTGAGTAGGTAGAGTTTGAATTTTTCTTTTAATTTAATCTCCATTTGAAAAAAAATAAATAAATTCAACTGACAAGATGCAGGTTAAATGAAAGAAAGATTCAAACTTCACCTTCTCACATAAATCGAATTCGTAGCCATTTTTTAGTTTTGATATTTACATTTTTGGATAAATAATTTTAAAATATTTAAGATTCTTGTTAAAAAAAAAAAAAAATAGAATTGTAGATTTTGTGAAAAAAAAATTTTGTCCGCGATATATTTATGTTTTAGAAGGGGAGACAATGACTTTGTGTACTAGATGACAATTGATAGCAGTGAAAAAAAGGGCATTGTTTCGTTTGAGACACACGACGAATTGGGATAATGGAAGTCAGAATGTAAAAGTCAGTTTTGTATATTACTTTTCCTTCTTCTATTATAGCACTGCTGTGTTTTTTTCATTATTTTTTATATAAAAATTCAGAAGAAATATAAGAAATCTTAAATTCTGCTGATTCAATTTTTAAATAAATAAAAGAAACAAAAAAAAATTCATAAATTATAAATGCATCTTTCTTTTGCACAATGGATTTTCGAATCTCCCTAACGTATTCTCTCCAAGTTTTCTAAATTTCGAGTCTTGAAAAGTTTCTTTCTTCTTTCCCTCTTTTTTTTTTGTTTGTTACTTGATCGTAAGACAAAATTTGTCCTTCGGGCATGTTCGGGTCATAGTAACAGTCTCTTTGGAAGTGAATCGATCCATCTTCTGAGTTTGTCTATTCTCCAGATGCACAACAGAGAAAAAACACATTGTATATATATATATATATATATCTATATATAGAGAGATGCAAGGGCGAAGACGTTTCCTTGCCTTTATTCTCTGAAATTGAAATTCCACAAGAGGAAAATATTTCGATACTTTTTTTTTCAGCTGCGCGAAATCCATTTTCTCAAATAGAAATATTTTTTTTCTATTACAATAATTTCCTATTCAGTGAATCTTAATTTTCGAAAGAGATTAAATTTTTTCTTATTAAAGCAATCATCAATTGAATCGACAAAGAAAGAACAAAAAAAAAAATAACAACAAAGAAAAAGAAACAACAAAAGAAAGAACAAAAACTATTCTGAAATTCAAATTAATATTTTTGTTATTTATTTAAATAATTTAAAATTTAATTTATTTTTAACTACAGAATATTTTATATAGTTGTATTTCGAACAATTTTTTTTTATTTCAAATTAATTGTTTTTATATCAGAAAAAATTTAGTTATTTTTAAATAAATTTTTAAAAAAATTTATTTTTATTATTTAAAAAAAAGAGCCAAAAAAACTAATTTTTCTTCTACATCATTTAATTGATGAATTCAATAAGAAAAGAGACACGAATTTAAATATATATAGTTCATTTGAAGATAGCCATTTAGAATCTGAAAGCTTGAGCCATATAATCTCGGTTTTAATCAGTTCTTTGATGACACTTGTGAATATACAGATAGAGAGAGAAAGACAGAGTGAGAAAAGGAGAATATATTCTCCGAGCGCATATTGTGCACGAGTTTGAGCTTTAAAGCTTCACGCCCAAACTTTCAAAGTTCGGTCGTAGTTTATTCCTAGAATTAAATCTCCTCACAGTGAAATAACTCCGTCTTTGAGTTTTGGTTATGAAAATTTCCATAATATAAAAGTTTGCAAATAAAAAAAAAAAAAAAAAAAAAAAAAAAAAAAAAAAAAAAAAAAAAAAAAAAAAAAAAAAAAAAAAATGAAAAACACATTCTCATAAAACCCTTTTGTTAATCTAAAATAATTGATTTATTTCCTCTCCTATAATATTTTTATTATCTTTCGAATTAGTTAAAAAATTAATTAATAGTTAAAAATAATTAATTATTAGTTAAATAACTAATTATATTGGTTAAAAAACTAATTAATAATTCAAAAAACTTATTATTATTAATTTTAAAAAATAATTATTAGTTAAAAATAATTAAAATTTCTGGTAACTTATGTAATTAGTATAAATAAATAAAATATTTTATTTATAAATACGTTATAATACAATGGAAGTATATTGGAAATTTTTGAAATTTTTCTATAGCGTTTAATTTTCCGTAACGGACATATATTTTTCTTTTGTTAACGCCATTTAGTATATACTCTCATGACTTATACCCCACCATTTTTACCCTCATAAGACTAATTGTTTTCTCTCTCACGAAAAATAGGGTTGAAAGTGTGATAAATGGACGTCTGACTATTAAGCTCTTTCACTACTGCATTTCGGGTATATATACGGATGATTCTTCACTCATTTATATATGGTAAAAATGTTAGTTTTTCCCCTCAATCTAAACTTTTCATGTTTTTCTTTTCCTGCCGATGAAGTATTTTCCATTAAAATTTCCCTTGAAAAATATAGTTTTTTTTTCAAATAAAAATTAATAAAAATTTTTACTTTTTTTCTCCAGAAAATTTTTACTGTATATAATTTTTTTTTTTTTTTAATTAATTATAGGATAAATTACTATTAATAAAAACTATTTTTTTAGAGGCAAAAATAAATTATAATATAATAAAAAATTCTAATTAATTTAAAAAAAATGAATTTCAAATTTAGGAATCTATTTTTTAATCGTATACAATTATTTCCTAGGTGTGAGAAAGTACGAGACTGACCTAGTTACAATTTTTTTTTTTTTGTATATTATCAGAGTTTCGTAAATTTTTTTTTCCCATTCGTCCCGCGACGCCTTCAACTCGGAAGGCTTTCTCACATTTCCGATGAACGAAATGGCCATATAAACTAGGTGAGTAAGACGAAGCTTGATATATCCGGAGGGTTCACGTGACACCGATCCTCGCATCCGTTATGGGTTAGAATAGTTCGTCAGACGTATACGCGGGAACCGAGATCAACTCCCTTGACAAATCTAAAAGTCTGAGATGATACTAGATTTGGTTTTAGAACACACAGACATAATCTAATCCCATATATACTAATATTTATATTCAAACAACATATCCTCCCCCGCATGATTTACTCTTTCCGGTCTTGTGCGATCGTCGTCTAATTTGTCAACTCGAGATTCTTTTCTCAACAAAGAAAAATTTTCTCCAAACGATTTTTCTATTAAATTTCATTTTTCTAAATTTCTCTTAAAATAAATAATTGCATTAATTAATTAATTAATAATAAGTAGAATCAATTATTAAATAATTTTTAAAAAATAATAACTAAAATATATAAGTAAAAAGAAATAATTGTCTCAATAACAATAATCAATCATAATTATAAAAGTTTATTGAAATTTGAATTGCTAATATATATAGATGCATACTATATATTCAAAGACTCTATCGCTATTGGGAAATGCGTTATACTTAAAGTTTTAACGAGAAAGCTTTGTCCTGACGTTAATAGTTGCACTTTCATTTATGTATTATAAATGAGAAATTACTTTAAAAAAAAAAATCATAATTAAAATTGAAATGTTCATTTTTCTTTATATTTTTTATTGATATATATTATTTATTATAAATTTTTTCTTAAAAATTATAATAAATAATATAATATTGACAATATAAATAAAAATTTTATTTAATTAAGATAAAAAAAATATTTTCAGATTTTTTTTTTAAAGTGTGAAATAAAATATAAAGTGTGTTTTAAAATTAAAATTGTGGTAATGAAAAATTGATTTTGCACATGAAGATAGAAATAAAAAAAAAATAAATAAAAAAAAACATGCAGCTTCCGTTGAGCATTCGAATAATGCAATAGTAGTGGATATATAATTTCTTTCTATATGTGAACGAAAGTGGTACAGACGCATCTGTATTTGACAATCAATACTTGCAGTGCTTTTTTTCTAGAACAGTAATAGGCTACTGTTACTGACAAGAAAATTAATCGTCTTTTAACAACTATTCCATTTCTCTACTTTTAATAATATTATATATATACAGATCTCTTTCTTAAAGTTTCCACTTTCTATCAAAAAAAAATATATTTATAATAAATGCGGTTAAGAAAATCCAATAAAAAAAAAAAAAAAAACAGTTGACTGAAGTGAATAATTCCAATTTTTCCTAATGTTTATCCATTTCAATTATTATTTTAAAAAGAATAAAAATCTACTATAATAAAATAATGTAATTTTGACTACAAAAAATATTTATTGGAGTCAAATAACTCTAATTTTAACTAATTAATTTTTAATTTGAACAAAATTATTTTTATTTTTATATAAATTTTTCTGTATAATTGTTAATTGAAACAATTATAGAAAAAAATTTTAAACAAATCAATTTTCCATTTTTAACATTCATATTTAATTAAAAGATAATAATTATAAATTCAATAATTTTTTGAATAAAATAAATTAAATGGTATTTTTTCAAATTAAAAAAAAAATTAATTAATATGTAAAATTATTTTTCGATAATCTATAATAATAAAAATACTATAATTTAATTTTAATTGAAAAATAATAATTTTTCTAATATAATGTAAGGTATTTTGTTTAATAATGAAATATTGTCGCCTGCGAGTAATAAAATTCTGCTCGATGTGCACTTAGTGTAAAACATTGCACGTGTAGGGAACGAGAGGATGTGAGAGAAGTGGCGCGGGAACACGAGATTCATCGTCTTTTTATTATATTTCACTCAAGAAAACTAGGGTAAAATCGGAAAAAATTAACGATTAACAAATTAAATTAATAATTATTCTGAACCTTCCCTAATTAGTTCTAATTTAAACCATTATCAACAATTACAATAATAATTAACTAATATTTTCTATATATTAATTTTTTAAATTGTTTATAAATTATATTTAATTTTTTATAGATATACTAAAACATTCTATTCAATTATTTTAGTACAGAATAAATTTAATTTTTCTATTTAGAATATTTTTTATTTTGATATTTATTTATTTTTATTATTAGTTTATTAGAAAAAAACTTTATTGGAATTATTTTATTTAATTATAATTAATTATGTTTAATTACATAAATTTTAATTATAGTATAAATTTTACATGGGCAATAATTTTAATTTATATTTTTAAATTTTTCCCGCCACATTAATCGAGATATCGAATAGTAAACAGTAGTGAAGTTAACCACTGACGTGGTGGTAATGTCAGATCTGTCAAATTTTGACATTTATCATAATAAAGTTAATTAAAATTGTTTAATTAGTAAAAACACGTAGATCTTTAATCAAGTTTAAGAAATAAAACATCGAGAAAATTTTTTATAATAAATATATATTAATAATACTGGCGAATCATATCATTACACGCACTACGCATTTAATTTTAATAACACATATCAAGTACTTTAATGTAATGTTTACTTATCAGCTGATTTCCTCAAATATTAAAAACTCTATTTTAATCGGTTATCAAAAATCACAGAGTGTGTATTTTCAATATTATATTACAATTTAAAATTTTTTAACAAAACAAAAGAAAAATGGACGACAACGATAAGTCTCAAAAGAATGAGGTAATTTATCTATGTTTTTACGGTGTTTATCATTTATGTTTTCAAATAAATTTTTACTAACATTATTTTATTTCTCCTTATCATTTTTCTAACCTTGTAAATAGATTATTATTATATTTAAAGTAAATAGTTTTTAAATGTATAAATTCAATTTAAGTTATAACCTCAAAAAAAGAATATCAGTTTTTTTCTTTATTACTTTAATTTCTTTTTAAAATTCTTTAATTATATATTCATGTAAATTTAAATCACGTGATTTATTACCGAAATTATAGAAAATCAATTTACAGATGACCGAATCAATTTCAAACATGAGTGAATCAACAATTAACAAGGATACAATTGAAGAACGTTACAATAAGGTAATTGATAAATTCTATAATTTTACCTATGTAGTACAATTGTTTTTGCAATTATTTTTTTAAATACTCAATTCAAATAATTACAGCTTCGAGGACTTGCTGTAAAATTAAAAAAGAAAGTATCAGATTTATCTGATCAAATAAAACATTTAGAATCAGAAAAAACAATTCTTCACACCGAAAAAGATGAGATGCAACAAAAAATAATTCAAATATCCAATAACGCGAAAAAAATACAGGTAATTATTTTTTCAAAAAACACATACTTTTCATATATTTTCATTTGAAATTATTAAAATGATAAAATCCATTTTTAGACTATTCAACTTGAATATGATAAATTACAAGATAAATTTGAGCAACAAAAATCAGAAAATAAGAAATTAATGAAAAATATCGAAACTCTTGTTGATGAGAATGCATCTCTTAAAGAATCTCTTTATAATGAAAAAGATTCTACTTCACAATTAACATTGAAATTAGAACACATATCTAAAGATAAAAGTAAATTTGAAAATACAATTAAACATTTACAAGAACAACTTAAATCATTGAGCGAGGAATTGAGTGCCGATAATGTGATAAGGGAGCAAAAAGTCAAAGAATATGATGCATTGAAAATTAATTTCGATTCTGAAATTAATGCACATAAAACTACACGTTCTCAATTGGATGCCTTTAAACAAAATCATACAAATAACAGTGTTCTTTCATTGGAAGTTGAAAATTATGAGGTTTGTATCAATTTTTACCAATTTTAATTAAAAAATAATTTGTTTTTTAAATTGTCTATTATATTTTAAAGATAATTAATTTTTATTGAATTATCAAATAATAAATTTAAATTAATAGAAAAGTATTGATGACATGAAGTTAAAACTCAAGGATGAGGAAACAAAACGAAAATCTCTAGAACAGACAATAAATGAACATTTGGAGACAATAGGTTTATTAAATAAGCAAATGAATGAAATGCGAAGTAGTTGTTTGAAAAAAACAAATCAAGTCACAAATCTCGAGGATAGAAATGAAAATATAAAAGCAGAAGTAAATGAAATGAGACTCGAAAATGAAAGAATGCAACGTGAAATTCAAGATTTTCTATTGCAATTGAAAGATACTCAAAATGAGAAATCGAATTTATTGAAAAAAATTGCATCCCTAGAATCCATTAGAGATAGTTTGACGAATGAATTTAAGAGTAAAAAAGATGTTCTAGAAAATCAGGTAGACAAAATATTAAAATTTATTTAATTAAATTATTTTAATAATATGGTTTTTCAATTTAGAAATTAATTAAATTTCTCATCTAAAATATATTTTCTTTTATTTTTAGTTGAGAGATATAACCGCTGAATTATCGCATTTAAACTCAGCTTTGGCGAATTCAAAAAAGGAAACGGAAGTTTTGCAAGAAGAATTTAATGGTTATAAGAGAAGAGCGCAAAGTGTACTTAGAACGAAACAAAATCAAAGTAAAGAAAATGGAATGAGCGGAAAAAGTATTGCTGAAATGGAAGAAGAATTATTACAATCACAACAGCAAAATAAACATCTACAAGAAAAACTTGATGCTTATGAGTACTATATTTATTTTATTTACAAAATTATTATTTTATTTTTTTTGTTATTACTATAACTAAAAATTTTTCGTTTTAGACAAAAATTTGAAATTCTATCCAAGGATGTAATGATATTTAAAGAAGAGAGAAATCGTACACTAGAAAGCCTCACAGAATTAAATAAACGTCAAGTAAATTCACGACAAGAAATTTCTTCCCTAACAGAGCAATGTAGATCTCAAGAAATGAAAATGCAAAAATTAATTGCTGACAATAAGAAGGAATTAGAAAGTTTACAGAAAAATCATAAGGTTGTTTACTAAATTATGTTTTTACTTTTCATTTCATTTCAAAGATCTTCCTTTATACATTATATGAAAATAATAATTTAATTTTTAAACATAGATCGAGATAAGAGCAATGAGAGAAAAGTTTGAACAAGAGAATAATGATTTAAAATTCGAGATGGAAAAATTAAAATTAACTGAATTTACGGATAACACGAGAGCAAATAATATATCCTTAGAGAGAAATGTTGATTCTAATGTGGATTCTCATCAACAATCACGATTATTAGAAATCCCTCTAATAGAACGAGAAGAATGCGAGGTAGTTAAAAAAAATTAAAAACAAAAATAAAACAAATTACAAATCAATTTTTTTTTTTTTTACAGGGATCAGAAAGTATCGATTCTTGTCCCATTGTCCTAACGAATGGTGAAAGATATCGTAAACATTCTCTAATACCTCTCGATGAACTTTTGAATTCATCGGATGATTATAATAATCCCCCTGAAATTCAACCTGCATTACCGCAAAAAGTGAGCAGACAAGAATTTGAAGTTTGCGAGCGAAGAGTTAAACATTTAACAGTTCTTTTAGCAGATGCTGAACGTGATATTGCCAAATTGACACAACTTAATGAAATTTTAAAAGAAGATATTCGAAGACAACAACGAAGTGTTGAAAGAGAACAACACGCAAATAATTTTGAATATCTAAAAAATGTCGTTTTTAAGGTATAAGAAAATAAACTTATCTTTATATTATTCTTAATGTTTTTTTAAAATTAAAAATAAATTTCTAATTTTTTTTTTTAGTTTGTTACTCTAAAAAATGGAGATGAAAAAAATCATCTTATTCCTGTACTTAATACTATTCTTAAATTGAGTCCGGAGGAAACTCAAAAACTTTATTCCGTCGCTGGTGGTAAATATTATATTTAATAATTTAAAAAAATATTTAAATATCAAAATAATGATAGGTAATCATTGTTAATATAAACTTTTAATAATATTTAAAATCCTAATTTTTTTTAGGTAAGAGCTGGATTCCGGGGCTTTTATAAAATATAATTAAAAAGAAAGAAAGACATGTACAGTAAGAAAAAATTATTGTGAGATTTAATATATCACTTATTTTTATGAAATAAATTTTTTTCTATATACAAAAAAAATTGCAAATTTTTTCTCCTGTCTTTTTTTGGAAAGGAAAAACAAAAGATTATCGAAATAAATGAATGTGTAACTTGTGAGAAGAGAAAAATTGGTTTTGTTTAAATAAAAATCTTCGGACTTTGTTGAATTAATAAGAACGTAATAGTAATAAAAAATGATTAAATTTCTTAAAGATTATAGAAAGCAGTTAAAAATATTTAATTCTCCTCAAAGTTGTAATGAGCGAAATTTAATTAGAAATAATTTTCACATACAGAAACGTTATTATTTGCCAAATTATCGTCCAGTTGCCACAAAGCCTTTTAATTGCGTAGGAAAGCAGGTAATTTAATTTAAAAATTTTATTATTAACCATTCTTTAAGATAAGTTTTTTTTTAAATACGCAATTTACAATAAAACCTTTTTAAAATTATTTTTTTACAAAGGATTAAAATTGGTTTTTTTAAAAAAAATATGATTAAAAATGTCTTTTTCTTTACAGAAAAAGTTTATATCCATAGGTATTATGACATTTTTACTTCTTGGCCCTCCATTTATGTATATGACTACTTTAAAAGACATGGAAAGATCAGAATAAAATGATGCAAGTTCAATGATTATAAATTAATTAAAATATTTCGAATATGTAAATGAACAAATAAACTATTTTGCTATTTGTTTCAATTAATGTTAATTTCTGACAGTGGTGTTATTATGTTAATTAAAGTAATAAATGACTTGCCGATCGTTGATTTTTTCGTCGAAACGATGGCTCCATCCCGGAGGAGCTCTCCAACAATCTCCTTATTCTCAAAGACACTAATCTTGTAGCTTCAGAAAAATCATTCACATCTTCCATTATGTAATTAAAAATATTAAAATAATCTTAAAAACAAATACAAGCACAGTTAATCACACTATTTTTCGATAACGCAAAACTTGTGCAACTCTTTAGGTTAACCGTCAAAACACACTCCTGACACTCCACACTTCACAAATCAAACATTTAACTGAATAATCACAAAAATTATGTTTGTATAGTAACTTATAAATGATTAAACTAATTAAACAATTACTTTAAATAACTTTTTTTAACGAATATTAACCGTTACCATGTGGAAAGAAACATTTAATTCGGCGCCAAAAAAACGTTAAAGCTCCATCAAGTGGACAACTTCACAATGATACAATCGATCCAATCGATATATCGATTGAGTTAAAAATTTTAAAATCGTAAATTTCCAACACAAATTTTATTTTACAGTTAATGTTATGCTTTAAATTTAATAAAAAAAATTGTTTTTCTTTATTAATGTATTTAGAAAAGAGATAAATTGCCGTTTAAGAAAATGTTATTTAAAAATAATTTTATTTTATGTCACGTGATATTTAAGAATGACATCTGACAGCACGTGAGCTTGGATAAATTTGGCAACACTGTAAATTAATGACAGTTGATGTTGAAGGTGGAAGAAGACAAGAACAAAAGTCAAATCTATTAAATATAAGGTCATTTTTAAAATGTAAGTTTAAACATATTAAAACTTCATTCAAATTAATAGAAATTATTCTCTCTACTTTGTTATGAACATTCACATTTTATTATAATAACAAGAACATTCGTTTCTGTTGACATAACCTATAATTTGTACGTCATAATTTCTTTTTCTTTATTTTGTTTATTTTCTATAGTTTTCTAAATGTGGGAAATTGAAATTAAATACTCTTTACTAACATGCAAATTTGGAATTTTTTATATTTATTTAAAATTAATATAATTGATTTATAACCTAATTATTCTCATTGAAACTTTTTTTAACAAAATTAAACGACTTGTTATTATAATTAAATGGTAATTTATTCATTTAAAATAATTAACATATATAGAAATAAAGTCATGTGAAAAAATTTAATAAAGAAAGACTTAACAATATAAATGAATTCAACAGAATTTAACAACATGTCCTTGAACAACGAGCAACCAAAATTTAAGTAAGTACTGTAAAATTATATTAAAAAAATTAATATATGGTTTTTTAATAGTGTTTTATCAAATATTATTTTCGAAAAAACTGCTTGATTAAGATACATGTTAAAATGTGATTTCAAAAATTTATTTCTTATTTTTATATATCTTTTTATATATCTTTTTTGTAGATTACGTAAAATTCAATAATAATTTTTCCATTTGTTTAAACTGATATGTATTATATATATATATATATATATATATTTTTTTTTTTATCAAAAATTAAATATAAAGTTGTCATTCTACAAGCTTTGATACTTATAAAACATTAAGCTCATCTGTAAAATATACACATATGTATATATGTGTTCTGCAATATGTATTTAAAAATATCTTATTATTCAAAACTCAAGAAGTCATATCAAAAATAAACTCTTTATTGTGCCAATAAATAAAAGTCTAAATTTTTCAAATTGTTTTATATATCTAAAATATTTATAGAAAGTACATAACTTAATTTTTGTTTCAAATCTTCTTCATATCTTTATAATGCTTTTTATTATATGCACAAAGTTCACGCGAGGATTGAATGTTTTCAAATACAATGACCATTTAACTTAATCAAGACTAATAGACGTTTTGCATGTTTTCTGAATCATAACTTTGCATGTAGAAGAGAAGCGACAAAGCATTTCAATTTTTTACAATAAATTATTACAATTTAACGTAACAATAATAATTCAATTTTTTATATTAATTACTATTAAAATTTTATTTATTTCTATGAATTAAAATCATTTTTTTTATTAAATTTATTAATTACTATCATAAATTGATATGATATTTGTGCCTCTCTTCTATTTTGAAAATGTTAATTTTAAAGCTTACTTTTATTAACATAAAATGTAACTATTCCAATATATTCAAAATATGCATGTTACAAATTTATTTTCCTTGGAATGATTGAATTCCTTTGCATCCATAGCGTTTGAATTTAGTATAATTATGTTTTAACACTTTAATAGGTGTATAATTTATAGATTTTTAAATTTAATTTCCTTATGTTTCTTACGTTTATAATTTTGGTAATGTTAATTATTTTTACAATAATTTTTCAAAAACATGAAAAATTCTAATTTTCCTTTTAGCTCGAAATCTCGAATCGAATTAGTAAAAAAAAATTCACCATTTAAGCCTGGTGTTTCTCCCTAAATTAAATCATTATAATTTTGTGCACCAAAATTATATATTTTAAAAATATCATTTTGTAAGGATAATAATATCGAATGGCGAACGTTAATATCTGAAAAAAGCAGAAAAATTAAAATACATTAATCTCATAGCTCTCGTAACATTTTAAAGCAGCGAAATGGTGTCGTCTCACTTCTTCTATCAGAAAATTAAAAAAAAAAAAGAAGAGTTTGCACCCTCCACACCAGATAAGGCGACCAATCTTCTTCAATCTCGCTGACGGATTTTTCCCAATACGATTATTTGCAACAACCAAACTTGGATCATAAAAAAAATGTGAGTGTTCTAAAAAGAAATTTTTTTTTTGTATAGAAATCTTTTACTCTCAAGAGCACCACTTTAAAAGTATCAGAAATCACTATTAATTATTTTTTTAATAAAATCTTCACTTCCTTCTATGTTAGATTTTGAATAGTTTGTTAATGATTTTTCTAAAAAGAAAAAAAAAAGAAAAATTAAAAAATAACGTGACACTTTTCGTTATCAACTTAAATGTAAATAACTTTATCAATTCCGCAAATTAACATTCCACAACCTCAGCCAAAATCTTAGTATTCTTCGTGAACGTCTTTTATTAACAAAATTCTTAACACTGATTAATTAATTAATTATTAAAGTTGAAAATGTTTACTTTTCTGAAATAGAAAATAATTATAATGATAATTTTTTATGAAAGATTTTTCGCCCTTTTTAATTTTTATGTTATTGGTTTTCATAAAAGTTTAATTGTTTTTTAAATTTTCATTTATTTATTTATTTTTAATTTAAAGTATAAATTATTATTTTCAATTAAAAAGTTATTTATTTTTGTAATTATAAAAAGTAAGATTAAATTAGTTGATTAAAAACGAAATTATTTATTGATTGAAAAAAATTGTCTAGAAACTTACACGTAGATATTGTATGTAGAATGCATGTATGTGTATATTTAATATGCTTTTAGTTGATAAAATAGCACAATTTTTTTTTCACTGGCTGTATATTATTGAATCAATAAAGTGAAAGAAGCATGTAATAAAAGTAGTTTTGCTGTATTAGTAAATAATATCATAAAATATAATAAATCATAAGCTTGTATATAGGCAATTGTTATTTTCAATAATTCGTGCAAAAAAGAGAAATATTATTATTTTACTACTATATATTAATAGAAATTGATTTTAGACTCATTCCAAAAATTGTCAATGGCGGAATTGCTGGAATTATCGGAGTTTCCGTGGTTTTTCCACTGGATTTGGTCAAAACGCGATTACAAAATCAAGTTATTGGACCAAAAGGCGAAAGGATGTATTCATCAATGTAAATTGCTTTTCTCAATTTCAAGATTTAATTTTATAGGTGGATAATAATCGAAAATTAATTTTTCAGAAATAATTGATCTTTTAAAAAATATTCCTAAATTTTATATTAAATATTTTTAATTATTTATATATTCAATGAATTAAATATTCCATCATTATTTATTAATATCTTTGAATTTTTAATAATATTTTTAAAAATTATTTCAATTAAAAAATATTATTAAGATATTGTGAGAAATTATTAAAAATTTGTTATTTTCTACAGGTTGGATTGCTTTAGAAAAACGTATCGAGCGGAAGGTTATTTTGGAATGTACAAAGGTTCAGCAGTAAATATTCTTTTAATTACTCCTGAAAAAGCTATTAAACTTGCTGCTAATGATATGTTTCGACATTATCTAACTCCAGCACCAGGGTACTTAGTTTTAAAGAAAATAAATTATCAATATTATTAATAATTTTTTATTATAATAAATTAATAATATATTTTTTTAAATTAGGCAACCTCTTCCACTTATACGTGAAATGATTGCTGGAGGTTCTGCTGGAGCATGTCAAATTGTCATTACAACGCCAATGGAATTACTTAAAATTCAAATGCAAGATGCAGGCAGAGTTGCAGCTGCTGCAAAAAGCGGTAAATTTTTGTCTTTTAATGTTTTTCAATATTTGTATTTTATTTTATTTTATCAAAATAATACTCACACATTAACAGTATATTTAATTATTTTAAAAATCATTATAGTTAATTTATTTATTTAAATTAACTTAATTATCATTACAGTATAATCTTGATAAGCTAAAGTTTAAAAAAATACATTAAAATTGAAGTTTAAGTTTAAAATTCTTTTATAGATAAGACAAGTAAAAATATAGAAAAAAAAATAAAACATTGGACTCAAGCTCGAACATAAAATTTGATTAATGTATTTTCTGATTGATGAATTTTTGGCAAAACATTTCGAATTCTTGATATACGATACAGCTGCGAGTATAAAAGATTAAGTAATCCTATAACCTTGACATAATTTTAGATACATAAAAAAAATAATTTTATTTGAATATTCTTTCCTTAAAATTTTATTCTCTAAATAAAAATAAAATAAACAAATTTGTATTTTAAAAAAATTGAAGATAAAAAAAATAAATAAAAATTGTTATTGTTTTCAAAAAGAAAATAACAAAAATTAAAGAAATTAAATTAAAAATAATATTTAAATAAATAAATTTTCTTAAAGCTGGAAAAGAAGTACCAAAGATATCCGCCTGGTCATTAACAAAGAGTTTATTAAAAAAGAGAGGGATTTTAGGACTTTATCAAGGAACGGGCGCAACTGCACTTAGGGATGTTACATTTTCTGTTATTTATTTTCCACTATTTGCCAATCTCAATGCGCTTGGACCAAAAAGAGAAGATGGATCTTGTGAGTAGAATTTCAAAAATTAATACAATCCTGATTTTTTAATTGAATTAATTATTAACTTTTTTATTAATGATTTATTTTGTAAATTATTAATTTCATATTAAGCATTTTGACTGATTATTATAATGTTTTTTTTCATAATTTTTTGATTTATTTTTCAGCTGTATTTTGGTGTTCATTTCTCTCAGGATGTGCTGCTGGTTCTACAGCAGCATTGGCTGTTAATCCGTTTGATGTTATAAAAACAAGACTTCAAGCGATAAACAAGGCTCCTGGGGAACCAACTTATAATGGTGTTTTAGATTGCATTAGGTAAATTAATTTGATATCATTAAATTCATAATTGCTTCAATTATTGAATTATGAAATTAAATATTATATAATTTTTTTAGTAAAACTTTGAAAAATGAAGGACCAACAGCATTCTTTAAAGGTGGTGCTTGCAGGATGATAGTTATTGCACCATTATTTGGAATAGCACAAACTGTTTATTATCTAGGAGTGGCCGAACAATTGATGGGTCTCAAGTAAAAAAAAAATTGCCAACTTGCCAATGAAGGTTTGAAATGCATACTTTGTTAAGCAAACGACAATAATTACCAAGTATTTAGAACAATATTATCTACTAGCCTTTTCATAATTTCTGCGCAATTATGGCTTCAGGATTATTTCTTATTTCTTTTTTTTTAAATTAAATTTACTTTGAAAAAATACAAAGAATAAATTTCTTTGTAATTTTTCAACAATTACAATTTTTTAATTTAAATCAAACTAATTTATTAGCTTGCAAATTATTAAAGAAATTCTCTTTTATAATTATGATTATTTTTTAAATAATTATTTAAATAATAATAATTGGATAATTTTTAAAATTAATAACAAATTCGAAATTTTAATGCTACTAGAAATATATTTTCTAGTTTATATGGAATTTAAAAATTATTCTCCCATTTAAAAAACTCAGGACTTACAGTATTAATTTTTTTTTTTTTTTTTAATTCCTGAAGCCATTTTAAAGAATAATTGTAAAAAAATGGTCAATTAAGATCATTGCCCGATCTTTGAAAGTAAATTTCTATTGTGTCCATCCGAAAAAAAGCTTGTATAAATTTTGAAACTTGTAATAAGAAAAGTTTATATACGTATTTATTTTTACTGAAGAACAATTTAAAATGGTATATTTAGTGCCAGTTTTAGTAATTTTTATTCAGATGTCGTATAGGTATATATATCTTTTTGAATCTAGTTTATATTTACTGATTTTCATATCATATATGCCATATCTCAAAAAGTATAATATCGAAATATAATTCATGAAATCAACGGACATTTCAGCTGGAGATAGATATTAAAATTGTAAATTAGAAAGAAAAATGCAAATCAATTCTACTGATTTGTAAATTAATATTTATACACTAAATTAATTAATTTTAATAAAATTTAACAGAAAATTCATTTAAAATTTAGTTTTAATTAAAATTTTTGTATTTAAAAAATATTTAATTTATATTTTTTAAAGATTGAATATTGTATTCAATTTGAAATTTTAGTTAAAAATTAATTGAAGTGAATTTAAATATTATTAAAGTAAATTAAACAAAAATTTCACTAATTAGATGTTAATTACGCTAATTTGTGACTTCTCTGCTTCTGCCTAAACCATTGAATATTGTGGTTTCCATAAATGCGAGAAATTGTACATTTTCATTATTATTATTATTATTATATACTCGACGTATGCTATATGAAAATCGTAAAAATGTTATATGTGAATGTCAGATGCAAACACGTATGTCAAAGAAAATCAAAATGTTGTTAAATGACTTTAATTGGCAGTCTACAATTCACTGCCATGTCTGTTGTTACTTAAAAAATAATATATATGTTAAAAGAAAATGTTCACTTTAATTCTACTATTTATTACTATTATTTATATATGCCATTATTTAGTCGAGACTTTCAGAAAAAATTAAATTAATCTCAAATGTAGATTAAAAGGTAACGGACTTTTAATCTATCTTTTAATTTTTTTTACAGTTTATTTTACACACTTTTTTTTGTTTGTTTTGTTATTAATCAGAACGATTTTTAGCTCATTTTAAGTATATTACATATGCGTATGTACAATAATTATTAATTGCATTTTTCTCAACAAGGACGTTAAGTGTGTTAATAATAATTCTCTTGACAAAGAATTGTTTTCTAGATTCGTGATATTTCGTCTTGTACAAATAAGCAATCACTTGTCAAAGAGACACAATGATTTCTAAAATACTACACAAATACTCTTTTTTTTAAATATATAATATAATTACAACGAACATTATTCAACGTTTGAAAACGAGCAAGACACGTATATTTCTCTCTTTTTCTTTTTTAATATATATAAGATTAAGTTCTTGAGGTAAGTTTGCAAATTTTTAACAATCCATAAAATCTTATTAAAATAATTCCCAATAATAATATAATATACTTTCACAATATTTGTGTTTGCTTAATTAAAGCATGTTTACAAATTTTTGCAGAGCGGAAAAAACATAATTGTATTTTAATTTCAAAATATGCTCATATTACATCTATTATTCCCGTAATTAGAATTCATCTTTTTTTAACTACGTGGCAATTAGATTTGAAATAATAAATTGAAAATCAATTTTACGGGAATACAATTTTCGATTCTTCTTTTTTTACAAATATAATAATTTAAACTACTATTTTTTTAGAACGGGGAATGTTGAAAAGAGATGAACGCAATTTTATTGCGCTTAATCGGTGAATTTACGGTTTTGATTGCTTCCAAAGAGAGCGGAGCGGATCTCTGAGATCAATTGCTGAGCAATCAACTCTAATCTCGATTCTAAAGTGTTGCAAATCTTTATACGTCCTAAAAAAGTAACAAAAAAAAATTGAAAATTATGTTGTGAAAGATTTTTTATAATTTAATAATTTGATAGTTTTTTTTTTTTAAATTACCTTTATGAGCAATGAGCTCAACTCCTCCGCAACTTTCGGCTGGAAGAAAATTGTCCGTATCTACTTTAAGAGCAATGTCATTTCTAAATTTACTGGTATAAATGTTTTGAATATCACTAAATAAAGATTCAACTAGTGATTGATCCATTTGACGTACTCGAATCACAACATTTGGTTCCATGAGCTGTGAAAAATCAGAAAATAAAATTTACATTTAAAGAACACACACGAAAGAAAAATAAACAGAAATTGTCTGTTTTTTTGAATTCAAAGAAATTTACTTGATAAAGTCCTTGAATGATGAGGAGCTTCAAAATTTCACCATATTTTGATGGATTCTGAGTAATTTCACCTAATCGTTTTCTGGCTTCGTCAAGAACATTTCTTACATGATCCTCGCGAACTTTGAGAACTTTTAGCCTCGCTTGATTTAGCATATTTGAAGATTGTCTGCAAGAAGATAAAAAAAAATCTTCTAATTAAATTGAATTTAAAATTAAATCTTATATTTAATATGAAATATTTTTTTTTATTCATAAAATTTATTAATCTTATTTCAACTATAATACTCACATCTTCTTTTGCAATTCAACTTGTTTTTCTTTCTTTTCATAATATTCCATAATTTTAAGTCGTTGCTGCTGTACTAAACGACCCTTTTCAATATTGAATTCTTCTTCAGCTTTAGCATCGATTTCTTCTGCTTTTTCGTTGGCCTCTTGTTCGATAAAAGCCATCATATGCTTTATCTGAATTGAAAAATTATTATAAAATTAAAATATGTTTAACATTAATAAAATTAATTTTCTAATTAAAATTAAAATAAATGCTCTAAGAAATTATAAAAAAAAAAATATATATTGAAAAAAGAGAAAACATTACACATTTCAAATTCTATTCGATTTTAAAATATTGAAAATAAAATTAAAAGTAATGATAAATAAAAATTAACTGTTGAAAATTAATTCTTTCATTTATGTTTCTAGCATACTGACATCATGTGACAGTTCTATAATACATTTTCTATTTTTCTTCTACCGGAAATATAAAGCAAAAATTAAATAAACAAATAAATCGATTATAAAATAAGTACAAAAATAAATTACTATTAATAAAATTATTAATTAATAAAAATGTTAACAATAATCTGAAACTAGTTTTAGAAACGAAATTATTGATTAAAATTGTTATCACCACAATATGAAAATTAATAAAAATATTGTAATCTTTAAATGATAAATTTAAAGAACATAAATAATAATTAAATTCTACATGAATATTGCTTTATACAAGTAACAAATATAGAAAAAGATTGATGATTTATAAGCAAGAAAGTAATGTCGTTTTAAGAAATTGAATTGTAAATTACCTGTTTTTGAACATCTGCATCGCTGAGAGCCATGTTTAATAGCTTGATTCAACGGTGTTATAATTGAAGATTATTCACAGAAATCACACAATTTTACAGAATTACAAAATTGGAAAGAGATTTGCAGTCAACGCCTAAGCAGAACAACCAATTTTCTTCAAGTCTAATGACGGTCATATGATTGATGCGCACGCATCTCTCGCCCAAATATTAACACTAGTCAATAAAATGTAATAAAGAATTAAACATATTTAAAAAATTATCAATAAATAATTTAATTAATCAGAAAAATTTAAAGAAACAGTAAATATTAACGAGGGATTTAAATTTAGAAGATTTGAGGTTATAAACATATGTTCAATCATTATACTGAATACAGCTGTATATGCTGCCGGTAATGTAGAATTTGTTATGTTTGATTGATAATAAGTCGAATCGATCAACTGTCAAATTCAGCAATCTTTGAATAACATTACTGCCTGTGTTTACTATTATTAAGTGATCCAATTTATAAACAAGTGTGAAAATAATTAATCTCAAAAGATGTAGAATTATAAATTCATCGTTAGAATACAATTGGCAAACATTATTGACTGTAAAAGCTCGGATTTTGGTAACATAACCTCAAAATCTAGGGATATGTCCCCTTTCCCCCCGTGTAATATAGTGTTTAGTTGCTAGTTGCAAAGGACTCAAGTGTTGGAAAAAGTGATTGTCCAAAACAAAACGCATCGCTTTGCAATAATTCATTTCTGAATCCAAAGTTTATCATGAATTCGATTGAATTCTATACACAGTGATTTGCTGTTTGTACAGATAAAATAGGTAACAGTGTTTTGGTATCTTGAAAATCACGGGTTCCCAAAATGCTTGCACTATAACCTTTGTTTCCTTATGCCTGTCACTTGACCGTGGCCTGGGTAAATGTTTAACATCATCGTCAACGGGAATTTTGTTTTCATTATTTACTGTTTTTTGTGACCTAAACGTGGGATATTTGTTATTAAAACCTCATGCCTGTAACGCTTATCCTTAATTAATGAAAGAATCGAAAAGTATAACGTTGATTTTTCCCCCCCACAAGCAAATAGAAGCCAAGTAAAGCTTTATGTCAAAAAAAAGAAGCGTGGTGGTTTGTAATGCATGTTTTTAATAGAAATTTTCTATTTCCAAATAGTTTTAATTGAAATGCAATGAGGTTACTTTATGTTTTTGTTTTTGTCATAATTGTAAATTGGCTCCAAAGCTAAATGTTCTAGAAATCTCATAACCAACACAACCTCAATCCCATGACAGTTTATGGTAAAATGGTATTTTGATAAAGTAACAAAAATTTTGATAATAAATATCGTTTTTTTCGATAGTTTCAATATTTACATTTTTATTCATCAATAGTTGTAAGTTTTCATTTTTTTGAAATATTGAATTAAAAAATTACTCCTCAATGTTCTTTAAACAATTCTCTTGTCTATATTTTATTTAATTTTTTTTTTATAAATGAGGATTATATATCTGCGTAGCAACATATTTGTTATTACATGAAATCATTGATATGTATCAAACTCCAGTGTTTATTTAAGATATATATATATATATTTTAAAGTGTGTGGCAATCTTATTGGTTACAATTGAATTTCCCACTTGTTCAAGGTAATTGACAATATTTTTCTTTTTTTTTTTAATTGCGAAATTTTTCATTTGACAAAAAAGTAGTAACAATAATTTGTTTTTTTTACGTTTACAGAGAATTTATAATTTACATCTTCACTAAAATTTTTCATTCGAATGATTTGTACCTTTTAAATATCGAAGGTTATGATTTGTGAACATTTTCATGTGTATGTAAACAAAAACGTAATGAGCTATAATTTTCATAGACATTAAATGATTGAATGAAAGTTGGAATAATATTCAAATTGTGAATCTTAATATAAAAATGGCGAATTTAGTTTTTATAATTGAATTAAGTTTATTTTTGTGTTACGATTTTTGAAAAAGAAAGAGATAGATATGCGATATTGTATAAATAGTTTTGTTAAAAATAATGTAGAATGAAAATTTTTTGTTGTAATTTTAATATTATAAACGAAAAGTGTAATTGAATTGCCCCAGCAGGTACTTTATAGTGGAGCCACCAGGCTATGGCCAACCTGAACTTTGAGCAACCACCTCGGAGTATCGCAAACGCAAGTCTAGCTACACGTGGGGGTGGTGGGGGGGGATTAAGCTCGACGACCCTCACGGGTCATGTCACACCTACCTCGGGCATGTTCTCAGGCTCATCAGCAAGCACCTCGAGTACAGCGAACATCTCGGTTATTGGTCCGAACGTCTATCCTGGAGCAACTGGTTCAGGAGGCGTTCAGCCTGCTGGGCATCAATCTCAACAGCAACTTTCGCCTATGGGAAGTAGGGGACTCTTTAGTCAAAGGGCTTTCACTGATAGGCGTACAATGCCAGCTCTTGGGTCAGTTCTCTTTCTACTGTAAAGATCTATTCTCATTAGATTTTTATAATATAATTTAAATATACGTATGTAGTAAAAAGAGATGTAAAAGATTGATGAATTTGGTTTTTTTTCAGAAATTCTAATCCAATGGGTAGCATGGGCAGTTTTGGAATACCTCCAAGCCGCAATTACGGATCTCAAGGAGCGATCAACAATTTCCATTCGGTATTTGGCAGCGGGGGTGGCGGCGATACCAGTACACCTCCACTTTTGGACCTTTCAGAATTTCCCTCATTGACCAATCGAGGTCAGGGTGATTCTATGCCTCAACCTAGTCCCATGCCAGGGAAGCAACCTTATGGTTAGTCCCACGTGATTCCTAGCATCGAATAATTGTTTTCTTTTTTTTTCCGCGACGAACTTTAATTTATGTATATTTTTTTTGTTACAATTTTGCCGACAAAAAAAAAACAACACAAGGATATTTAATTTTTCTCCTCCGGGGAAAGTTTTAATTTTTTTTTGCTTTTAATATTATTACGTTTTATATTTATAGATGGAGATGTTTTATTACATTACATTTTTTAAAATACTTTTTATATATAATATTTTGTAAACATAATTTTTTTACATATTTTTTATACGTAGAATGTTTCTTTTTGTTATCGGTCCCTCAGTAATAAGTGTAATCCTGTGTTGACCAAACCCTTACCCTAGTTTTTTTTTAAGCATGTATATTATATATTTTTTTCCGTTTCTTGTCCCCCTTGTGTAGTTTCATGTTTTTTCTTTTTTTTTTTTTTTGAAATTATTAAGTGAATGTGAATGTGAAATGGTGCAACCTTGTCCTTCTTATCATAAAGATACATATATTTATTATTCAGCTCAGTTTATGCGCGATATCGACAATTCCACTTATGAATAATTCTATATATTTTAGTCGGTATGGTGAAACAACCAACGTCTGAACCGAGTGAATTCACAATGAGCTCGGAAGATTTTCCAGCTCTACCGGGAACTCAAAGTAGGGAAGGACCGTCCCCTGGTGGTGGCGTGTCCGGTGATAAAGGTATGTCTGTTGGTCTTGGTCCAGAAATTAGTCAAGACATTTTACAAGTCAACAGAGCCCCAGGCTCGGAAAAATTACAGACATCTAAAAGAGGAATCCAAACGTCTCCTGACGGTGAGAATATTTATTTATTAGTCTATTTTTAAAAATTAATTTTAATAAAAAATAATTTAAAAATAAAATCAATGTGACGATAAAAAATATTTTTGTTTTTTTTAGGTAAAGTAACAAATATACCATCCAGTATGGTCAAAGATCAATTTGGAATGGTGGGACTCTTAACGTTTATTAGAGCATCAGAAACAGATCCAAATCTTGTATCTTTGGCGTTAGGACAAGATCTCACTGCACTAGGACTTAATCTTAATTCACCGGAAAATCTTTATCAGAATTTTGGAGGTCCTTGGGCAGAAACATCTTGTCGGCCACAAGACATTGACTTTCACGTTCCACCAGAGTATCTCATAAACGCTTCGATCAGGTATTTTAATAATTATATATTTTTAAAAAAAATCTTGTTTAACATGTTTTTAATTCAATGTCCAATTATTTTTCTCATTTATTAGAAATTAAATAAATTTATTTTTTAATTTAAAAAATATGCAAATTCAACAAAAAGTATTTTAATTTAATGAATTCTTTTTTTCAGGGATAAACTGGCTCCTGTTAAATTAAATCGGTATAAAGACGATCTCCTATTTTATATGTTTTATACGAATGTTGGAGATGTATTACAACTAGCTGCGGCAGCAGAACTGTGAGTTTTTTAATTAATTAACAAATTTTATTAATAATTTAAATGATAATAAGGGTCAAAATTCAAATAAATTAAAATAACTAATACACCTAGTCAAGATATTGCCATATTCATTGGATATTGTTATTAATTTAAATAATGTAATTTAATTATAACAATTAAGTAATTTGTAAATTTAATTTTTTATCATTATTTAGTACATTTATATTTATTAACATTTCTTTTATTGTATTGGTACAATTGAATTAAATAATTAGTGATTCTTTTAAAAATAAAAAATGTTTGTTGCATTTTATAGTTACAGTAGAGAATGGCGGTATCACACGGAGGAAAAAGTTTGGATAACACAAGCACCCGGTCTAGGACTAGTCGAAAAAACGTCGACGTACGAGCGTGGTACTTATTATTATTTTGATGCACAAAACTGGAGGAAGGTAGCTAAAGAGTTCCATTTAGATTATTCGAAATTGGAAAGTAGACCTCATCTTCCTCCAACGTTCCATCAAGCTCAGCCTTGACTACAGGTAAGTCATTTTTATAATTATCCTTTCTTTTTTTTTAAAAAGCAATTTTTTAATCGCAAGAAAAAAATATTTCCCTATACAAGAATTTAGACTATCTTCGGCATTAAACTTTAGTAAAATATATTTTCTAAATTTTCTTTTAAAAATTATTTTTTATTTTAAAATATATTTTAAAAATTAAATTAATAAATTAAAGTGTAAATAAAATGAAAAAATTTACCCTTAAAAAATCGGTTGCTTTATTTTTCAAATATACAATTAAAAAATAATTTTACAGATAAAAGAAAGTAGAAAAAAGCAACATAAAAAAATTATCACTTTCAGATCTGCCTGCAGACCGTTGTGCTGCCTCTAAGCTGGAAGCAATTCAGCAATTGTATAAATGAACAAATTTAATAATCTTTAATAAAAAGAAAAAAATTCAATAAGTAATCAATAAAAGTCCTTGCTAAGAACGCCAATCTATTTTTCCATATTATCGTAGGTGATATCGGAGTCTTCGAAATTTCCTTTTTTTGTCTCTCCCCCCCTACTTTTTTTGGGTTTCTTCATATTTTTTTCAATTTTTTTGTTTTATATACTTTGTTCATCTCGAAAAAGTATTTTTTCTTTTCTTTTTGTTGTTCTTTATATTAGAAGTAGCTTCTCTGCATCCTGAGCTAGATTTATTACACTATTTGATGCTTTTATGAATTTGTTTTCTATATAATTGCGACTGTTTGATTCTGTTTCCTCGAGAAAATACCTGTGATTATTACAGTGATTGTTAAGTGTCAATACATTTTTTTTGTATGCAAAAAAAAAAAAATACTCTCAGTTGAATAAGTTTTCATATATACCTATAATTCACCATTAATCCAAAACTATTTGCTGTTCCTCGAGGTGAGGGATCTGCCATCCAATTTATTCGCCACATTACCGCGCCGTTACGTAAATGAAAATTTGCTACGAACAAAAAAAAAAAAAAAAAAGAATAAAAAAATATAAAGAAAGAAAATACAAACGAATTATTAATTCATTAAGAGATTTTTGTAAAACAATTATCGTCAACGTGATGAACATTTACCGACGTTATTTAAGGCATAGTTTCGTCTTTTTTCTCTGTACAAATACCAAGCGCAGGCTCGCATCAGTGGTAATTTTAAGGCTACTTCTAAATTTTGTTTATTTGTCCATAATGAATTGTTGAAAATTTTTTTTAAATCCAAAAATAAGTCATTAGATTTTAGTATATTTTTTAGTGTTTCTTGTTCACTGGTTGTAAATATATTAGCAGGATCTGTAAAAGTACAAAATCATGAATTTTCGTTGTTTCATTATTTTTCTTTCTCATATTTAGTTTTATAATTTATTTAAAAAAAAAAAAAAACAAAAACAAATTACCTTGCTTTATTTTTTCGAGAAGCCATAGTCGGAAATTTGGTATTGGCGATAAACTAGACAACTGATCGATCATCGGGAACTCATTGGTTACTTGTTTGGCAACTTCTTTAATTAAGTAGTTACCGAGTTCTATACCCTGTGATAATGATCGATAATTAGCTAGTGTTCTAGCAATGAATTTAGCAACGATATCTCTGTTATATTGTAAAGATCGTAAAAAAAAAGGAAGAACAAATAAAGATTTCGTATTGTAAGGATTGCTTCGTTTTTACTGATGGGAGAGTATTAAAAAAAATAAAAACAATACAGCAAAAACTTTCTTTGAAGTTTTTACTGTATTTTTTTTTTAATTACCTGTAGTCCACGTTGAGTAGAAAATACCGAATAAAATATTGCTGCTTTTATTTTATTTTTGTCTTCTTGAAAAAAAGAATGAGAAATTTCATTTTTACCTAAAATTCGTTTTTCTGATATTTCTATTTCTTTTACGCTACCTATTAATAAAAGAATAGCTTTAAATATTATTTAAATATAGATGGCTTTTTTTTAGTAAATTTTGTATGTAATTTAATTTTAATATATATTTAGTTTAGAAAAAAATTAAACAAGTTTTTTGTTTAAACTTTCACCTGGAATTATATCACATAATGCAGTATGTAAAACTACTAGCGGCTCTCTTGGCATCGAAGGATGAGTAAAAACAAAACATCTTCTATATGGACCAACTCTTCTTTTTAGATCAGGCCAATTTCTCACTGGATGAATAGCTTCGTTCTCAGAAATCTTTTAAAACTCAAAAATGTTTAAATAAAGAAAAAAATTTATAATCTAATATAAAACTTTTTCTTTTAAATTTAAAAAAAAAGGAATAAAAAATCTTATTGATGAGAAGACACAATTTTGAAAATATGGTAAAAAGAATTATTTCAATGATACCTTTTGTAAAATATCACAAGGACTTTGCCATGTTATTCGTTGTACATGTAAAAATCCTACTGAAAACCAAAGTAGCAATAAATCTCGTAATATTATATCAAACTCTTGTAAAATTGTAATTTGATTTGAATCTCTTGTTTCGGAAATTAATTGCTGTAAAAATTAAAATTTACAATAACTCATTCAATTTACTAAATATAATATTGTTTATAAAGAATGTTTAGAAATTAAAAAATTAATTTTTCAATAATTGAAGAATGATAAAATTACCAATGTATCGGTTCTTAAATCAACCAAAAATTTAATGCCATTTTCTAATCTTCCCATTCGAGTAAATAGCCAATGATAAGGAGGTGTTAATAAATTTCTCAATGCACGTTCCCTTGTAATTAGTTGATTTTTTGTCTAAAATTTTGTTAGAAAAATAAAATCTTTTAAAAAGTATTTTAATTTTTTTGCTATTGAAATAAATGTTTATTTATTTTTACTAAGATAGGATAATTACGTCAGTAGAAGCTAATTTTTCAGCAGTTTTACAAATTAATGTATGATCGACACCATATGAACTAGCTAAGGTATTGAGAAATTCATCTTTCTCTGATTTTGAAAATAAACTGTATGTATAACATACAGATTTAATTTTTTGCTGAAAGAAAAAAAAGAAACAGTTTTTAAATAAAAAATCATTCATTTTTTAAATAAAATTTATGACAAAATAAATAATTACAAACCTCTACTATCCAATTGCTAATGTTTGTGTCTTTAAAATTGATAATTTCTTTTAATTTATCATTGATTGACACATTTGAACAACTTCTAATTATAGGAATAATTCTTCGTGATTTATCTAACAAACTTCATTTCTTTTTTATTAATATAGATATACAATAATAATGATAATTACTTATACTAATAATTTATTATTATCAATAATTAAACAATATGTAAACAATGGAAAAAAACAAATCTAACCTTAAACGAACAAGTTTTATGTTCATCATTATTTATTCAATCAATATTTACTTTTCCTTTGTATTTGATATCTATTTTTTATTAAATTGTTAATTACTATTTTAAAAATATATTAAATTCTATATAAATAATTATAATAGCAGAAATAAATTGTCACCAAATGTTTTATTCATCTGTCACAAATTTAATACCGCCAAGGTCGAGCTGCACATAATAACACGTGACGTCATTTCTCAATATGGCCGCAAGCTGGTGTAATTTTTTTTAAACTTCTTATGTTAATATAAATTATTTCTTTAAATAAATTGTTTAATATTGTTTTTTATTCAATTATTGTTTTTACTATTTCATTCTATTAATTGTTTACAAAATACTTTTTGAATAGCATTATACGTAAAATACGAAGTTTACGTTTACGTAAGAGCATTAAATTGAGGAATTCGCTACCCAACCCTGGTCTCATTGCATTTGCGCACGTTCATTGGTCCCCATGCTAAACCAATGGCTGGGACTTGGGCCGAGAGCGACGCGCGCAGCGTCAGTATGCATCCGGTAGCGGAGGGGTAAGTAGTAAAAGCTCTAAAAGAGAGAAATATAGAACAAAATTTTCTCAAAAATAAAACGGAAGTTGGTTTATTGAGTCAAATATTGATTCTTGTGTTGTATTTTCGATATTTCTTTGCTTATTTTCAGTGCTGGAGGCTGCTGTGTCGAAAATTTGGCTTCCTGGAGGTGACCACGACAAACACGATTTGGCGCCAAATTGGGGAAAATACAGCATTGGATGATGGTTAGTATGAACAATTTAATGACTTTTTATTGTAATTATTTTGGAAAATATATTTGTTTTTGTTAATGCTATTGTTTCATGCTTGAAGGGATTGGGGGGGGGGGGTGGAAAAGCAATAAATTCGATTATGTATTGCATGGATTATAATAATTATGTATCCGGTTAATTATGCCCTTTCGGTTCAAGTGAATTTTCCTTTTGTGATATAACCCTAAGTACATCCATAAAGAACATTGCATTTTTAGTGTAGGGGGGGTGGTGGGTCAGCTAACCTTTAAAAAGTGGCGCTAATGTATGCGCAGTGAATAACACGAGTGAGGGAGGTGGGAGTTGAAAAAGGGTTAAATTAGTGCAATGATTAGTAGTTTTCGGGAATATTTTACTGCAGTAGTGTTTTGATTTTTTTGAAATGATGTGAAAGTATACGCAGAGTTGCAGTATTTTAGTTTTACGTTAATTATGAGCAATTAAAGCAACAAACGGCATTCTCGTTTGTGAATCGTTTGTTTTACTGGAAACAATACACCGACTTTTGTCTATTTCAAACAATATAATAGGCGATATTTTAGATGTTATGTATTATTATATCAGTAAATTAGTGAAATAGACAATTGCTATTGTTTCACTAAAGAAAGGACGAAATGAAGAAATACTACACTTGTAAGTTAAAAGAGGTTATGTTCTAAGAAGTGGAATAATTGTATAAATATATTTTATACAATTAATATTTTTAATAAGTCTTCCATAATTATTACTCTAGTAAATATTTAATTTATATTTTAATAGGATTTCAGATATGATATTAAAATAAAAAATTTTACTCGAATCTTATTAAATTAACGATCTTATAAAACTCTATAAAAGTTTTTGCTTTTATTTTTTTGTCTCGGCGTGGATTTTCAGTCGTTTATTGTAATTTTTTTTTATTTTTTTGTTTTCATATTTGCTCATTTGGAAATTTAGTAAAATTTTGAAAAATAAATTATTTTATTTTTTTTACTGATTAAAATTTTTTCAGGTAGTTTTCGAAAATACTAAACTTGAGAAGAATTGAGAAATGCTGAGAAAATCGTTCGCTGTGTGAATTAAATAGGAAAATTAGATGCTGTGCAGACTTGATATCTCTACTTCGTAGGAATCTATAATTAGTAAGTCTTTATTTTTTTTGTTTTTGTTTTAAATAACATAGTGACATGAATAGATATGAAAATTTGATATCACGAAAAATTGAAAATTGTATATATTTTTTAATTAAATATATGCATATATAGGTAGGGAAGCTGATGAATACTATTGTTTATGTGTCACTGTGTTATTTCTTTATTTTAACAAATTATTTATTTTAAATAATTTTATTTAAATAATTTTATTAACAAAATTTTCTATTTGAAAAAATTTATTATTAGTTTGATAAAATAAAATTATTATTTCACTCGATTTAATTGGGAATTGTTCATTTTGGCAACATTTCGCTTTATCTGTATTACAAGTTGTATTTCAAAGGAATATTTGGTTTGAATAGTTGGATCTTCATTCTTTATTGGTCCTTTGATTATTGAAATGTTTGCGATTCATCTAAAATTAGTCAATGGCGAAGGGTATCTGAAACAAAAGAAGCTTTGCTCTAATTAATTTGAATGTTTTTTAATTCCTATTCTATGGAAATTATATGACAGTTTTTGAAAGCAACCTGGCTAATTATTGATTATACATTAAATTAAATAATTTCTAAAAAAAAAAAAAATTAATTTTAAATTAATTTTACTTTTGCATTTTTTCTATAATAGCTTTATTCTTCTTCCAATCAATCATGTGATTTTTTCTAGAATAATCAGAAGTTATATTTTCAATTTTGTACAACAATTTTTTATTATAATAGAAAATATCTTTATTAATTTCAATTCTTTCTTTAATTTTATCTTTGTATGTTGCAATCGTGTTATTCCAACATTCTACTTTTGGCTAAAATTATTCAAATGAAAGTAATATTAATTAAAAAAATTTGTTTCATTAGAAGAAAGAAAACATAATTTAAAAATTAATTTTCGAATAGCAGTATGGAAGTACCTTAGAACGGTGAATTATATTTAATTTTTCCATGAGATTCATATTTTCATTGTCTAAATTTTTAAATCGTTTTGCAATTTCCAATAATTTCTTTTCGTTGTAATAAATATCGAGTGGAAATTTTGGTGGTTTATTGTCAATTTTTGGATTAGCGTACGTAACATTTACACGATGTTCCGTGTATAATTTTAAATCATCTTTTTCTACATAATCTGGAACCTGATGAATAAAAATTAGATGAGCTAAAAAAATAAATATCTCTGAAAGTGGTTGTTTAAGAGGTTCTTTTTATTGAAAAAAAAGTTACCTGTCCAGGAAGGAAACGTGATTTAGGTTGTGGTCGAAGGGTTTTAGTCAATTTATCAAAATTTTTTTTCTCTTTACCCTTTACTCCCATTTTTGAAAAAAAAAATTATTTACAAAAAATTTCGACTTTGTACGAATTTAAAAATTTAGGGTTAATTTCTATCGTATTTTTAATTCTTCAATTGTTTAAAATTGTTTTCAAAATTCGTTTTCGAACCTTAAACAAAAAGGTTATTAATATCAAAAATGAAAAATTTTAGTGAAAATTCCGTTAAACGTACAATTTAGAGAAAAAAAAAATCTCAGAAATTAAATGGAAAATACATTTTTACATTCTTAGATAAATTATGAATAATGGCCCTAATCAGCCTGATTGTAATGAAAAAGAAAACAATATTTTTAAAAAATCCGATGTAAGTTAAATATTTTTTTTTCAAAATGAAAAATAGTTAACGATTAAAATAAGTTTATCGTATAAATTAAATTGAATCATTAAAATGAAATAAAATTAATTAATAGAAATAAATTTAAATAAATTAATTAATTCGAAAAATAAATATTCTAATTATAAATGTCAGCGGTATTTCTTTTTAATTGTAGAAGGATCAAAAGATAAGAACTTTAATTTCTGAATTAAACGCTTTAAAAATAAATTCAGCTAAAAAACGGTGGGAGGAAAAAAGAAATGCTTCAATAGAAATCGCGAACTTATATGGAGAAAATTATAAATTGTCTGCCACAGTAGAAGCTTTAAGTCGAAGTTTAAACAAAAGGCATTGTCAGAATGTCATTCTTAAAGAAGAGAATGAACGTTATAAGAATGAAAAAGAAAGACTTTACTTTCTCTTAAAATATCGTATTACACAAAACGATTATCTTTCGAAAAACACGTCTTCAGAAATAATGACAATCGTTGATAAAACAAAAAGTTTGGAAAAAGAAAATATTGATTTAATAAAAAAATATCAAGACGTATTAAATATATTGGAAAGTGAACGTGAAAATTGTGTAAAATTATTAAAATTTATGTTTCTAAAAACTTTTCTTTCTAAATATTCTAATAATAATGATAGTGACAATAATTCAGATAAAAATTCTTCTCATCTCACTAAAGATGTATCTGTATTATGTAAGTTAGAAAATATTGAAAACAATTACTTTTCTCAAGATGATTTTCATTTAAATGAAAAATTAAAATCTGATCTTGAAACAATTAGTCAATATACTCCTTTGTCCAATTTAGAAAATTTAATAATAATATTGATTCGCCTTTATAAAAAAAAGTTTCTAAAAGAATTTGAAGAGAAAATTGTTCATTCAACAGTTCAGTTTCAATCACCGCTTCAATTAAAGAGTATTAATAAAACTCTTGAAACTAATTTCCTTTCTTTGTCTTTGAATTCAAGATGCAAATCTGATATTTCCTCAAGGAGAAGAAAATACGTGACTTTATCGAATTGTCAAATTATTCGTATTGTACATTCAAATCGTGATATTCAACAAAAAATAAGTTTTCCATCAAAGAACATTGAGTATTGCAATAAAAATGTAAATTTTGGAATAAATGAAAATATCACAGCAACTTTTGAGAATCTGAAAAAATGGAAGGAAGTTTCGAATAACGTTATTGAAACTTTAAATAATAACAATGAAAAAATAAATTATTTTGAATTTTATTCCCTGGGAATTGATACAATGTGGAATATTATATATCCGATGATTAAATTTGATGAAATTTTCACAAGTAAATTTCATGATTCTTTAATTATGAATAAATTAGTTGGCGCTAGTTTAAAATTTAATCAGAGGAAAATAAATAATTCTCCTGTTGATAATGAAGAAAAAGTTGTAGATTTTGAAAACTTTTTGCCAATTGAAGATAGTTTGATAATTGAACCTGTTTTAAATCTAAAGGAATTTGATTCAAATCTACAAGAATCGATTTTGAATTTAAAGGAAAGTGAACAAAAACCTGTTTTAAATTCAGAAGAACCAATTTTAAATCTAGAGGAACGTGTTTTAAATCATCAAAAATCGGATTCAAATCTTCAAAATGCGTTGAATGTAGAAGAAAAACCAATTAAAATTGCTAAATTAGAGTCAGTAACTAAAGCTCCAAATTATATTGATGGAAAAAAAGGAAAGTTTATGATGAATAAATCTTTATCTAGAATTCCAATCGCATTGTCAAATGTCTCCAAGGGATTAAAGAAGACACGAGAAAAAAATAAGATTCAAGCTCAGAAGAAGGATTTAAAGATAAAAAAGGAAATTGACCAAGTGTCTAATATAAATTGCAGAAAAGAAAAGAATGTCAGATCCTTATCTGCGGAACGAACATCATTTTCTTGTCAGGAGTTAAAAGGAATAAGTGGAAATAAAAATAAAATGGAGAGAAGATCAAAAATTCCAGTAAGAAAGAAAAAAATTGAAAATATGAACATGGAAAAAAAGGATTATATTGGTGACAAGAAGACAAATCGAATTACTAATGTGAATTTAAATCCAAAAGTTGTGGAAAATTTTAATACAGAACAGGAGTTTAAACAAGAAAAAGAAGAGGAGAAATCGATTTTGGAAAGTGAAAATATCAAAATTAAGAATACGAAGCAAATTGTTGAAACAAAATTTAATTACAATGAGATAAATAATACAGAAACTATGAAAATCAAGGAGAATGAGGAAAAAAAATTGGAAAATGATAAATTCTCTCTAAAAAGTGAAATTCAAAAAAATGTTAAAGTTAAAAACAACGAAATTGAAAAGACAAATCTAAAAATGGAAAAAAAGACTAAAAGAAAGAATCCTAAATTCTTAGATGTTGATTATAAAAATCTTGACGAGGAAAAAAGGAACGATGAAGAAATAAAGGATCAATTAAGTGAAACTTTGTTGCTGAAAAGGACGAATTGCTCCACATTGATCGATCGAAATTCATTTTCACTAACTACTCAAATACTAAAAAGGTCTAATAAAACAATTAAAGAAACGAATCCCCCAACGAAAATTGTTTTTATTTCCAAGATTTCGCAGGAGTCGATGCCGAAAATTCAATTAGAAAATCAAGGCAACGTTGAGAAACAAGAAAGTCAAACTTCAACAATTCAAGAATTATTTGAGGAAAATTTTATTTCTAAACATAAAGAAACTAAAAATCATGAAAGACGAGAAGAAACATCAAAAACTGAATTTTCAAAACATAATCATTCAATGATAAATATAAAAGATATTAAAGCGATCATTGATTCATTGTTAAAATCAAAAATTTATCAAAAGAAATTCATAATAGTCGAAGGAAAGAAAAAATTAATGAAATTTGCTGATAAGAAACGTAAAAAAAAATTATCAAGAAAAGAATTAAATTCGGAAATAAAAATAATTCCCCAAGCAAAAATATTGAAAGCGGAAAATGGAAATTTCAAAAAATCTACGAATGAATCGATGAATACTGATTGGATTTCAAGAAAAGAATCTCATTTTGGTAAAAATATTATTGAAAATCAAATGATTTTAGTTGAAGATAGTAAAATATCTCCGTTAAAATCAATTTTCATTGAAAATGAAGGAAATTTTGAGACATTTGAAATGTTATCAGAAAATTCTTTGTTTGATTCAGAGAATAAAAATGGAGCTTACTGGATTTCACAAGCATGTTCAAGTTCACGTCAGTCAAATGGTGGAAAAGAGGAAAAGCAGTTGAGCAATAAAGTGCACTCAAAGGAAATGAAAAAAAAAATAAAACTAAACAAAATTGAGAATTGTATTGGAAAGTCGAGTATAGTGAATTCAGTGAGAGGTGAGGAATTTATTCGAGGTATTCAGCAATCGTCGTCAGAATCGAGTAAGAGAGTTTCCGATTGCAAGGCACATTCGGAAGATTTCGATTCCAGGAAATGCACACAAATGAGCAGGGACAGTGGTATGTGAAAATTTCTGACGATAATTTTCATCGTATATAAATTAGTTATTCGTAAAATTTAGATTGCAAATTAAATTTACAAAACAAAAAAAGTATTTTTTTTATTTTGTTTTTAAAATTTTAATTTAATTCTCGAATTTAAAATAGGGATATTATTTGAAAAATGGACAGATGAAATTGAAAAAATAGAGGCATGGAATATTCGTGTAAAACATTATTTGAGTCAAATAAGAATGAAATTATTATTGGCGGAAGAAAAAGCTGAGGAAGAATGTAGTGTAAAAATGTTTCAGAAAATAAACTATTCGCTAGGGGATCGAAAAGAGCTGACGTTACGAAACACGGTGAGCTCTTTTAAGTGAATTTCTTGATGAAAACTTTTTCTCAAATTGATTTACTATAGTTTTATAAATTGAGAAACTTGATTTTCTATTGGTGACTTTTATGTACTGAAATAGTATTTGAATTTTTTTTTCTTTTTTTTTTTTTTTCTTTTGAAGGCAGAAATTATTATAGAAAATAACTAATTAATTTATTTTCTTATTGAGGTCGAGTACGGAGATTCAAAAAGAAATAATATTTCAAAAGATTACGTAAATGTGGATTTGCAGACAATTTGCCGTGATATGAAAAGAGTGACAAATATAATAAATAATCATACAAGTTCTCGTTATTTGAATCGTCATAGTTTTGAAGATTATTATTAAGGTGTGCTGTATTTGTGGGGGAAAAAAAATAAGCAATAAAAAAATCAGTAACAAAGTTATTCAGTTTGACCCATGGGAAGTGACTTTGTCATAAAGTATGCCTTTGATCTCAGGATGCATCTTTTAGATTGTATTATACAGATAAGATTACTGTGATGTCCAGAGAAGCGTGTATAGAGAGTTTTCGTTAATAAAGTCACATCGCAGGTCTTTATCGATAATTTCTAAAAAGATATAAGGTAAAAGTTTTCTTTATATAGAAAATGTTGCAAAAGCATCTTATAAAATTTAGATTGTATTTTCTTATACAAAAAAAAAAAAAAAAATTAAATTATCAAACTAATAATAAATTGTTATAAATTAGAGAAATATTTTCTATCGGAGTTTTTTTTTTTTTATTCGGAGGTTTATTTTACAAATTTTTATTAGTTGACAATTTTTTTCTTCTCAAAATGCATTCATGTAAGTTTTAGGATCATAAAAGTAAATCAGACGCCGCGTGGGTGAATCTCAATATATGCGCGAGAGAGAAGGAGAGAAAGTAATGAGAATTTAGTGTATATCTCTTCCCATCCTATCCGTGACTTACGTTTTTTATAGTGCTTTTACATTTTGTGGGTTTGACTAAAGCCTTAAGTCACGTTCCTGTTTTTTCAAGGTGGATCCTTTGATAAAGCCTTAACACGTTTTAAACGTATACATACTGTGCCATACTGATCCTTTATGTTTTGAAGGGTTCCATTTTTATTGCCTTCATCTTTTTTACGACTCCCAGTAGCGTTTTTTTTTTTTTGGGGGGGGGGGGGGGAATTATCCAATCTCTTAATTTAAGTCATATTTCCTGTGTTTCGAAAAACTAGAAATTCTTTAGAAAATTTTAATTTTCATTCTAAAATTTTTTCTACTTCTTTGGTTTACTATGAGAAAAAACAAAAAAGATTACATATTTTTAATATATTATTCATTCATATGTATTTTAAAATAAATGAATTAATAATTAATTGATTAATTATTTGAATAGTCGTGTATATAGAATAAAATGAATATAATATGAAAAATTGCGCGAGTGAAATAATGTTTTGCTGAAGATAGAGACAAGTTAAATGGAATTAAGAGTAATGTATGCTGTCGATATATAACTTGTTTTAGACAAAGTACAGATAGTGAGTTTAATTTCAGGAAGTTATACAGTGCTCACGTCAATTATATTGATTAAGGGCATTACGTAGGGTTTATAATATTCTTCTAAAGACCTATGACGTCATTTACCTGACGACAGCTGGTATATATTCACTTCAATCATTGGTCGCTCGTAACCTTTACTGGCGGTCGATGTCCATGTCTTCTCGATTGCTTTTAGGTCTTCTTTTTAATTTATAACTTGATCTAGTATCCATACTTATACCATATTATTTATTTATATACTTTTCTTAATTTAAAAAAATAATTTTAAATTTTCTTCTAAAAAAAAAATTGATTTGTTTGGTCTCTACAAACAAATAATTTTCTCATTCGATTTTTTTCTTATTTATATATGTTGGAATATAATATACTCTTTTCGTGCATTAAATATTATCATATTTCTCGTCGTTCAATAACCTATTATATATATATACACCATGTGAGTAATATATAAAATATATAATACCTCATTTAGATGTTATACGGACATTAAATAAAATTGTCTCTATAATACACATTATTATAAATACAATAATTTATTAAATACATACGTACACTGAAAAAAAAAAAAAAATTACTGTGAAAATTTATCAGATATTTATATATTTATTTAATGTTTAATGTCAATTTTTCAAGCTTTATATATAAATTAGTTTTCATGAGAGAGAAAGAGAAGTTTAATAAATAAAAAGAAGAATAAGAAGAGAAATGTTAATAAAAACAAAAGACAGAGATATTATTTTTAATGAAAATGTGAACTTTTGCGGGTGTTGTCAGAAAAAAAAAGTAAATGGATTTCTCAGCTTCGGAATTACATGCTCATTATTTTGATAAGCACGTTTCGTGTAAAAGAAAACATATATAAAAAAAAATCGTCAGACATTTTCTTTCATGAAATATAATCTGAAATTTCTTGAAGGGTTGTTTCATATATACCATGCAACCCACGCGCGACCTTCAATTTTGCCAAAAAATCTCGCACATACACATCCGGCTTAGATACTTTATCTTCTTCATTCGTATTATGTAGAGACAATTAATATTTATTTATTCTTTTCATACATCATTCATATCAATTTATTTATATAAAGTATATTATATTTATAATATTCTCTTTTTTTTATATTATTTGAGAAAGTGTTTCATTAGGATAGCATCATTGATGATTTTTGATATGTTTATAAATGTATTGTATGTCTTGGGTTATGAAAGATATAACGTATCGTATATCGTTCATGAAATGATTGACTTGTGTGATCGAGGTAAATATATATTTTATACTCTCCATTGATTCAGATAAGTGGTTTTTATATATATATATATATGGTGGTAATAATGTAACACCTTTGCTTTGTACATATTCTTAAGGTCGTCTGACCTCACTTTTGTTTCATAAATGACAATTGTTATACGTACACCGCACAATTTGCGTCCCACTCGTTTACAGTAACGCGCCACTGCGTCTGACTGCGTTGACCTTTTCCACTGTATATAACTATATATGTGAATCCCATTCTCGCGTCAGACACACATGCCCATTACTACTGATTTGTACCACTTGTGTCGCATTGAAAATCCTCTCTACTACTTGTTTCTCTCTGTCTCTCTCTCACTCGTTGTCTCGTCTGACTCGCAATATTCTACCTCTGCATTTAATTATATTATCATCAATTTGCGTTGAAATTTAATTCTCATTCAATTTTTATATTCTTGACGATTCAACATTATTATTTAAATTACATCAATTTATTAAAATTATAATTATGTAAAAAGTTTTATTAATTTTCTTTTATATAAATGTTTATTATAATTTTTAATTTAAAATTAGAAAACGTCAACATTTCTGTTGGTTAAATTCTGTTTATAGTATATATACAGTAAGAAAAGCTCCATGGTAGTCATAGGAAAGCATGCGTTACGCATAAGTTTGTCTCACTCGCACTCATGGGCTGTGACTACCATGGAGCTTTTCTTACTGTATATGTACTTAATACTAAATTCTCGTAATCATGTTAATTAGTTAAATATTGTAGTTTCTAATTAAATTTCGTGTATAAACGTTGGAATTGAAATTATTCAAGATTTTAGTTTTTTAATTCAAGTAATTATTTTAATTAGATAAAATTAATATTCAAAATTATTTTGTTGTAACTATTTTCTTAAAACTAGGAATAAAATCGATCCCTTATTTAAAGAGATTTTTTTATATAAATTTTTTTTTTAATTTACAGGTGTTCGTTTTGTGATGGGCGTTTGTTGCAGAGCTGCTCCTGGAGGAGATCTGGCATAGCTGAGTCGCAGTTCAATGTATGTTAATTTTATTTTTTCCTAAATTTTTCTATTTTCAAATTATTTATCTTATTTTCACCTTTTTTTTTTATTTGGTTCCAATAATTATAAGTTGCAAATCATGATACCTTTCTTATCGACTGGTGATAAGGTAGATTCCTACATTATCAGCAGTCGGTTTATAATTTTTTTTTTCTTCTATACTGACTTTTAATTTATTCTATTAATGTAATAAGAAAACGAAGAAATTATAAATTTAAAAAAACATTTCAGGTAATTGGTCAAGGAGAAAGAAGATAAAAAGTGCGTTTAAAGTGAAAGTGTAGTGTGAAAATTGTGCCCAAAATATCAATCTGATGGACAGGAAGGAAGGATGTGGACGAAGAAAAGTGGCCCCAGCATGCTGTCTTATTTTCCAGGATTAGACTATTTTTTATTTTTTTTTTTTTGTAAGACAGCATCGCTCCCGATCTGCGCAGAAGTGCAAGCAAGAGGCAGAGATCTTCGGGAGTGGCCCACAAGAGGAGTAAGGGTAATTGTGCCTCCATTGCTCCGGCGTGGGATATTCGCCGATCGGTGAGTCGCTTTTTAATTAACTCCTTCCCTGTTTGAAATAGTTGATATGAGTCGTTTTGTTTAATTCTAAAATCAAATAAAAAAATTAATTATAAATTGATAAAATTTATTCTTTTTAATTTCTAATTACATAAAGTTAAATTATGATTTTGCAAAAAAAGTTTCTTAATTTTTTTCAAAATAAATGTTTAATATTGTTTTAACCGAAATGTTAAAACATTTAAACAGGGAAGGAAACCTAGCAACATAGTGACACCATTTATTGCACGGGAAAAAAAATTCATCTTTGAATGAATGAAATGTTTCATTAGAATATATAAGTAAAAATTTTAACTGAAACAACTAAAACTTTTACTAGTCTAGTGAAACCTTTCGATGTTCTAGATAAATCTCTTTTCCAGTGAATATTTGTCAATGTTTTGTATATTTATGTAATTTATTTATAATTTCAATATTTAAAATATTTTGTAATTTTCCATATTCAAAGTAATTTTGCTTCTTTTAATCAAAGTAATATAATAATTGAAAATAGATTTTTAATATTTTATTAATTTTAAAATTATTAACAATTTAGAATGTTTCCATTTTGTAAATTAAATTTTTATATTCCTTTTATAAAAAAAAGTTAATGCATGTGAAATTAAAATTTGTTGATAATCTCATTTAAAGACTAATTTGAAAGTTTTCTTTTCAGGATTTTGAGCTCAGGTGACGGTTGCGTCCCGGGACGTTAACCCTAGTATAGGCCTTTTGCACCTGGGCGGTAGGGAAATCGTAATTTTTCGGTAGGAAAATCGTTTTAAATATAATTGTAGGTAGGGAAATCGGGAATTTATTTTTCCTTTTAAATATAGCTGTAGGTAGGAATGTCGGGAATTTTTCTCTCAGTATTTTTTTTATATATATGTGTCACAGTGAGTACCAGTGAAAAGTTTGAAATTTTTATTTTTATGTCACTATGTTGTATTAAATAGATATTGTTTTGTACTTGTTTAATTGATCCATTACTTTC